ACGCATCATGGGAAAAGAGAAGTATACGTCTCCAACAAGGAAGTCCGCATAGTGCTAGTACAATGACAACAACTAATCATCTACTTTAGCAAAGCTTTGACGATGATAAAGAAGTTGAAGTCTATTTATGAGTAAGAATTGCTCGCCATAGTGCTTGCAATCTTGAAGTGGAAGCACTATTTGTTGGAGAAAAGATTTGTAATTTACATAGATCAAAAGAACTTGAAATTTATTATAGAACAACATAAACTACTCATAGAATATCAAAATTGGCTATGCAAGATTGTATTGTTTGATGTTGAGGTTTGGTTTAAAATAAAGTGCGAAAGCAAAGCCATGGATGCCTTATCTCGGGTCTCCTTTGTTAGTCTTTTACAAGTGACCAAATTGAGTTGACCAGAACTACTCGATGGATAGATCATCATCAAAGCAAACAGATCCGACTCATTCCTCTCCAAGATCTTAAAATAGCTGAATTTCTATGAACATTACTCCATACAATGAAGACAACTATTCGATCGTGGGTGACTTGTTATCTCTAAAAACTCACAACTCATCTCTCACATTTGGTAGGAGTTCATAGCTCAATCATGCGAGGTCATTCTAAGTTCCAAAGAACATACTAATAGGTCATACAAAATGTCCTAAGGAAGGTATCAAAATGTGTGTCTGGAAATTAGTTCCCAATTGTGAATCTATCAATAGAATAAATCAAAATCTCTTGCTCCTAGCAACCTCTTCCAGCCCTCCTGATTTTGATGTAAATCTAGGTAGATATTAGTATATATTTTATTAAGGGATTGCCAACATCAGACATATATAACTCAATCTTAGTCATTGTGGATTGACTAAGGAAATATATTTACTTTTAAACTCTTCAACATCCCTTCATAGCAAAGGATGTGGCATTGACCGTTGTCCACGACATCATGTGACTTCCTAGATTTCAGAGTCTATCCTCAAAGATTGGGACAATATTTTTATGGCTTTTATATGGTAAGAGATCTTTAAGCTCCATGGCATAACTCTTCGATGAACTAGTTCATACCACTCTCAAATTGACAGACAGTTGGAAGTGGTTAATCCTTGTTTGAAAACTTATTTGCACTATTATAGGTGATTGACCATGGCAATATAGCTGTTTGCTCTTGTGGGTTAAGTTTTGATTTAACACTAACTACAACTTATCCTCAAGTTTCACCCCATTCAAGATTATTTAGTCTGCGACCCCCCCAAGTTTTATTGAGGTATGAATCAGGTGTTACTAAGATGGCCGACGTCGACCAACTTCTATGAGAGGACTAATCCCTTGCACAACTCAAACTCCACCTCCAGAGCACTCAAGCCAAGATAAAGTCACAAATAGATTGCGAGTGATGCAACATCAAGTTCCAACTAGGGAATGCTGTCTACCTCAAACTCTAACCATACTGGCAGCAATCCTTAAGACAGTGACCCTAGGAGAAGCTTGCTCTGTGATTCTTCAGGCTGTATCCCGTTATGGAGCGAATTAAAGCAGTGATATACAAGCTTGACCTATTAGTCTTGTGGAAATACATCCCATTTTCCATGTCTCACAACTCAAGAAAGCTGAGGTAGACGCAAAGAATAAAGCCATTAAGACCCCTCAATATTGACGAGGATCTCACATGGCTCGTTCAGCCGGCAGAGGTATGTGCAGTCCGTCATGACCAACAAGGCCCAGAGGTCCTCATCGTATGGGTCAGTATGCCTAGTTTGAAAGTCATATGGGCCTCTCAGTAGTTCCTCGAATTTCACACTGAGGACAAGGTGGATTTTTTAGCGGGGAGTACTGTTGAGGCTCTCACGGCCCAAGAGCATCCACGTGGAAAGAAGTCCCTCAAATTGTTTGGGCGTTATGGGACGGGCAGCGAGCCATCTCGAAGCAGCCAATTTCCCTTTTTGTCCGGTCTCGACCCGGGGTCTCGACCCGGGGGTAGCTCCCGGGGGCCGCGCTGCATCGACGTACTGAGCTGTCACGCGCCACCGCGCACTCTCACATTTCTCCGTGCGAGCCGCACATACCACCGCTCAAATGCGCCTACGCCGAGTGCGCTCGCGCATACCACCGCCCGACCTCGTGCCGGTGGTTCGGATCCGACCCAGTTTGATCCGATATTCTGGGGGCGTGACATGTTCGAACGCTCTCCAGGCTATCGATCGTTCATTCACTTTAAATTGTTGGCGGCCTAGGCTCCTTCCTCTCTCCTCCCCTCCCCTTCCCTCCCCTCCCCGTTCCCACGCCTGGGCTCTTAGACTCTCCCATTCGATCATCTACGTCTGACTGTCCAACCTCCGCTCCCCCTTCACCATTCTATCTCCGTCTCCATCTGAGCTTCGTTCCTCCCACGCTTTCCCTGTTCCCACCCTTCTTCCTGTGACAGGCGGTAGAATCACGGTGGATTCCCGGTGTCGGGGTGCAACAACCTCTGTCGCTTACTTCCACTGTCCGTTTTTTTCTACTTTGAGGAGGAAGGACGGGCCGAGAGATTGTAGAATTATAAGGAGAGGTGAGTTCACCTGGTAATGTGAGGGAATACGGCTTTGGAGTACAGGACGAGGGATTTTTCCTGGATCACCCAACTCCTCTACTTGTTTTTTGAAGTTGACACCTCTCAGAAGCTTTGCTATATCTATTCTAAGAAAGATTCTTCGGTAGACACTTTCTAGTTTTTCTTTCGTGGGGCATCTGCTGTAAACACGTTGTTTGCTTATTTTTATACTATTTTTATTCCTTTTCTTAAGTTTTTAATCTGCGCAGTTTCACGGTCCTTTTGGCATCTAAATTGTTGTATTTGCTTATCCGGCAGGAAAATATCGTCTGTTCACTGAACTCTCAGCTCAATCAGGCTAGCTCAAAGATCAAATTCAACGATATAGGATGGTGCCAGCGGTAACCAATACTTAAGAAGAGGGAAAATGGCTCGACAAATTTTCCGCACATCAGTCTTTGCATCCATCCGTGCTGTTAAGAACACGTTTGATCCATCTGGACTGCATAGGTCCTTTTTTTCTTGCTCTAAGCATGGCTTTCCATTTCATTGGGCCATTTGGCAAGATTTCAAAATTGATCAATTTATTTCCTTTCTTTAATTCGCCTAATGACATTTCAGGCTAGCACTTTCAGTTGATTCAATAAGTGGCCTTGTTCCTAGATGTAGGATTGAGAGGTCCTGGTTTAACATACAAGGTTTGTTTTGAGTTCCTATGCGAATGGCATTATGATTATATCTGCCCGTTCTGTGCCTGATACTAATTGAGATGCCGCATACTGCTCTGTTTTTTCTCTCTTTTGTGAAATAAAGCTGTTGCAGGTCTTTTTTTCTCTTTTTTTCTCTTTTTGCAAGGGTGAATCTTGACGAACCAATGGTAGCCGTAATTTTCAATTGTAACATTATTATGAACCACAGGTTGGTTTTTCTGTTACTTCCTGTGGCATGCCTTTAATAGCGCTAGGGAATTGATTTGAAATGAATAGCGGTGGAAAATGTTGGAAAAAGTAGTTGAGCTTTCTGGAATTGTGCATACTAATATCATTCTTTACGTCTGTTTTAACTTTGGTGTGCTCTGTCGTTTGTGGCTTCCAAGTTTTATTCAGGTAATATTGAATATTTTGTGGAGTCTATCGTCTAGAATTGGATTTAGCTAAAGCTTATATAAACACCTATAATACATGTTAAGGATGTTATGGTAAGCATGGTGGTTAGGAGCATTGAATTTATGTATACTTATTCCCCTTCAACTTGGGGGGGAGGGGGGTGTGCTACCTTTACCAGGCTTTTTTTACTGAGACATTATTTCATTTTTGATCACTGATGAAGGTTGAACTGGTTTCGTATGAGGGTTCTTAAGGAAGTTTAGTCGAGAAAATATTATGAGTTCTCCATGATGTTTCTTAGAATAATAACTGTTGAATTTTATTCTGAAGAGGTTCATTTTTTTGACCAATATACTGTTTGATTTTCCTCAATTCCAGAACTGTCATTGCGCACTGGTCTCACTCTAACAGGAAGCCATTTTAGCAGGACCTCCCTTCTGTAGTTTACAGAATCAGTTTAATTGGATCAGACTCTGTTATTCTTGGTCTGGTAATGGAGGGGAAATGTTGAACACGTTTTCAAATTTTCAAAATATGACAATGCCATCTCGAGATAGACTGATCTCTTTTCAATTGAATGATTCTATGAAGGCCCCACGACCCTGCCATGAATGACTTAAGCCGTTTGGCCTTCCGTCTCACAATCAAAGAAGGAAAATAAGACTATAGGAGGCTATGAAAAACAAAAAATTTGAAAACCCCCCTGGCCACCCGCCTCCCAACTTTTCTGTCATCCACCACTGCTTTTCTTCCTCTATCCTGGTGAGAATGGAACAAAGAAAAGTATTGGTGTGTCGTGTCCTATCGTCTCTTGCACTCTCTGCAACAATATTCTATCAAAAAAAGGTGCACCTGGAATCAGTGGATATGTCAAAGGAATTTGATAAATAGGGAAGAGGGTGTGCATTTTAATGGACCCCTGCATTAGTGGTGGGATCAGAGGAAGGAAAAACTCTTGAAATAACTAAGTTGTAGTTGTCCATGCAATGTATGAGTTGGTAGTAAATGGATATATATGTTCTAACTTGAGGGGGAGTGTTATTGTGTCCATTAGAATGTTAGCATGTAAATGACTAATTTAGAATATGGGTTATTAGGCCTTGCCCATACTGAGTCTTATGGAGTAGTGTCCTCTTCTCTCTCTCTCTCTCTCTCTCTCTCTCTCTCTCTCTCTCTATCTCGCTCTGTACATCATAAGTGAGGAGGGGGGACCACGTTTTCATTCAAGTTTTCTCGTCCCACTTGTAATTGGATTCAATCTTGATTTGGACAACTCGCTCTCTCTTTAGCATGCATCCATATTGCCTTCCCTTTATCGTTAATCTTTGAACTGTGTCTTAAATGGTTTTTTCGGTGTGTCCTTGTAAAGTAACCTTGTAGTATGCAGCTGGCTAAGTTATATTTAGTGCCACAGGGTCTCAATAGTAAAAGTTAGCCTTGGCCCAGCCCATCACAAACTTTTCCAAAGTTTGGTTTTAAAAACTAGCTAGAAAATGTGCCTCTGCCTGGCTTGGGCGCCTGTAGAGCATCTTACCATCTCTTCTCCGATTACTAAAAGGCAATATTAGCCAATGTTCGTCATCATCATTGCTGCCTAGGTTATTGTGATTGATTGCTTTGATCTGTCACGTTGATAACATTTTGATGCAGTTGTCCCATGTGACTTAGAAGCTTAAAATCTTGTTTGTTCCATACCCTTTGTTTCTTCAGTTGGAATTATTTGGATCAACCTTATACCCCATACTTGCGCCACTGTGACATGGCTAACAATCTGAAAGATCGGCCTTTGCAGGACTGTGGAACGTATTTTAGATTTTAAGTTCTTCAATAGTTTGATTCTTTGGTCCATTTGGCTTGACCTTTCCCTGACAATTGATCGCGTTTTTCCTTGATTGGCAAACGTGTTGAAGTGAAATAAAGTGAAAATACGTGCTTCTCTTAAAATCTCTGTACTTTTTTTTTATTATTCCCCAGCATCACAGCAGTACACTCGTGGACGCACAAACTATGACCTTTTTGGTGACAAAAAGCCTGGTGATGAACAATTTAGAAAGGCGTGGGAGACACAGATGGATGAGAAGGCCCACTTATGGTCAGGAAGTGATGAAGATGAAGATGATGCCAATCAAGTGAATGACACCAATATAAGAAAGGAACTGAGAAAGGTGAGGAAGGAGGCAGAGGAAAATGCTAACCTTATCGATGCTGATGATAGCGACGAATTAAGGAGTGTTTGGTCGGGAAGTGACGAGGAGAAGTCTTTGTGGACGGGCAGTGAAGGTGACGATGACGATGACATTCCTACTGAGGCCCACCCAAATGAACGCAGTGATCCATACATCGACAAGGTATTCGAATTTGAGGACATGCCCAAATACAGAACAATCTCAGAGTTGTTGAAAGCTGAGAAGGAAGGAGAAGAGTTGTCACCGGGGAAGCAAGCAAGAAAGCTTGCTGTAGAAAACGCCCTGAAGAAGCTGAAGAAAGGACCAGACGGGCGCTACACAAATGTTTGGGAGGTCATGAGTGACACAGACATTTTAATTGGTGCTTTTGAGAACATTGTTTCTGGGCCGGAGTACAAAGAGCTGAGGGAAGGGGGCCCAAAGAGGCTGAACATGCAGTTTTTTAAGGACATACAAGCCCGCATGAGAGACCCCAACTTCCAGTTCTCACCAGAGTTGAAGCTGAGACCAAAGCGGAAACTAGTTTCAAGAAAGAAGTATCAGAAAGCTCAATCCAGAAGGAGAAAAGCCGAGAGACGCTAAGAAACGGTGTACTTTCTCGTGCCTTTTGAGAGCGGATGGCGCTGTCTAAATCAGATCAAATAGTTGTTGAATGGCTCTTTAAATGTCCTGGAATATATCCCTGTTTGATTCCTTCTCTCAGGAAGGTGCGGCAAATGAGCTAAACATTCCCATTGTAGTCACCACGAGGACCATTGTTTTATGGGACTTGTTATTGTACATCTGTATGCACAAGAAATTAGGCGGACTGGTCTGAAGATGCTGTTGAATCACTGGCACATTGGTATGAGTTGACTTTGGTTTTTTTTTTTTTTTTCAACTTTTTGAATACCATATTCAGTTGTCTAGCATTGTTCATGAGCAACAAGAGACAGTAATCACAAGTAGGGGCTTTTGTCCGCTGGTAGTCTCGGAGTCTGGACCAGGCCAGGCCTTTTTTCCGGGCTAAGACAGAGGAATCAGGTTCTAAAAAGGTCAACGGGCTCTCTCGGCATAGGCAATCGTTTATTCAAAAAAAGGCTCAGAAAACTGTTTCCCTGTAGCATTTCTGCAGTTCTGCCCGACTTCTATCCTGTCCAAGGTGGGTGGGTGGGTGGGTGGGTGCTCTTGATGGAAATCCACATTCGGAGCTTTTGTCGGTCTGGTGGGGAATGGCCTGCTGATGGGACACTTACAATCTGAGTTTTCCCTGCGAGGCAGACTCGTGTACAGGAGACAAAAAATTACACTCTTGTAACACAACCCATAAGGGGGTGTCTAATAGCAGCATTGTCCTCTGCTGGTGCAGTAAAAGTCAAAGGAGAGAGAAAGTCCTACATTGAGTCAATAAAGTATGTGATCCATGATCAATGTTTTGAGTTACAATAATTGACTTGAGTGAATCGTATAATTATAACAGTTAAAACGATATCTTTTGAAACTATTTATGGTTTTTTTAGCTGTATGAGTAGAAAAATATTTAAAGAGAATTAAAAAACATGCTACGAGAGATTTTGAGGTTCTAAATAGGATGAAATTAATTAATATTTTCTAAAAAGTAAGATCTTGTAGCAGGAATGGCTTGTAATAATTTGCAAAAATAGTATTGTTTTGTATAATAATGAAGGAAATTTGTAGAAATAGGATTTAAAAGGTTTTACTAATGAACATTATTACATTCATTCTGAGTAATAATACTGGAAAATTTTGTCAAAAAATCACGCAAAATAACCTAAAATTAGGGATGAATCCTTAAGAATCTTTTATTCGTCTGATAATTATTTTTTAAAAATTTGGAGAAGCTCCCTAAAACTCTTCATGAATCAATTAGGGAAGCATTCTGATTCCATTCACGTAGCATGCAGAACCCAAATCCCATTCTGATTGGGGGAAATTACTTTTTTCGATTCTATTTTAAAAAATTGGGTGTTCCCAAATCTATAGATAAAACTAACTCTCCACATTAGAAGCAACCAATGTCCACGATTATCATTATTTACCCACAAAAATAATGTTTCACAAAATAAATAATCTTTGAGAAAAAAAAGGGAGTAGAATAGAGACCTATCGCTCAGTTCATAAGATCAGCCAGGCTCCAATTCATGGTAATATTTGAAGATTTAATTTTTCGAACGAGAAGATACTGACCCTTCCATGGTCAACGTGGCAGAACTTGAGAGGAACACCATTGCACTTTTTCTCAAGACCATCCACATCTGCCCTTGATGGAGGTTTGCTACTGCACATAAAAATTTAGATGCACACAAGACACTAATTAAAGTAATCTCAAGAGTAAACCTCCATTAAATTATCCATGAAGGTAACATATTAAAATGAACACAAAACTAAAACAGCGTTAGAAAGGAAACAAGTGAATCAATTTTCTTTTCTAATCTTCCACAGATGATTCATCTTACTCCAAAGACAACCCCAATGGTAACATACAACGGTAATTGGGCGTTTGATACAGTAAATATCAAAGCCTAGTACTGGCAGAAACCTATTGCTTAAAGTACAAATGATATCGTTTGCTACAGTAATTCCTTCAAATGGGAGATGAAAATGCTAAAGCAAGTTAATAGGGAATGCTGGTCGATTGAAGACAATTGGATGTGAAATGATTTACCCGAGCAAAGACAAGATGAAATTGGGGTCACCAGGAGAGGTCTTTCTGAATTTGCTGTCAGGAAGATAGACATCAAAATCCAATTTCATCCCATCAATTGCTATTTGTTTAACCATCTGCACAATAGATACATCCTCTTCCTTCACCTTGTCTGATTTCCCCATTTTATCTGAAATGACTGACATAAAAGCAGAATGAGAAGTTGCAGGGCAGCAGCTCTTCTCATTCTTCATAGTCCAGGGGATGCCATGGCGTCTGATGATGTAACCCAGTGACTTCAAGTGCCTGTATGCCTCAAGAGATTCCCAAGTGCATCCACACTTTCCTTCTGCGAGCTTCATGTATATGTATTTCAAATCAAGGACCCTGTCACTGGTATCTAAGAGAAGTAGAGCCCCTCTCTCCACTAAAAAGCTGCAGTAATTCCATATTCATGAAATCAGTGGTAATAGAGAAAACGAACAATTTTCATGACCATCTAGATAATCCAATGAAAGAAAATTTAAACAAAATAGTGAAAGAGTGGAATAAAATAAAATCTATAACACACCTCGGATTAAGCTATATAACGTTTTAAACAGGAAGGTTTTTAGTTGAAGCGTTTTATACTTTTGAATAGAATTCAGTATGATATGAAAAATATAGCACGAGGAGGAGAGGGGAGTATATTGAATATTTGTCACTGCGACCGTAAAAAGGACAAGGGTAAAGTATTTGAAAAGTTCAATTGTCTGATCCAAGTTGAATGTAATCTTCTGATGACTACAACAATAAAGGGCAAAAAAGGTACAAATAGGGCAGATTGTCAAGGAGTGAGCGGAACGCGTGCAACACCAGCACAGGGTTAAGTCGACAAACAAAAAATTAATGAAAGACCATAACAATCCCTATAGGTAAATAAAAAAAAAGATTCAACAGATGCTCCCATGTAAACATGTATCAAAACGACGTTCTCCCAAATAATTTTTGACACAAATATCCATCTTCCCCATTATCTCACAATGCCTGGTTCCCCGGTCTATTTACCTTGCACTAAACTGTTCACAGAGTATTTTTAAGAAATATCCAGGATACCCCTTTATGGACTGAGATGAACAAGTATCAGGCATATTGTGGAGATCTTCTATACAAAAATAAGAAAACAAGCATTCCACTGAGGCTGCTCTCATAAAAAGGAAAAAAAAGAAAAGAGAGAAGTTGAAGAGGTTGAAGAAAATGACGGCCCTTTGAAAGGAGAAACTAGATGACTCATTCACTGTACAGTGATGAGAAAGGGGGATAGCCAAGCATGCTGTCCACTAACAGCCTCCGCACGAAATATTGGCATCAGCAGAGAAAGAAATTTGTATTGTCTAAGTAGATTTCTTGGGGAGGGAATCTCTAGAATTAGTATGGTGACCCACATCATTTGGAATCCTAATAGAGAACAGAGACGCCATGGAAGTAGTCCCTTGGGGCTCCAAGTATATCCCAGATAGATTACCTAGGCAGAAAGCAGATACCTCACCGCTGAGGTAGCTAATTCATAAATATTATGCATGCTGACAAGACTAATAGATAGTTATCGGGCGTGAAAAATCTGAATATAGAAGCAACAATTGTAAGAATAATCAAGATCTCATCACCACTTACTGACATGATATGGATAAAAACACTTGACTAGACACTGAAATCAAGAAACAATTATTGATTATCTAGCAGACCTATATGACATCAATGCCGATGCATTCTAAAACAGTGACTACAGAATCTTGTTCACCTCCAATGTCACCACCCTTGAGAAAATCACATTCGTATGATGATAATATTGTTTCTGTTGTAGTAACTCACGAGAAAAATTGGAAGTATAAAAGTTACCTTGGACCAAAAAAATGTTCATATAGTCCTGCATAATTTTCGAATAAGATCATATTCATTTAAAGAGAAGGATAAATCCTATCCCCATGGAGTTTGGTCTTTTCAAAGATATATTTAGTGGAATCTTTTCTAATGAGAAACTTTTTGAAAGCAACTTTATAAATATACCTCCAAGCTGTTAGCATCAATGACTGGGATCTTGAAGAGTAAAATCGATTGCATGGAAGGTGAGTTCGGATACTATAAGGAAAGAACTGTTTTTTATCTTGGCAGCTTTCTATTTACATTTTTACTAACAAAACAAAGCCATAGGATTCCAAGGCTTAACTATTAGATGTCAGGAATTGTAAAGCCATGCGAAAATTCTCTTCTTTGGTATTATTACAAAAGTAAAACTTAGAAAGTTACTACTTCATCAAACAAACCAGGAATATTGTCTTCCTATCCACATGTGGAAAATAAATCATTACCTTTATATTTGATGTTTATGAATCGACCCATATCTCCAATCCACATCAATTTCCTATTTACCTTAATGTGTATGGAGTGCAAGATCAGGTATATAATCTCACTAAAGGAGCCATTTTCATTATTACTGTGCCGGCTGTTAAAATGAGGTCGTTTCTCATGTCAGGCTATTGTTCTCTTGTTCTCTCGAATCCATGGAGTAAGACATTGATTTATCAATAAGATCAATTATTTGATTACTTGATTGACTTTCTCTTCGGTCCACAGCGAAAAAAAATAGGACTGGTACCAACAGTTCATCACGGAAGAAAGGACTCACCGAGCCAGTATCGATTCAACCTCTGATCAAAAAGATAGACCTTGGTTCTATTTCATCTCTTCAACAAGTTTAGTAATGAGCATAACAACCCAAGGACTCGATGGTATGGATATGTAAAATACAAGATTTCCAATCCTAGCAGGAAAAGGAGGGAAACGGATACTCAATTTAAAGTGAATAAACAGAATTCCATATCGCTTTTTGTTCTTATCCTTGATAGAGTTTTAGATAAATCTATATGGAAAATATATAGTGATAGTTTCATTCTTCGTCGCCGTAAATAGGCATATTGAAAATAGCATTTTTGAAATTTTGGAATAAAAATAAAAGGAGTAATCTGCTCGCCTCAGATAGCGAACCTCTTGGCCTAAAAAAAGTAATCTTTCTTGATAATGTCTTCACAGGGCAAACAAAAATAAGTAACTAAACTTTCTTTGTCACAGACTTAAAGAGCTGGGAGGGGTAAATTGCAATTAACATTACTTTGTCGCAAGGGGAAAGCAAGTATTGATGTTAAAGTAAAATTCTGAACGAATTGATAGACGCGATCTAGTCTTGTTTATACTCACATGATTTCTTCGATGGTGCAATAGAGCTTTCCACCGTTCCTGGTCATTCCAGTGCTGGTCCAAATCCTACCCTTCTTCTCTATGATTTCGCCCATCCCTATACTCTCATCCCATCGAGCTTTTGACACCTCACTCCTAAAGTGTTTTGTAAAAGAAGTAAATTCAAAAAATATATATGTAATAACTAAAGAAAAAAAGATTCAATCTCTAGTCAGATTTTTACCGAAATTGGAACCTGGGTGTAGAATAAAAGCTAGCAAGAAAAGGATTATGATGTTGTTCCTCTTCTGCTCCAGCATCCATCAAACCTGTTCACCTGCAGGTTATCACAGCACTGCAAATTATGAAATAGATCAAAAGGTTGAGACATCTCATAGAGGGGAGTTTGGTTGAAGAAGAGACCAAGGTTTATGATGATTACAACCTTTTTCTACAATATTGATAATGAAAGTCTTATGCTAGGTTTTCCCTACTTTAAAAGGTTATGGGCACCACAAGACTCCTTTCTGCAGCAGCTGAATACAGGCACTCCTTCACTCTACACCAACTATAAGATCCCACCTCTTTCCACTAGAGTTTCCAGATTTCTCATGTTCTTGTAAAGGTAGTCCAAACCATGAACTACCCGAAGCAACAGCCGCCCTACAATTTGTGGCAGTCGTAGTGACAGCCATTTTGACAGAAGAAAGTTACCGGAATCATGGGACGCTTCTGACTCAGTCCATTCAATTTCTAACTTCTCAACTAGATGCTGAAGCACCTGACCTTTCTAAAGGATTATGAGGCAAGGAAATGGCACAAACCTGAAGGAAAGGTAACGAAGATTTTCGGACGTGGAAAGTGAGGGAACCCACATCACACCACAAAAAATAATAAGTAAAAAAGGCATGGGTTCTAGAAAAACACCAACAATTACTTGGGGAAATACATCACACCATCATCTTAGTTAATAAGCTTGGTTCAGGTTTATTCCCATTCCTTTAAATGCTTGATATATAAGAAAAAGGGAATCATCAAGTGTACGCCAAATTATATTCTTCATATTGAGATTTTTGTCTCCCTTCTCTTCCACATTTGATTCATCTTCTTCCTCAACGATATTTTACAGTTCTATCACGATTTCCTCTGTTCATTGAAAAACTTACAATTTTCAAGATATGGAAGCTGCATTCCAGTCTATGTAGAAAGATGACTCCTATGGTATGTTCATGCCAGAGAAGGAATGGTGAGGTTTCAAAGCATAAAAAAAATTACAGTCAAAGTCGATATCAAATTATTTCGAACTAAATTTTTAATAGAAGCCAATTGTGAGCTAGCATAGATCATGGACAAATTCATGAATCGGATTTTATACAGCGCAGAAGCAATGGATGACAGTTTACAGAGAAGATGACAAACTCTTGGAAGCAATCACCATTACAACGAAAACTTAATGAACAAATAATACCAAAGTGGCCAATTCAAGAGATTCATATAGGCTGATTTTCCTTTTTAATGCGAATGAAAATCCAATAGGTTGAAACTTTAAGGTGGACTGGCATCTAATGTATCACAATACTACACTAGATCCAAGAATGATCATCACATCCATCCACATTCCAGAAATAGACAGGATAGGACCAACAGAACCATGGAGATAACCAAACTTTACCCTAACAAGATTTGATTCATGACTCCATTAATTCGATTTGATTCAGCTGAATTTGATGTTACTTGTAGCTTATTCAAAGGAACATGAATTAAATAAATGTATTAAATAAACTCCCGCTAATAGCCTATCTGATTCAAGAGCCCACAATGATTTCTGTTACTTAGTATTTTTGCACAAAAGCACGACATCTACTTCTTAATATCAACTCCCACTCTTGCTGGTTTATAATATGGTAAATATTATGGACCTCATATTGTACTCTCAAACTCAAGTACAAGATTTATAAATTAAATTCATCATATCCCTTAAAGATATGGAGCCATGGACAATCTGACAGGAATACTTAAACGATGTTGTAGTACATCAATCAATCCATCAGTAGTTAGAACTGGGAACTTTTCACCAATAATGTAGATAACTATAAGACCTCACAATTTCTTGCCTCATTTAGTCAGTCAATGCGATTCAAATGTCCCTAAGTTCTCAGTGGGGCAATCACATGGGCTGCTGAAAAAGGATTCATTTCCTCTAATTGCAACAATTCACTTGTTAGTCCCTCCATTAATAGCTAGGATTATCTTAATCTGAATTCTTTACAAAGCTTTATTAAAGATAATATTGTGTTTCGAATCTTGTTAAATACTCTAGGAAGATATCCAACTCTTTCAACTTTGTTAGGTCCCATCAAGACCATAAAATTCATTTTAAACAAATCCAATGACCAAAACACAAATAAAAGGCCATCAAAAGGAACTTTTCTACACTTTCATATAACAGCTGCACCACTTTGGGTTTATTCCTCAAAGATGGATGACTATAATAAAACGTTTTAGATGTATCAGAAGCTGAATGCAAGAAACCACACGAGATGGGCTTCTTGTGCATAACAAATTGACAAAAGTTGTACACATTCCCTTTATCACATGATTTCTAGTGAACAACATGCATGGCAGCCATTTGTGAGCAGCTCTTTGTGGTTGGGCAATGAATAGTTCCTCATGAATGGGAACATGTTCAACCAGAGAAAATATTTTTAATTATTACTTCATTATTTTTTTACATCAATCTAATGGTTATAAACTAGTCAATATCTGACTAGTAGTATCGTTAAACAACACTGTGAATACTTTCACTGGGTTCTGAATACTTTGTATATTTATCTTATTTTTAATACTTCTTTTGGTAGTTAAACATAATCTGAAAAAATTGACAAAGCCATCTTCTTATCTAGTTGCTCAGGTAATAAGGTGATGAACCTCTACCTTCAATGCCCTATCATCCCTTAAATTTATCAGATCTAGTAATCATTATGTAATAAAATTTACAATGATATTGAAAAAATCATATAAAACATATTTGATAATCATTATCATCAAAAGTTCAACAAGAACAGTTCTTATATGAGTACCTACAACCATGGTCATATTGTCATTTAAATATCTGGAGATCGTAATTTTTTAGGACAATGCTAGCTCTTGATTCCAAGAATTTTTCATCTTTTATACATGGGACGTTTTCAATTGTAAGCCATCATTCATCATCTCTGCACATTCCAGTATTTGACTCATTGTCATACAACCTAATCCATTATCCACCTCTGCATAAATTTTAGACACATGTGATCTCATGTTGGCATGGATACCGATTTGTTGCCAGTGGAAATTCGCTGTTCAATCCCCAGTATGGCTGGAAACTAGAGGGAAATGAAGGTATATTCAAGGTGGAAGATTATGCAATTAAACGGGAAACTAGAAGACAGGGTAGAGAGTAACTTGAGCGGCAATGGGAAGCGGGAACCCAAGATGGCCCTTCTCATTATTCTGCTAATAGTAAACCAGTACCTTTATACAAACGCGGTACGACAGGTGCTGCCGCACAAACGACGCCGCGGGGTCCGATGAATGGCGACGCGGATGGACCACTCTCTTTGGCACGAAGAAGCTCAGCAGATTGTGTTCCGCTGCCGGTGGCGGAAAGGGTCCCCTCTCGGATATGCCAAAGGCAAGATGCAGAGAATCAGGACATTATCGGCCTCTATGAGACAAAGGGAGGGAAACTAATACTCTCGTGAGAATTGGCCACCAGTTCCAAATCCCTCCCCATGCTTGTGGCAGCAACGCCCTCTCCAATCAACTTCCTACTGTTCCATGGCAGCCCGTCGCTCTATCCGCTGTCGGGCATCCCGTCCCATGCACCATGCACATCCATTGCCCCTCTCATACACACCTCAAGCTTGTGAAGTTGTCCTTCCGCGCTGTCCCCTATTACAAACGCCCTTAAGATTGAAGAAGAACCTCAAGAATAATTTAGATTTGTTAACTCATACAAATTTAGTTGCTAAATGAGAAGAGATTTAGAAAAAAATATCATTTTTATCAAGATTATAGATAGTTAGAGAAAAAGTGTGTCAGCCATCTAGAATTGGGGAGAAAGAAAATATCAATGGACTTGTTCAAGACAAGATTTGACAAGTAGTAGATGTATCTAGGTGGCCGTGTAGAAACTCAAATAAAATTATAAACAGTCACATATTGACACATTTATAGAGTGACTTAGTCAAAAACAAATCTAACTTACAACCTAACTCTATAAACTCCTTTAATAAGTTGTCTAATGGGTTGATTGAAGAAATATCTGATTGATTAAATCTCAAAGATTTGAATTTCAACTATAAATAAAAAAATTCCACCATTTTGATATCTCTATTCAAAGTTTTATCATGAGAAACATCACCAAAACCTTCTCAAATCATATACTTTGCCAATAAACTCAAGGAAATGCATCTGATCATCACTATGATTCATGAATATCGTGTTTATGCAAAGTCACTCTAATGATTGCTAATAATAACATTAAGAAAGGTAAGTTAGTACCTTACTGATTAATACAAAGATTTGAACCTAACAAATTTATTGTGTAAATAAATTAGTTGATATTGTAAATTTTAGTATGTTTTTCTAAGGTAGCTTAGTAAAAGCCAAGAGAAGGAAGCTTTGGTAAATAGATGGAAGCCAAAAAAGGCCCAACCTACAAATCTCAATGTTATGTAGATTATAATACTTGGTGTTTTGTGCATATTGTAAACCAATTTTTAATGAAGCTTTTAAATATTCACCAATTAAATATTTGAATCAAATTCAACATACAATTCAATGATTAAAATACTTAATATAAAATAAATAAATTTGAATTTAATAAAAAACAATATTTTCATTGGGATGGTATTCTAAACCCAAGCAAGTCATACTAATTAATGTATTGAATCTATGCTTGGTAAAGAAGTTATATATATTTTTAATTTAAGTCAATTAAATTCTGAAGACTTGTCATTAGCAAAACTAATATTTCAATAGTAACTTCATGCTTGCCTCTTGTGAGATGAAGTCTTCTATGGCACCACCATCTAGTTTTTGCCAAAAAAATTGGTATCACTAATAAAAAATGGTCTAGAAGAGGTCATTCCATAACCCATCTTCAATATGTTATTTTTACATGGAGGAAAGAGGGTGGACCATTGTAGTAGATTCCCTCCAACATCCTCCTCTCATTGTGGTTATCATAAATTTTCATTTTATCTTCCTCAATGAAAAGATCCTTGTACTTTTGCACATGATGTAAATCCTCTTCTAGACAACCTCATGCTTGACCATTTGACTAATAACATGTGAGTCAACATATGAGACATTGCTTGTAGATTGTCAATAATTAGTATTTAATTGAGACTTTGAAGTAGTGTTGACCTCTCCCAATGGCTCTCTAGTTTAGGCCATGTTCAGTTTGTAGAACCATGATCAATGTCTCTAGGTCTTGATCTTAAGTTTTAATTTGCTTCCCTGCTATTAAAGCCCATTAGTAGGCTTTTGACATTGTCTGCATTAGATATAATGTTAAGATATTTCTTTGATTGATTGTTGCAATCTACCTAGATAATTTGAAACAACTTGGTCATTTAACTTGCTCACACCATGTTTATAAGCAATGTTCCTTGTTACAAAAAATACTAATCATTGAAGATAATTTGGTGAAAGTTAAGATATAAGAATGTATTGTTTGACATTTTTCTCATCTTTGGTCATTCTTTGACCATTATTGTGAAATAGATGAATTATATCTTCTTGCTTACTTATTTCATGACACACTACCACGTTGACTTGAAACATTCTATGGTGTTTGCACATGTTCTTCCTACCAGGATTGTGGCAAGGGTTGTCCCATTCAGTCCTTTGATGTGGCATGTACCAGAGACATAGATATTTCTTAATAAGCAGGTGTGCATGCAAACAGATATTCTCCCTTGGTGTGGTGGTTGTTATAGATAGGAGACATAACACTTGGTACAAACAATAAAGAGAGCATTTTTATACACCTCAAATATTATACTTGTTGACATAGTTAGAGAAACCAAAGAATGAAGTAAGTGATGAGGGTTTTACCCTACAAACCTTATGAGAAAAATATTCCTTCTTTGATTAGATTTCTAACAAATGGAAGTAACTTGACTCCCAACCAGTTAAATAACTATTAATAAAATTATATTAATATTTATTTGATATAAATAAGAAAATGAAGGATTCAACTCTCTAGGGTGCATCACCCTTCTCTCTATGTGGGGAGAGGGATAGACAACACAGATGGTGGGTGTGGCAACTGATGGACTTGTGGGCGAGTCTATCTTCCGTCTAAAACCCGGTAGGGGCTAAGGTCATCTGGGCCAATGACACTTAAAACCCTAATCTTTCGCCGCCCTCGTTGCCCCCGCCAACCACTGCCCCCACTTCTTCCCTCTCTCGCACGCCCAGCCAGCCACCGCTAGCCCAGCCTGGTGAGAGGAACCTCTCTTCCTCTCTCTGTCTCCCTCTTGGCCTCGAGTACTACTATAAGTGGACCGTTCATAGAATTTGAGAGGAAATTGGAAACCAGAGGTGAGAGGACCAGATGGTGCTGTTCACGGAGTGCAGTATTTACTCAGGAGAGGCAACCGTCACCGCCTTGGGGGTGAGGCCACGTCGCCCAGCAGGAAATGGATTTAAGAGGTGGGTTCACAACTTTTTTCAGTCTCTTTGTATTCGCTGTGGTTTTCTGGAAAACTGGGATGGCACTAAAGTTGCTGATCAGTGCCCATTCGGACAACTTTTGAAAGTACCAAAAAGTGTGTAGACGTTTCTTTCGATGGTCCTGGGTCTGAAAGTTAATGTTGAGAAATATTCGATAAATTTTAACAGCTTGGGCCTCCCACATTCTCCGTTTAATTCCTAGTGCTCTTGCATAGGTTCTTTCTTTTCAGTTGTAAGTATATTGTCATATTCAAGCCAAAATTGAAAGCTAGGAGTTAAGAGCTGGTGGACTATAGTTCCTGTCAAAATATGTCGTGAAGCATGGGAAATTACCGTAACTTAGTTGTCAAGGTGTCGAACTCTTTCACTAGAAGATCCGAAGCTACCAAGACTTTTATTTGTTCGGGCAGGGTGTTCCAAATTTTAAAACGCTTCGATTTGATGAACATGGTCAAGGATTAGGAGAAGTGCGGGCAGTGAGTTTCAACAATGCTCTACGTTCCAAGTGCATGTAGATAGTGGATTATGAACGACCAATCTAGCTGCATAATTTCTGCCCGAATGATTTTTTGAATATTTGGAAAAGATACATTGTTCAATATTAAAAAAAAAATCTGGCGGGATTTTGTTTTTTCTGGCCATGACGGGGAAATCCCATGAGAAAGAATTGATAATTCTTCAGTTGTTTTCCGAACTCATGATGGGCACTGTACATGGAGTAATTGGATCGAAGCATGAACTTGCTGTTTTCTAGGCCTTTAGTTGCATGTGTTTATTTGGCACAACATCTTGCTAATTTTTTTGAAGGGGGGTAATAAGGCATTTCTTTTTCTGCATATGCTGCTACTGGGTTGATGCCGGATCTTCTTCCATATTATGTGGCCGTTGTGTTTTTTCAAGACATCAGTGGTTTAATCTTTTCATTTTAAAAAAAAATATCTTAAAATAAATGTTGGATTGTAGAGTTGCTGAAATACGTCCTCTTGTAAGATTTTTACCCCACGAAGTGTATGTATGGATGTGAAGTGCTATGCCAAAGAGATTAGCTTGTAAAATGCCTGGTCTCTACTTTCCTTTAATAGATGTTGTTTATTCTTCCAACGAATCATCATTCAATTTTAGAACGTTTAGTAATCAATCATATCCCTTTGAAAACATTGACAAAGTAGGGACGACCTCTAAAAAAACCTTAGAGACACTTTCCCAAAAGACCCTTAAACTTTAACAAAATATCCATAGCTTTAGAATCGATATTATACTTTCCTCCCTTTTCTTATGCTGCCAGATAATGTACTATGGTCATAGGTACAGATTACCAGCCAGGGAGAAGCATAATACAGTTCATGTCCATTTCCTGCAAGAATTTTATAAAAAGAGGAAGCTGATAGTTTGATTCACAAAGGAAATTTTGTCTCATGCTTCCATGTAGGAAAATGTGTTATCATTCCTCATGTTGAAATTGAACAATTTGAGAGCGTACTAGAAGTTCTTTCTGGAAATATTTTATATAGCTATTATTTTACTGTTCACAACTCAGAATATCAGTGATTTTCATCTTTCTAAATTATTAAATACTGCATGATTATTTGATGTGCATTAATTGCGTAATTTTTTTAGTTTCTTCATCTATGTTTTTTCGATTTCTTTTACATTCTTTTCTTCTTCTGCATCCTTTTATTGTCTAGGTTTTCTGGTTTCTTTATCTTCTATTTTGGTTATCTATTTCTAGTCTCTCTTGATATTCTGGGCATCCTTCCAAATGTTTTCATAATTTACATGGATTTTGTACCCAATTGTTAATGCCATTATTTTTTTTTTCTTATTTGAATATATTTACCTCTTAATGGTAGCTTTTTTCAGCTAATGTATTTCATTATCTTTCATAGACTTTTGTTTTTTTTTCTATGCCAGGTACATTTCTCTTATGGCATGTATGTCATCTTGTATAGTTTCAAGATGAATACAGTATGGCAATCATTTAGTTTTAATATGTTGGCTGTATATTATGAAAATGACTCTGTTGACATGCCACCACTGCTTCAGTTCAGTTCTTGTGTCCAGATGTTTGAAATGCTTGTTTCATTCCACTTGATCGCATGATCACACAAATAATATCCTCATTTATGTTTATTTACGCACAAAAATTTCATTCTCCATCTTAAAATTTCTAGTTTGTTAGAGAGTTTTTAGTGCTGATTTCATTTGATTTTCTATTTGCGATATCTTTCAGATTATCATCTTCTGAAACTAACATGTAACCAGATTTTCCTTTGATTTCATCAGTAATGATATCTATAACAGTAGGATGAAAGCTGGATTTTGATGTGAATCGACTATAAGCGGAAATGTTTTGTTTTCCATGGACCATCGTACACCAGTTATATCCATGCATACCTTTTCAGTTGTATTTATGAAAGTTTCTTTGGGTACCTTGCTATATTGCATACCTCTTCGTCACAATTGGTGTTCCTCATTGTAAGAGGGAGTCACACTTCTCTTTATTAAAAAACTTCATCTCCTTCTCGTCTGAAGAAATAAAGGTGAACTTCTGACAAAGCGAAACTGATTTCCCTCATTCTTCTCTTTTATAGCCTCTCATGCATCATTCATTCCCATGAATTCACTTGTTGTGTCAAGACAATTGAGTTCGCATAGTATAATTTTTATTTTGTTGCAGTTTTTGTTTTCATACGTGTTAGAATGGCAGTTCCTTTTTATGGCTTCTTTTTAGCATACATTCTTATGCTTTGCTTTCTTATCTAATTCTTCATATTTCATCATTATTAAACAGGCCACAAAGATGGAGATCTCCGGAGGCAGCTGTTATTCATGACTTTCATCTACCAATGCGCAGTTTTGAAGTTAAAAACAGGTTTTATGAGGAACAAAAGCAATATGTCTAACTATTGAGATGTCTAGAGTCCAATCTTTGATCTGTATAGTACTGAGATCCTGATAAAACCTAACTATTGAGATTTCTGATTAATCATTCATTTCCCCTGATTGTTATCTGCTTTTTAGTTCTTAGACAAGAAAATCCGGGATCAGAAGCTAAGTAGTTTTGCATTCAGTTGAGTCTCCAAAACATTAATTATAGTGGCTATCCTGCTTTTCCTTGTTTTTTCCCCTTCTGTAGACTATTCTACTTTAACGTTTCTCTCTGCTTAATACCTTCATGTTATATGCTAAAAGCTATATCTTGACCTCACATTTTTTGTTACCGATGCAGTATCTACCTGCATTCATAAGTTTTTACTTTTATACACTATCCAACTAGGAGAAAGGTACATAATGTGATCCAAGTAATGTTATTGCTCAACTATCCGTGCTTTGAGGGTCAACATTTCATTCGAAATTAGTGATGATGGGTAGCATGTATGGTATCTCTTGATCCTATCCCATAAATGCGGAGCGGCATATAATGCTTGCTTCCATCACCATTAGGTATGAGCGATTTCAATGATTTGGAGGGCTTCATCTTTTCTCATTTCCAATAATGATGAGGGCACCTCCAGTAGTACAAATGACTGCTGTCACTAGTTTCAAATGGAACAAAATGAGATGGCGCTTTTGTTTCCTGTTTAGATGTCCTGCAGTTTTCTTTGGCTGCTGTTTCTGCGTTGCTATTGATACTCGAATCATTTCTTTTGTCTTAGAACATCCGCAGAGGACATAAAGAAGCTCAGATTAATCACTGCTGTCAAGACCCCATATTTGCCCGACGGGAGATTTGACCTGGAAGCTTTTGATTCTTTGATGCACATGCAGATTCTGAATGGCGCTGAGGGCATCATAGTCGGGGGCACGACAGGTGAAGGCCACCTGATGAGCTGGGACGAGCACATCATGCTCATTGGGCACTGTGTCAACTGCTTTGGCATGTCCATCAAAGTGATTGGAAACACTGGTAGCAACTCGACTAGGGAGGCCATCCATGCATCTGAGCAGGGTTTTGCTGTGGGCATGCATGCTGCCCTCCACATCAACCCTTACTATGGCAAGACATCCTTGCAAGGCTTGATCTCTCATTTTGAGGCCGTCCTCTCCATGGGACCCACCATCATCTACAACGTGCCATCTAGGACCGGCCAAGACATCCCCCCTTCTGTGATTGAGGCCATCTCCCAGAATAGCAACATGGCTGGTGTCAAGGAATGTGTCGGGAATGACAGGATAAGGGACTATGTGGACAAGGGGATTGTGGTGTGGAGCGGCAATGATGATCAATGCCATGACGCCAGATGGGCGTTTGGGGCTACTGGCGTCATCTCAGTCGTGAGTAACCTTGTCCCGGGTTTGATCCGCGAGCTCATGTTCCAAGGCAAGAACCCTTCTTTGAATGGCAACTTGATGCCGCTGATTGAGTGGCTGTTCCGGGAGCCAAACCCCATTGGGCTCAACACCGCCCTGGCCCAGCTGGGGGTGGTGCGGCCAGTGTTCCGCCTGCCGTATGTGCCTCTCCCTGTTGAGAGGAGGATAGAGTTTGTCAACATAGTGCACAAGCTTGGAAGGAAGAATTTTGTGGGGGACAAGGGTGTCCAAGTTCTTGACGATGATGACTTTATTCTTGTTGGCCGATATTAGCAGGGACATTAGACACTTTGGTGGTAGGGTGTTGGCTGTTTGTCCACACTTTCTGCGACTGAGAAGATGTAGTTATGACCTATAAGCATGCTGTTGGGAACTTATTTCAGCCACTTTCTCGTTTGATATTGTGCATTACTAGTGCCAGTGCTCATACATTTATGGTTCAGCCCTTTTTCTAGATTATCTATGTTATGCATGCATATAGTTATCTGAATGTTCCGATGATGATATATAACTTTAGTTTCAGCCATTCCAGATCATTTATCGTCAGGTGACTGGTCGTTGCTTCAACAGTAGCTCTTGGTGGTTTGTGGTGTTCCTCCGGGTATGCTCTATCCTCTTGTTATCATTTCCTTTCCACCTTGTTAACATGGTCTGTACCCAAATCTCTTGCCGGCCAACATAAAACTCTATTCTTTGATTTCATCTTATAGAGGACTGGAAGGGGCTTCTTGGGCTGAATAGGATCCCCAGGTTACCCAGATGGGCCAGATCATTGATCATGAAAATAAAATGTCAATCCTCCGGGGCTGGTTTTGTCCAAGAGGGATTTGATGTATATAGATGGTTCCCATTTAGCAAGCATCGGACTTGTTTCATCAGATCATTGGCAGATGATGATTGAAGTTAGTGTACATGGATGAAGACCCATCTGGCCATCTGTTAGGCTATAAACCTGTTTAATCAGGATGGAATCTGACTAAACAGGGCCCAAAGGACTAAACAGAGTCATATGGCTTCTAGAAGCTTGTTTAACCTTAAAAGTCACTGTTTCAAGTTTAGTCTACTTGCTCTGAATTAATGCTGGAGCATCTCATGTGAAGTGATCTACAGATGTCATGTAAGCTCTCTCCTAAGTGCTAATCGTTTTCCTACAGACTTTGCTAGAAAAAATGTTCTCATAATTTTGGGAACCAAGTTTTTGGCGGTGTTCTTGATGATAGAAAAGATCAATTCCTCAATTATTTCACTCATCCCTAAAACGGAGAATGTAGTAGATGATTCTCACGTGTTCCTCTTTGCCAGTTGAAGTTGTTCTCTAACAGACTTGAAGGTTCGTATAACAAAAAGTCAATATGGTATACTTCTGGTGAAAGATGTGTATTGTTAACTTAGTACTTGAAATGAGCTGTTGTCTCATTACCTATTCATGATTGTGGCAAGAGGTTTCACTTGCTTGACAAAATATGTTGTATATTAAGGCATAATTAGGGTTTTTGTCTGCCTACTAGGCAGGTGCATCTATCTCACATCTTTTTACTATCAGTCAAAACCTTTGATATCTTCAGTGGCTAATTAACATTCAAAAAAATCAGTTTTGCCAATAGTATTAATTTTTTGGCATAAATATGAGATAAAAAATCTTTTGTGAGTCAAATAAGGTTCTCTTCTTGCTTCATATCTTGCTCAATCTCTCTGCTCTAGGGCTTTGAAAAGTTGTATCATCAACCAATTGTGGATAAAATCAACATAAGACTTGCTTCATCTTGGGTGTAGAAAGGGTAGAATCAATTTGATCCATGGAGTATTCTCCTTGTCTTCTGTTCTTTATTCCTCTTGTTATATCATGGATATGGAAATTGTGGCCAAGAATGTTCTCTAGCGGACTAAGGCAATCGTTATAATGGAGGATGAATGAGATCTCCATTCTTCAAAAATATGCTCATATGGTATTGGTTTGAAGAGGCATATTCAGGTTATTTGTGCCCCATTTTGGATGTTCTGAAAGGGTATGCACAACATTCATGTGCACAACAAATTGATATCAGCATGCTGATACTTGAGTGCATAGATTGGCATCAATATATAAGGCCGAATGAATATGAAGATGTTTATGTTACCAAATCACAGTTTTATGATTTTTCTTATTAAATATAAGTTTATGTTAGCCAATCAAATTGTTATGGATTTTATTATTAAATATAAGTTTATATTAGCCAATCACTTAATTTCAACTTTTCAAAATATTGATCATATTTTAATCTAAATAAGGATTTTTAACTAAAGTTGTAGTTCAAATTATCGATCATATTTTAAACTAAATAAGGAAGAATAGTGTGACAAAGTTGTGCTTCACAAGGCCAATTGCCAGTGCTTAAAGCATATGCTGGAGTTTCTTGACAAAACTTTTCCACTATTTTTTAATTACCTGTGGATATACCCAAATAAGAAGTTGATTCAATGTAATTTAAAGAATATGGTTTTAGACTGCATTAAGTATCATTTTTAAAAAAAATTATGATCATACATTTACACTAAAAAATATTAACAATTTAAAAGAGCCTCCTATTGCCTTTTGTAAAAGATTGAGCATCCTCTTGTTTATAAACATTTTTTTTTTAAGGAACCATTTAAACTGCTCTTTTTGTTGAATTTAATGAAAAACTTGCTTTGATTCTACTAATATAGTTTTAATAATACTCATTATAGTTTATTTAATGATCGTGTATAATGAATATCTAACTAAATAAATTATAGAGTGATGAGGGTATTTTTGTTATAGCTCACAATAGGAAAAGTTGTCTAGAACTAACTTATTGAAAAAGTGCACATTTTTTGTGCAAACTTTCCTTATGTTTAATGTACTTTGAAGTTGATGATTGGATTATTCAAGTATAGGTTCATCATAACTTTGGTCAATATTGACTTCTAGTTAAATTTGAAATGGTGAACTTAACAACAAAACCTTGCATGATGGATGGTAGCTGTGAGGCAAACTTAGGTGACTAGTAATATACCATGGTATGTAGGCCTTCAAAGGACTTTTGTTTGTAGTGTCTATAATAATGAGAACTAATAATTAAAGTGCTCTATGTACAAATTATAGCCATTTTTCTGCTCAAATACTAAAATTAGAGAATGTAATTTTGTTAAAGGAGAACACGTGAGATAAAAGGTATCTAAAAACTAAGTTCAATATACCCTAAGCTATGTGAAAACATGTCAAACTAATAGTCCTATCTCTCAATGAATATATAACATAGCCTGCCAAATTTTCAATAATTGAATAAGTTAGTTATTACTTATCAGTTATAAATCAAAACTTTCATAAATTCTTCAAGAAAACATATTCTTGATAATATGCTACCACTTGATTATCCTCCCAAAATCTTACCTTATGACTAGTAGATAATGAAAATTCTTGAATTCCATTGTAGGTCTTAAACTTTGAAGTTTCTAGAGTTCTTTAAGCTACATACTTGTGTGTGTGAGCTCTTTTAAACTTGAGATAAAAAAAAGGTTAATTTTTTTTTCATAACTCGTGACTATAAAGCCTACTAAAAAACTTGCATAGCTAAGTTTTTAGGAAAAATATTGAAAATTCCTCTCTATTTAAAGTATCAATCAAGATAAATAGACTATCAAAGTTTTTGTTGCAAATATTGTATTTGGCTCATCAATGATTTTTTTGAGTGATAGGTATTTCTAAACTAATGTAAAACAGATTTCATGTCTATAATCAAGGAATTGAAAATTTTATTGGCTTCTAAATCAAACAAAAGGAGGAACATGGAATCATTCCAGGTAATAAATTTGTATAAATCTAGTATACTAGTGTGGGAATTTTCAAATTTGGATCAAAAAAAATAAGGTGCAAGAATTTTCAATAAGGTGCATTTAACTTTTGAATTTTGTAAAAATATTGGAACTTGGCTTTTCACAATTATGGACAAAAGAGATCTATGTTATGACTCCATGAATTTCTCTTCAATCTTTGGCATCGTTTTTTGATATTTTCTTTCAAAACTTCAGTCATTATGTCATTTTTACTAAGATTTTTTTTGAAAATGCTAAATAAATCTTGAAATTAGAAAATAAAAGTAATGTTTTACAACACATCCCCAAAAGAGAAAAGTGAACATCATCTTGGCCACCTGATAGGCACAATCTTGTGTACTGTATCATCTTAAAATATCTTGAGCACCCAAAATTCATTGAGAGTTTCACAAAGGAAGAGGCTTGAAATACTTTTGGAGATGACATTTTAACAAGGGAGAGGTTAAAGTATTAAATTTCTACATGTATTAAAATTATAGACTAGTTTTTCAAAGTTACAAGTGATTGTTTAAAAGAAAAAAAATCCCACTAATCAAGGACTTTCAAAAAAATTACTTTTAAAAATAATGGATAGTTTGGAAATTGATGGGATGTTCTTGTTAGATAGTGCCAAAAACTTTGTAAAAATTGAGACGACCATCCAATCATGTGCTATTATGTGTATAAGGAAAAGATCTCATTGTGCAGTTATATGTGATGGATATTTTTTGTATCTCAAAAAAAAAAAAGAGTTGCTTCAAAGGGATTTTATTGATATCCAACTATTTTATTTGCATTATGATCACTAAAAATTGTCACCTCTCTCTCTCTCTCTCTCTCCATTCTATTTGGTTGCCTCTTTATATCTGTTGACTATGCATTTATCTTTGCATATGGGATAAGTATTCTCTTTTAGTTTTAATATTTCCTTATGGTGAGGGACAAAAATAAAGATCATACAAAAAAGATTGATACATTTACCTTTTTGAATTTTGTAAAAAGATTGGAACGTTGAGTTTCATGATTGTAGATAAAGGAAATCGATGCTATGCCTCTCATGATTTGTTACTCTTCTTTTACTTGAACACCTTCTACTCAATTCCTCATAATTTTGTCTTTCATATTAAAATATGATTAATCATTGTCAAACACAATCAAAGTGGATGAGGTCATCATTCAAGGGGAAGTGTCTTCTCCTTGAATGCCAAGTTCAAACTTGTTAAAAGTTATTCACCATAAGTTTATTAAAATTTTCAAAATTCAAGATTTATTGTCAAATGTTCAATATCTATCTAGAATGAGTATATAGCTTATATTTATGCATTTTACTCAATGTATACCACAGCTAAAAAAGGAGTAAATAATTGATAAGGTGAAAATTTTCTCTTTCATCCTTCAAAAGGGTACCTTCTTCACTAAATATAGACTTTACTACAAGATTTTTTACTCACCATGATGCTCTTGCAATATGATTAAAATATTTCTTATCATCTTTGACATCCTTTTTTGAGAATTTCTTTCAAAAATTCAGTCATTACGTCATTATTACTAAGAAAAACATATGAAAATGTTAAATACATCTTAAAAGTAATGTTTTATGACACATCCCCAAAAGATAAAAGTGGACATTGTCTTTGCCACTTGGCACAATCTTATGTACTATATCATCTTAAAATATGATAAATTTGTTGGGAGTTTGACAAACGGAATTTTTTGAAATACTTTTGGAGATGATCTTGTAACAAGGGAGAAGTTAAAGAATGGAATTTCTATGCGTATTAAAATTAGAGATTAGTTTTTTAAAGATGTTGTTGTGATTTTTTTAAAAGATAAAAATCCGACTAATCAAGGACTTTCGAAAATTTTACTTTGAAAAATGAGGGATAATTTAGATATTGATGGAAGTCTTGTTAGATAAGTTGAAAAAACTTCGTAAAAAAAAAAGCCGACCATCCGCTCACATGCTATTATGTATGTAAGGAAAAGATCTTGCTGTACAGTAATGTGATATGGATAATCTTCTTGTGTCTCAAAGAAAAATGTGTTGCTTCCAAGAGATTTTACTTATATCCAACTATTTCTATGCATCATGACCAGTAAAAGTTATCCTCTCTCTCTCTCTCTCTCTCTCTCTCTCTCTCTCTCTATCTATCTATATATACATATATATATATATATATCTTCTCTCTACATTGATAGGGGTCCGAAGTGATATTCCAACTCATCTTAAGGAATGCACTGAGGAGAAGCTACAAGGTTCTATCCCTTCCTTAGGCTTTCTTTTCTTTCATCTATCTTCATCAGTATGCATTGTTATTTCAGTCCACTATTCATAATATACTGCATTAATTTTCAATTATATATTCTGCAACTTAATATTCTATATTCTATATTTATTTGCATTTTCAATTCACAATTCTCGACTAGAAAAACGGAAGACTAATATCCCTGGGACTGAAATAACAACAAAAAAAAATCACCATAGAAAAGGAAATTGTCGGCATATTTTAATTCCCTGGCTTCTTACATTCTCTTGTAATTTCACTTCCCCAAAACTAGTTTTGTTCTCTATGTAACATCATGAATGGGTTCAACATCTACAACTAACTCTATGACAGCAATCGCCATGGAAACTAAGTGCCTCTCCAACCCCTCAGGTACTCAGCTTAGTGTTCTTCTCCCTGTTCATTGTAAGACAATCATAGATGTTTACAAGGTTCACTTCATAGTAATATAGTAATGAGTAGAACAGAAAACAAGGAATCGTGGAGCCGCTCAATCTATTGTGTGACTCACCAACCATCCTCCTACCCATAATCATCCACAATTTCCAATTTTACTTTGTTTAACAAGCGAATGAAATCTCCGGTGAAAACGGACACAGGTGAAAATCTATCCACAAATGGAAGATCACCCAGAGATCAAAACTGGATCACCTGTTGTTCTTCTTCTTCTCTACTCTCACCGGCATATTCAACACATCGGCTGTGGAGCAGAGCTCTAAGGATATCAAGAAAGATCGGAGGAAGTGGGGAGTGTCCTAAGGAGATGAAGCGCTCTAGTCCACTGCGGCCTCTCCGAAAGAATAACCCTCCTCAGCACGGGAACTGCGCCGGCAGCAACCACGGCCGAATGGTTCTCATCATCCATGCAAACATTGTATAGGACGGCTAGGCAGGCCTCCACTGCCTGCGCACTCCCTTGGTCGATCAGCTGCACCAGCAGAGGGATGCCGCCAGCGGCGATGACTGCTTGAGTGCACTCCGGCAGCCCTTCGGATACAATTCTGTTCAGTTCAACGGCCGGCTGCCTCCTGCACTTCCTCATCGACTGATGCCCGCATTTGCTCCACCAGTCTTGGAATGGTCTCATAGATGATCACTTCCACATCAAGCGGGTAATTGACACCCTCCTCCTGGCTGACCAATGACTCGATTTTCACAAGGCACGCAGCGACCCAGTCTTTTGCATGGAGAGGGATCTCGGACTTGAGAATCTCCCGGAGAAGGTTGATGAAACGTTGAGGATCTATGCTGCGGTGGAAGAGTTCGTAGTTGAGCAACTTTGTCAGCAACCTTGAAGCTGCACCCACCGCAAGACCATTTTCTTCGGTTCTAATGGCATTTATCTCTGGTAGATAGTCCGCGTTCTCTTCTCCTGGGGTCAGCGGAAAAGCTGTCAGAACCACCAAAAGCAAAAAGCTAGGTAGAGCGAGTGAAAACTTTAACGTGTCAAAAGGAGGCTTAACCTCTAGGAATAATGAGAAATCACTAATTTGGGAAAAGATAGTTTCTAAGGGAACATTACCTACTCCAATCAATCAATGATTTATTTTTAAGTAGAACTATCAAGCGATTTGTAATTCCATCCCTCTTATATTAGCCTGTTCAGTTCATCGCATATACTTTCCAATCCTAAAACTACCCATTTTTGCACATTATCAGTGAGTAGATAAGCTCTTCAGTTCTTGTGGACAGATAAACAGGGTGATTAGATTTCAGAGAGAAAGCCCTACGTAAATTCAACCAACAATATATTTCAGGTTTCATGAAAAATAGCTGAATAGCATCATATATAAAGCATGCTTTTCAAAGTGCCTGCCTGCACCACCTTATTGAGTCAGGTATTTTTTCTCCTGACCAATAATATCAAAGAAGTTAAAAAAATAAAAATCGAACGAGTGGTAAACAATATAGTATACTAAAAATGGTAAAATCAAAGAAAAATAAAAATGGAAATAAGTAAGAGGAGACACGAGCAACATCTCCATGATATAATAGAATAATGCAGAAAATATGTAAAACACAGGAACCAAGGAATAATTAAAATAAGTTGCCCTCTAACCCTTGTTCCCTAGTGGTAATGTGGTGTACAGACACTTTATTCTGGATCTTGCTAGACACTCGTAACTACCAATAACTATTGATAAAACAAAGGATTTCCTCAAAAATAGGAAAATAATATGAAGATGATACTTAAATGAAGGATCTAGAAAAGCCTCCAACGACATCTATGGCTTTCCATGTTATCCTTTCTGGGCTCTGTGTTTCACCTTTTTGGGTTTCCTCCATCTCCCACAAGTCTGTTCCACATCAACTTTGTCAAAGAGAATTGAAGATTTCACAGCAGTTTACCATATTTAGCCATTTATATCAAAGAAGACATTACTAACTCATTTAAAATCCAAAGAAATATCAAGACTCAGGCCGATAGGTATCATCTTCCTTGGTATATGAAGAAGCAGGAAAGAAGCGAGATCCAATTAGGTGGTTCTAGATGTTATGGCCATAAAGACTACATGAATTATGGAAGATCATTATTTTATAGTAATAGATGGAAATGAAGCGGGCCACCATCCTGATCTCTCCAACTCATCCCCCTTCTCATAACTAGTCTTCCCATTCCTTTAATTTTTTCGGTTGCAATTCAAACATTTTTAGATAGAAGTACCCTTGAATCAGGACGGCTTGAAAGTATTCTCTGTTGCCACACATTCCTCGTGTGGCCAAACAAAAAATTCTTCCAGACAAAGCTCCCTCCCCAATAAAACCAGAGACGAACAGGAATGCAACAATCCACTCAAGTCCAAACGTTCGGTATGGGATAATACTAGGCTTTTCAGTCAGCACTCCTCAGAGACTCTTTACCAATGGAAAAAAGTGTTCAAAATACATTGCATCATGTTCGGAAATCATTATATGGATCTCATGGCAGATTTAACATGTTTCAAAAGCAACTTTCTAATTCCGTGGCTTCTTTGGTTCAACGAAATTCTGAAGATTTATAAAGACTTCTTTGGCTTCTGCTCATCTCTATGTTGACTGAAACAAGGTCAGGTAACCATCAAAATATTCGACTCAGAATTCTCAGTAACATTCTCAAAGCAATTACCTATAACTGAAATAATTACAATGATAAGAAATGAACAGAAAATTAATCCAAATCAACAATACCACATGATGTGATTGTAAGACCCAATGTGAAAGCATACCACTTCTCAGGAAACAAGGGTAAAAACTCTCTTTACGTAAACGGAAATTCACAAACCAGGCAAAATACTTCTTTGGAAAACAGCAGCAAGTCCAGATTCAATTCCAGCAGCAATAATTACACTAACATGCTCCTCGAGATTTGCAACATATTCAAGTATAGATGCAGCCATCTTCTGTATGTTTGGTGATGGAGCCTTCAGAAGTTCAACAACGCAGGAAATGAAGTCCGAGTTAATAATCTTCTCCCTAAAAATAAAAATTAATGTTCGTTATCACTAAATGTGTATAAATTTACATCCCAGATAATGCTCTATCACTTCACATTTACATCAAAAAGAAAGAATTGTAGTAATAGTTACATCACACTGAAATATAATCAGGTTTTGTGGTAACTATATTCAGCAACAATCTACTTCATACTACCACTTCAAGAGAGACCTGAATGTTGTTTCAAATTAGCGTGGTCAAAGAAATGAGAGAGCACACGACAATAAAAAAAATTAGCCATAATGAGTGAAGTAACAGTTATATGCGCAGAAAAAATAAATATGTTGAGCCGGGTATTGCATGTTGGAATACCAACGTAATGAATAATGTCGATTAGCTATTCAGCTTATTTTTCCACAATAACTCTCTCATATACGTGAAAGGAAGATCAATTATACATCACCTTATCCACAGGTTCATAAATACCTGAAAATTAGACAACGTATTAGACTATATCCTTGTAAAAAAATTATATGTTTCCATGAGAAAACAAAACGTTTTCCCACAGTGTAACTGGTAGAAATATTCTGACCATTTCAAAAAAACATGCTTTTGGTCATTTTCTTCATACTTTTATCTGTTGGCAGTGAAAGTTGTTAACAACCAATTGATTCACCAACCGTGCCAACTAGCGGGTTGAACTCATGTTATAGGGCTGAATGTCTCCAAAAGAAATGATTCACTTATCCCCTTTTGGAGAGCGACCTCGTGGCATACAACTGCTACAACTCCGCGTAGATAAACTCTCCTTTCTCTTTCATTTTAATGCCTTATGGACGAAAACTGAAGGAGGCCTTTTCCAGTTTCCATGATTTTCTTCTACAACTTTCGTTGACGCACTTAAGCTAAAAGGAGAAAGTGATGCTATAAAACTTGAATGCTTGTTAGATCTATACTGATAGAGTGGGGGGACATCGGTTTTCAAAATGTCCTAGACGGAGAAAGAAAGGGGCTCACCTAAGGTGGGAGAATCCATTTGCCTTAAGGATGGGCTATTACTCTGTCCATAAAATAATGAGCCATACTCTGTTATCACTGGTGCAAAGTCACAAAAGGATGGACTATTACTAGTTTGTTGAAAACAAGTTTGATCAGCTCCTTAAGACCAGTCCCTAATGTTCACCATATGGCAATGGTACACTAGCCTAATATTCCTTCCGGGACAGAGCATAAATCCTCCAAGAAAGGTCCTTCTCTATCTAGTTTTTCAATCTCAGTCACATCCCCCTTCATTCCAGTTTTTGTGCAACTTCCTGAGCAAGGAGAGCGCTCAACCCTGATTTCAGTCGACAGACTTGAAGGATAAACAAGCTTTATAAATATGCTTTGGTTTATCCACAATAGGGCATACCCGCACAGCATTTCATCAAAGAACCATGGAAGAAGGTTATATAAGCAAATGAACTTCTAGCTGCAGCAATCCCAAGAATTTACATGTAACAAGGGTCCCACATCAATCATTGTCATTCACTACAGCTAATGTCACAAAGATTCATGGTTCTTACTTAAGGTAACAGACATATGTATGACAAAAGAAGCCATGCCTGGCGTACCTCACCATTACTTGAGGTTTCGATAAGAGATCTTGCGTCTCTCTCAAACCTTCCGTTTCTGTAGAACTAACATTATCGCTTGTCTCATTTTGTCCACTAACCAGATCATTGGAGAACTGCCATAATCATAAACACCAGAGTCCGATAATTAAATAAACGTTTAAGCACAGTTACTATGACCAAAAAGTATCATCTCACACACCTTTGCTTTCATGTCATTTTCTGGATCAAGTATCCGAGAAAGTATGCTTACAGTCTGAAATTTAAAATATTAATAAGAAATATATCAGTAAATATTAATAAGAAATCTATCAAGAACAAAAGTAAAGTGTAACATATTGAACCTTTTCTTTCAGATTTTCTGACGAACATCCACTTTTAAGAACATTAATAAGAGGATCTAGCACCCTTTCCGCATCAAGCATCTGGGAAACCTTGAAGCTGTGCAAAAGCAAAAATGAAAAAGGGTAGAAACAGAATTATCAAAAAACTACAGTGGAAATATTTAAATCTGTCAAGAGACATTCAATATAAATGATCTAGTTCACTTTCACTGGATTTTGCTCCATGGTGGCATTTTTTACAGTTTAGGTCATTCAATGAGAATTGGCAACAAAGAAAACCCAACTACATCAACAAATGACTGTTAGATGGTTAATTAAATTTTATCAAGATTAATGAAATTGACTCGAAACATAAATTAAATAAAATATAACACGAGAGTAGACTAAGCAAGCAACCTGACAGAGAGTCTCTCCAAACCGTAAATCGCAGCCTCTCTAACTTCATCGTTATTATGACACAGAAGCTGCACTAGAAGTCTTACTGCTCCAGCTTCCTTAAATGCAAACCTCAAGTGCTCACTAATTGATGAATCAGCTATTGCCCATGCAGCCCTTTTAACAGCAGAAACATCTTCAAGTCCAAGTATCAGCACTAAACGGGCTACACCATCCATCCATGGCAAAATGGTCTCTCGATCATTTGGCAAGGACCCTAGTGCAGAGTTATCGTCCTCAGTTTCTATAGCTCCAATACGTGCAAGAAATTGCTGCTGAGAACGTCCAACGATTGCATGCATCTTCATTTCCTCTAAATTCAGACTTTTCTCACGAAAATTTAGACCTAGAAGCAATTCAGAAGCACCATATCTTGAAAAACGTGCAGTCCTCTCAATTTCTGTGCCATCAGGTAATGACGGCCATGAATGAGAGACAGGCCTGAAGGATTTGTATGCAGAAGCCCCAACTAGGGGAACAAATACAAGACCCTCTTCAATGATGAGGATCTTATAGTATTCATCTTTAGAAAGTTCCAGCAAAACATTTTTTGCTTCCTTTCTAAGGATTTTATGTCCTTCGGTATTATCTATCAGGAATTCAGCCTGTAATCAACAGTAGTATCAATACATGTAAAAAAATCATTTTAAAGGAAACACAAATCAAGTCATGAAAGAAACATAGCAGAAGCCAGCCATACAAATCGTTCAATGAGGTAAACAGGACTAGATTAGTTTCATCTAAATAGAAAAATAATATTTGATCACAGAATGCATTTTAATCAATTTGCAGTCGCTTCCTATGCAAACGAGCATAACAACAGTACAAATAACTCGAGCAAGTGTTACTTTTAGCCCAAAAAATGCAAAAGACATAATATGGTCACTATATAATATGATTACCCTTCCACCGTAGTTCAATACCTTAGAATAAATATGACTTAATCGAGACACTAAACGTTTTCATAACAAACCGAGTTGTTCTGATAAGGCTGCTTAAGTAGGAATTGAACATTCCAACCTTCTATCTACTCCGTCTGACAAAAGATTAAATTACCTAGATATTAAGCAACTCCAGAAAGGAACATACGTCAGGACACAAAATCAATAGCAAGCAAAAGATAAAGAACTACATGGCATGAAAAATTCTTTTAGTTCATTGCTCAGGTACTTTTGGCTGGGCAACACAAGTGTTGACAAAAAATATTTCTCTAACATATTTATCTACATTACCACAAAATTGTTGGCAAAAGATAAATGTCCAGATCACTTGATATCGACGTATTTTAGAAGATGTATGCCAATAATATTCTCCTCGTCATCTCCACAAAAAGAAAAAAGCCGTAACTTCCTCAAGGGCACATTGCATTATTAAGAATGGAGTATACACTCGGTAAACTATTTATCATCCTTTCATAAGAATTTCAAATATTAACAATCTAAGAGAGTAAAAATTAGACTTCAATTTTACATTTTTTTCAAGCGTAAAGCATTTATGGTGCTAGGTAATGATTAAAAACAATTTATGCACTAGAAATTTCTGATTTAATATCGTCCCTTTTCCTGAAACTGTAGATCAATGCCCAAGACTTGGTTTTTCCCACAATATCTTCAATGTTGCTGTTCCATCTAGAACTAAGGAAAATTGATTTAGCTACAAATATTCAAACCACGTTCCTGATAAGAATAAATTTATATAAAACCTTACCAACTTTGGGATTACACCAGATTCTACTATAGTACTGTGATTACAGGGACTCAGAGCCAGATTTGACAGCACACCACCTGCAGCCTCCTTAACTTTTAACTCCTCGTCATCAAGATACTTAATCAGGATTGGCATAATATCACTTCTTGCAATCTTCATCCTGTATGTCTCATCAATAGATAAGTTCCACAAGGTACATAGACTATGCTCCTTCACCTGCAAGAACATCACCAGAATTATGCACCCTCCTTGTGCCCACAACAGATATGACAGTGTAGTATACCTCTGGCGTCAGATCTGACTGGTGAAGGAGGCCAACTATCTCTTCTATCACTCCACTTGCTACAACAGATTCCATATAAACTTTTACAGAGGATATATTCCGCAACAGGCCCGCAGCAGCTTCACGGATTAAATCAGAATCCGATTTAAGAAAGTTGATGATGAGAATAATAGAGCCTCTGAACTTCATGATCTCATCAATACAATGCTTTCCTCCCTGAGAATACTTCCATAACGTAACTACTGCCTGCTCTCTGTCCAGAGGATCCTTGTCAAGTCCAAGCATCTGAACAAACAAGCCCACATAACTCTCTCCAGAGGAAAGTTCATCATTGGTGTGTCCCTGAACAACATGAAAAGAAGCAAAAGATGGTAAATAAAATATGAAATGGCACGGATAACTCGAACTCACCTTACGGATAACGTAAGCATCCATGAACAAGGCACTCATATTATTTTGAGAAATTTAAGATAGTAGGACCGCGAAATTCCATGGAATATCATATTATTTTCGAAAATGAAAAACTTTTATCACAGCCTTTGCCACACGGTTCAAGAAACCTCTTTCTGAGCCTCGTTCTCGTACACCTTACCCATATGATAAAAGAAGACGCTGACGCAAGCCAAGAGTGAGAAGAAATTCCACGTCTCAACTATCATCATGTAGAAAATTTCCAGTGATATCCATCGGTACCAGGACACATAAAATCTACATAGGAGACTCACTGGGGGAACTACAGAGCTTGTTTGAGGACCATCAGCGTCATCAGGGCCAGTTGGGGAGTAAGAGGAGGATGCACCGGAATCATTGGCCGCTTTGCAAAGCAGCGGGACAGACGCCGACTGGCGCCGCCGACGAGCTATTCGGACAGGACCAGCGCGCTCAGCCAACCGAGACGGTCGCCTCCCCGTCGCCCCCGTCGCCGACGCGAGTCTGCAGCTGCCACTGCGGTACAAGCGACAGGGCGCGAACATCGCGTTCGAAAATGGAGGCGCCGCCGCCAGCGGTGCCATGAACGCCGGCGGAGGGGGGAGAGTAGAAGTGAGGTGGGAGAGAAGAAGTGGCGGGGACGAGCTCGGAGTGTTGGCGGATATGCCGCTCACCAGACTTCATTTTCCTCCTCGTAAAGACCCCCACCCGGTGGCGGTTTGATAGCCGGTCAAAACCAGAATAGCCGGTCACTTAGATAAAAACTCATTAAACTCATGTCACCCTAAATTATTTGGTCAAATCCCAAGTTTACCCTCAATCCCATACCTTCTCCTCGTGCAGTTTTCACAAGGTCTCCTCAAGACCCACATGGATAAAAATGTCTTTTCTCAGGGTATAGATTAATCCCAATACATTCAAGTCGTCTTCTTTGATTTTTTGTGATTAAATAGATTAATCCCATATTAGCCCAATCCATGGCTGGCTTAGAGCACTCAATAAAGATATATTTACAGACATCAACCTTAGTGACTAGTAAATAAATCTTACTCATGTAGTCAAGATTGCAACCTAATGCTCTTGTTTCATTTTTTCTATTTTTAGGAAATAAAATTTCCCATTATATGGTGGGAAATAATTGATGCATCCTTATGTGTCATTATCTATAGTGAACTAACCTTTCAAGTGTTTTCTCCTTGGTTAGATTATTTTTATAACACATTACTTAGAAGCCAAAAAAAAATCAAGAGGGGATGGAAGTGAAATGGAGAAAAGAAAAATGGTGAGAAAAATGAAAGGAAGGAAGCTAGAAAGTGATGAAGGCTGTTAGGAACTATTTGGAATATTTAAATTTTTAAATTTTGTAAAAATGGTGTTTTATATGCCTTGTAAATTTATTTAATATATTTGAACAATGATCTAGAGCAGTTTAAATGGTTTTTCTATTTGAGTTCCTGAAATCAGCCACCAAGATTATATAGATTAGTAAGTGAAATGTATTTGTTAGGAAATAACTTGTCGATGTCCATCAAAACCATTAATTAATAGGTAAGGAGGCTCATTATATATATAGATATATATATCTTAGTGGGGCTGAGACATATGAAAAGGTATCACATACTAGGTTTTGAATAAATTATTTAAATGGAATAATAGACCTTTGATATGCTTAAAGTAAAGTAATATCTTTCTGGATAATTCATACACCTTTGTGGCCAATTTATAATTAGGAAAAAACTGTGCCTTATTTTGGATTATTATATTAAATGTTTTCATAACCTCATAGGAATTTTACAGCTCTAAAGAAGTACAAAATAGGAAAAAGTTTATTTTAAGCTATGTAGTGCTTTATAATTTTTTTTACTACTAATGGAATGTTTACCTCACATAAGAGAATAATTCATTGGTCATGGTGACTCAATATATGAGAAGTTTGCATCATAGAAGATTGGATTATATCAATTTTAATATTTCAATGCATAAAAATTAACTTGGGAAATTCTAGAAATAATTTTTAGAGTGATCCACAATAATATTTGAAATAACACATAATTTCAATATATTAAGTTTATGTTGTGCAACAATGCAACACATCAACATCATTACATTACCATTTTAGGAGTTATTCTCCCATCTATGATTAAAAATAATAATTAGAGGCATATGTACATGGTTATTCACCTCAGGGTCTTCTATGATATTCTGCAAGTCTTGATACCTTTGCATTTTGATTGTAGATAGCATAGTTTTGTTAGTCATATTCATGATGTAGGCGATGACACAGCTTTCTTAGGAGATAGCACTTTGACTTTTTAACTTCAATCACTTTGACATATGAAGAAGCACTCTTGTTATGATGGTCAACATCTCGTTTGTAAGACCATTATTTCGAATGTCAAGTGACTATTTTGAAAAAAATAAGGTATTTAGACATTCAAGAAAATTTGACCTTGGTCCAAAGTAGATTAAAGTACAAACTTTGATAATATAATAGGTATTTATTTTGTTAAAAAAAATCTTGATAATTTTCAACAATAACTCATAAGTTTGACTGTCCATTTTCTTTCCTTTCCCATTATTTGGGCCATGTTCTTTGTTTGACTAATCCATGTTGCTATAACTGCAACACCCCTTGGTTGACTCACAACAATACCAAAAAAAGCCATGCTAGCCATACTACTGGACCAAAGAATTATGCCAATATTGACTAGTAATTATTAATGCCATCCCTGGAATTGTGGAGAATGTTTGTAGATTCTTCAACCAACCAAAATCTATGTGAATTTTGACCTACGAAAATTATCTCCAAACTTGAGGATTATTTTGTCAATAAAAGTCAAAACTTTAGGTTGACAAGGTGTTTACTCACTCTTTAATCCAGCATTTGAAGTCAAACCCGATTTGACGTAAATGGCCGGATTACTAAATGGAGTCGTGGTTAAGGAGTTCAGTTCATATCTCTGACCTCGGATTAGGGGCCTTGACTTTATGCAAACCGATCCCGCCCACCGACCCGAAACCGCCTGTCTCTCTCTCTCTCTCTTCCCCACCTCTCTCTTCTTTTAGTCTTCTTGTTCTTCCTGTTCGAGTGTATCTGCCTTTCTAAACATAAAGAAGCTCGTAGCTGTTGTCTTCTGGCTTTCGACCCCCCGTGGAAGGATAATTGGAAGCCGATGGGTGGAGACGGACGTAGCAAACGCGGCAGTCGGATCACCAAGAAGAAGCGCAGCCGCCGGTCGGAGAGCGACGAGAGCAGCGACGACGAGGGCTCCTCCCGCTCCGTGTCCTCCTCGGGCTCGGAGACTGAGAGTTCCGACCATGAGCGGTCGAGTAAGGGCAGCCAGAAGAGGGACAAAAGCAGGCGTCTTCGGGAGTCCAGGAGGGAGAAGAAGAGCACGGAGATGTCGTCATCTAGGAAAAGGAAGAGGGAGAAGGAGAGAGAGGTGTATAAGAAGGAGAGGAGAGAGAGGCGCCGGCAGAAGCGGCGGAGCAAAGGGGCAGATAAGAAAGACTCTGAGAGCGTGGATTCTTCCTCCGTCAGTGACGACTCCCATACGAAGCCTCCAAAGCCTGAAGCCGTGCTGCGCCACATTCTCAAGAAATTTCCGGATGCCGCCGGCGATTTGAGACAGGTGCTGATTTGGGATTTTTTTCTTTCTGTTTATGTGCCCGCATTCGTCCAGCTTTTGTTGCTCTCGCATGCTACCACCATTGTACTAGCATGAAAAAAATAAGGAATTTATGCTACTACTGATATCATCATTGTTTTTAACATTAAGGTCTTGTACACTAATGACAATGGAAGATTTGATTATCATTGTCTAGATGACTCTTTTATCTAGGAATTTCAGCTACTGATTCATTGTTACGTAAAAAGTTCTTCTTGAACAAAGTCAGCAAAAATGAACAGCCTGGAGGTCCTGACAAGGAAAATGGGAACTAAGCCTCAGCAATATTGTGACATTCTTATGTTCATGCAAGTGAAGAAAAATTTGAGGGAAAAAGAGGTTCCAATTGTCTGATTAGGACTAGCAACATGCTTTATATAAACTTCAAAGTGAGGTTTTGGGAAATGGTTGGTTAAAGATGTTGATCAAGAATAGAACTGAAAGATACGTATTTTGATGAAATTACAATGATTTTGGTGAGCGATAGGTAAGAAAATCTTAAATTCCTGATATATACATCCTATTGTCAGTTAGATATGGGTAACCTTACCTGAAATGAAAAAACTTGTTGAAACATGAAAGTGGAGACTGTAAAATTGACAGGAAATTGTGAAATGTTTCATTATGAGAATTAACTTCAAAGGAATTTTTGACCAAGGAAGAAAAGTAGCAGATGAAAGCTCAATGCTTTGACATTTCTTGAAGTATATGTAATGTGGAGATGTCACTTGTTAGCCCTTCAATCGAATGTTGGGATCTGGGATCTCCACCATGTGTAATTACTCATTTCATCTACTGGAAAAATGGAAGACAAAATAGTTCCTTTCCAAGCTAGTGATACATGAATCAGAGGAAACTTATGAATTTTTGAGGTAACAATAAAGCTATATTCGTGATTTTGAAGGTCCGCTTGAGAATCTGGATCCTAGTTTCGAATAGAGAGAGCTACCGAGTGGCCATTCCTGGAGATGAATTTTTGCTTTTTCATTTTGCTTGAAAGATACCGGGACAAACTATTTCTTGTTCTTGGTTCTTGGTTCTTACGGTTGCACTATGGAATGAGAAGCTGAATCATGTGTAAGTGTCGAACGCTTGCAGCAAATAATTGGATGTTATCCGTAGGGTATGGATGTTTCCGACGTCATCAGTTTTAAAACCATAAAATAAAATTCATGGGCAGCCAGATGATGTTTCATTGTTCATATATGTAAAATTTTAATTGTGGTTTTTTTGTTTACATTGGACCCTGGAGTAATAGTTGATCTGTCTCAGAACGGATTTTTGAAAGAATAAAGAGTTGTGTCTGTGTTCTCTCAAAATTGAATTACTATGCCTGATTTTAGACTTGTCTAGACTAGCCCGCCCTTTTAGGAGGTGCAGGGCCTACGCTCTGTCCAGATCTTAGTGTCATGCCAAGCGAGAGTTGGAGGGCTGGCCAATCCTGGTATCAATTGACAGCACATCCATCCCTGCTGGACTTGCACTTTCGTGGTGTCACTTAGTCATATCAAGAATCAAGGTGGCTAAATCAATATCCAGTATTACTTCCTTCTAAAAGTTCATATCTCCTTTGTAACAGTCAATTCATCTCCGATCACGAGATTCTGTCATCGCACGAGAAACTTGACTAATAGATTAATATGATTCAAATGTTACCAATGATTTTCCGTATTCATGTAGATTGTTTGACTTTTCCATTCACGAGCATGACTTTGTCCAGGAGCATGCTGCCCGTTCCAACTAAACCCTCCCAGTTCAAAGTGTAAGTGTTCTTTTCTAAATGAAAGTTCGAGCGAATTAATTTACCTAATTTGCTCTCCAAAAGATCAGCTGATCCGTATAACATTTTCTGACCATGAAAGCAACTTTTTGAAAAATAAAATGGCTCAAGATTGGGTCATTGTCGACCATTTTCAGGGAGTCTTTTTCATCCTACATTATTTATTTCGTGGTAATTGATTAAATTGTGTTATTCCATCAATTATATTATCTAGTGTTCTTTCTTTTGCAGCTTCTGCAAATTATTGATAGTGGGCAAGCTGTTGATGTGAGAGGAATTTCTGACAAGTCCATGGTGAAACTTCTGAAGAAACTATTTTTTTCATTAAAGCTCAAACGAAATGAGGATGGAGTTTTTCTATTGCCTCCCGATAGGCTTCCTACTTTAGATGTAGTTGGCTCGTTGTTATCCATAAAGGTCAAACCCAGTGCAGTATCTCACTCCACAGCAGCGAGTGAACTGCAAGCAGCATCTCCTGAAAAAGAATCTGTACAAAACAAAAATGAGGCCGGTATTGGTCCATTAGAAGACCCACGTGTGAATTTGGACTCCCTTTCTCACCAAAGAAGGTGAGATGCTGCACATTTCTTGAAACTTCCAGAAAATATTCTCTATGTTAAATTTTAACGATGCTACATAATTAGTTGCATCTCTATCGCATGTAACAATGTAGATTACCTTATTGTTTTCCGTGGCAACTTTTAACCAAATCATGTGGCTTTACTGGGATGCATAATTGATGCCTGAGCCAACGTATTCTCTTGATATGTCTTAAACTTCTTAGGTCCAAATTTATTTTATTTGTTTGTGCAAGCATTATTCATTATAACATTCAATTTGTTGTGTTCCCTAGCTTGTTGACAATATCCCACTTCTGCCTCTGCTAAAATAGCTTCTAACGATTGCAGATACAGTTACGTCCATGTGTTTGCACTAAATGGAGTTTTTCAATTTTCATAGTTTACCGCAAGGACTAACTGCATGTGCAGGTTCATTGGCCCTGCAATGCCATCTGCTGAGTTATTGGCTGCAGCAGCTGCATTAACTGAAGCTGCAACGGCAATGAGGTACATAAGTGAAATTCTAATTTGTTGGTTATTAAATGCTGAAACTCACCAGGCTTTAACTATACATTTTCCTACTATATTCTTACATGGCCCCACGAAGAGAATAATAATCTGTTTCTTGAGGAGTGCAGCAAAACTCCACTTATGTCCCTTCAATAGTCCCTCCCAGTAAACGTCTTCTTACAGGAGGTTTTATGCCCTGATCTTGGTCATGTGAACGTCTAAACTTTTGTGTTGCTTGCTGAAGTCCAAAGTCTGCAATTCTTTTGTTTAGCTAACCCAGTCTGTGGCGGGTAGCTGTTATTAGTTTTAGAACAGTTCTAGTCAAACTGTACTGATAAAGTTGACGTTAGATATACATACTTATTTCATCCATTGCCAATTGATTTTTAATTAAATGACTCGGCTCCTAAGTATAGTCTCAGAAGTCTAGATATTCTACTTATGTTATCCATCAACAAGTCTATCCGCGTGTGATAGAATATTGGGCCTAGTCACAGTAGGCTGTATTGAATGGGTGGATTAAATCCAGTGGTCTGCTATATATGGGCCTAGTCCACTCATTGCCAATTCGTTTGAGTTGGATGTTTTAGTATTTAAAAATAAATTCTCTCGACATATAACAAATAAATTTAGTATAATGCTTAATGTTTACATAAAGAGTTTGGCATACCCCATTTTTATGTGTGAGCTCTTTTAAATCTTTTGAAATTATCAGGGATGCCGATCTGGAGGATGATGGAGAGTTACTTATAGGTCCTCCACCGCCTGCTGTTGTTTCTGAAGTCGAATCAGCAAATGAGGCTGAAAGATTTGAAGAGGTAATAGCTATTTCTATTTTTGTCATCAGAAATGGATTATTGATTTCTAGAAGGCCTGGATATGTTTCTAATGTAGTTGTTGAAGCTTGAGCTCTTTGGATGGCCTTTGAATGGTTAAATTGGGGAGAGACATGGTCTCGAAGGAGCACAAAAGTTGGTGGTCCATCCTTTATTAGTGGGCAAAAGTCATGAGACAACTGCTGTTTTTGAGGATCTTCTCTCACTTTGTTTACACATACGTTTCCTAACAAGGTGTTCCTGGGGGGGGGGGAAGGTGCAAATACTCTAGTGACTTTTACAAAATAATGATCTGTTTACCTCAAAAATGTTGATAACGAGACTATCATTAACTTTAAGAAAAAGGTTCATCATGATTTTGAGGTCCTCTTTGAATAGACCTTAAATCGTCTGCATAGGCCTCTCCAGTCATGGCCTGGTCAACTTCAGTGACCCCTGTGCAGATCAGGGATCATGGAGTCTAGGGAGGAGATAGAAAACTGATTATTCCCTGTTTTTCTCAAAATATGGGCTGGGGTTTGACTGAAGTAGCTTAGTTACATGATAAGAATACTAACCAGCTGGTAGGAGGTTGATGATGTGATGCATTTGACTGGGACAGAGGTTCTGTACTACATCACTTGTTGTCCTACCTTTACTTTGTGCACAAATTTCCACGTCCAAAGATTTCAGCATCCATAAGAATAGGTTCTCCCTGTAACAAGCTCCATAAACTGAGAGTAAGTCACTCTTAGTATAGATCCAACAAGAATAAAAGGGGTGATTTAGGGGCTAGACATAGAACAAGCTGTGAATGTAGTATTTATGTCATGGGCTGAACATTAAGATGTAAAATGAGGCGGGAGATATTCCTAGGTGGTGTTAGGAGACCACATTTATAATATTGGCTGATCCATTTTTATATTTGATTGCCAGATTATTTAGGGTTAGACTTGTGCCTTGCAGTTTCTCTTTGCCAACGATCTAAATGTGGAATGATGCTTTGTCCTTGGACTTCTTAACTACTTAATGCTGGGAAAAGGAAGTAAAAATTGAAAATGAACTGGTGGCTCTATTCCCTATCTCCCTTATTACTTCCAACATTACCTGTTACAACAATGCACACATGACCTCCATACCTGTTGCACTCTGAAACCAAGCAGACCTGTCATGTTTAACTGATGTTTATGTTGAAATAGGATGGCATGCGGAAAATTCTTATCCATGAATCTTCAGATTTTTTCTTAGCATCTGTAGTAGCAAGCACGGTTCACTTATATTTTTGGGTGATAATGACTGATAGTTTTAATGTCAGATGCTCGAGAATCCACATTTATTTGGTATTACCTGCAATAAATGTGTGTTCTTTGTCTATACTATCTGCTTTGAAGAGTGTGTTCCTTGATGTTGTGAAAAGAATAATCAGAACAGTTTACATGGCACTATCGTATGGCTGCCTCAGCCTTTACTGTTGTCACTTTTGACATGCCACACATTTTTCTCTGAATTTTCTCTCTCATTGGACCCTCTTTGATGTTTTTACGTTTTTCAATATGGTGTAGGTTACACGAATTGTTGGGTCTGATCCTGATAAACCTTATGACGTGCTTGGAGCGAATTGGAAAATGTCAACTGATAACATCAAGAAAAAGTAAGTTAGCTTTATTCGTTGACTTTTGATTATTTTTTATCATTTTGTTCCTCATTAGCGTAGTGAATTTTCTCCACTGCAATAAAATCAACACCAAGATGATTTACTATTTTGAATATTTGCATCTTATAAACATTGGTACTTTGCGATTGATGTATAATGGTTGAAAGAAAAGTGTGATCTTTAAAGATATAAAAAAGAAAACTGTAGGAGAATATATTCTATAAAGATAAAAAGCTTGTCAATGCTGGTATTTGACAATAATTCGAAAAGTATTTATTTCCCTCTTAGAGAAAGTTACCTCTATTCTTTTTTCTCCATCTTCCCCATTGTTCGCTTCTGTTCTATCTTTGATCCATCCCAATATCTTTCCCCTCTACGACATTTTACACTACACCCTGGTATTACAAGCAACAGAGAGGCAACAAATATCTCATTTAGCAAGACCTCCGTTGCTCTGGAGGAATAACATAGACACCCATCGACTATAACCAATCTGTTATTGATAATGCAGGACAGTGGTCCATCGATTCGTTGAAATTCAATCATACAAACTGCAATTAAGAGTAATCAATCCTCTCCTCAATTGACACTTCATATAATGCAACGAAAGATATGTCACTGTGAAAGTCACTTGAGTTAGCTGCCCGTTGAGAAAGCAATTCTGGTTCCAACTGTTGATATGAATGTCATGGAATTTGTTCATGTGATGTTACACTTCTTAAACAATTAAAAACCTATTATTAAAAAGTAGTATGTAGAACCTGAACATTTAGTACTAGACAACAATGGATTGTCAGAAAATTCAAGCAATTGAGCCAGCATTGTTCTGAGGCATCTCACCATTACAATTTTGATTCTTCATTTTTTATCAATAATTGATGCTGAAGATGGTGACGTTCCAACAAGCTAGGGCACTACAAAAAGAGGAATGAATTGTTCAGTTATAGGTTTGACGTCCAGAACTAAAACATTGTGGAAAATAGAAAAAGTCGCCCTATGACACCATGATTATCGTGGTTTCATTCCCTTAACAATCCTCTTCAAATACCCATAATTGGGAAAAAAATTATATTTCTTGAACAAATTTTAAGTTCCCTTTACCCTAAGTTACTATAAAACTTCTACTTCGACCCACATCTTACTTACTATGCTTCTAGCAAGTTTGAAGTAGAAATACATCCCAAGAAACTTGAAACTTGGGTGACCACTTTAGGAGCGGAAGCATGATGTGATTCTTGAATCAAGGGATTTATAGCTCTTGAAAGAGATCTATCTATTTTCAAATGGCCTACCCGTATTTGGAAAAAAATGGCTTGTTTTTCAGTTTTGTCAGTACTTTTTTAGATTTTTTTTGACATTACCAAGATTTTAGATGTCTGAACTTGTTGAATGGCTGTGAAACCTAAAACTATATCAGACGTTGATGTTTCTTTATTAGTGTCTATACTTTATCATTGATCGCCCTTTTCAGGCATAAACGCTTGTATGTTGGAGTTCAATATTCAAGTTCTTTGACATTCTGCCTGCTTTTCAGTTGCTGGCACTTTTCTGGATGGTTTTTACACTTTTTCAGTTCCTCTCGATTCTGTCTCCACGTGTTCATATGTTAAAACTTGAATTTTGTGTCAATTACAGATATTGACGCTCATTCTGTAAGTGTTGATGCATATCAGAATAACGGTTTGGGTTTACTAGTTACGTAAAGCTGTCTATGTTTTGCATATTCATGTAAGACAGGTTAGGTGGTTTGTATCAACCAACTTAAACTCACTCGTAAGCATGAAACTCAACTGTTGGAGTTATAGTTAGATGATAGGATTTGGTTACCATGCATTAAAGAATTCCAAACATTTTTTTTGGACAATCGCTGCACATTCTAGTTTTCCCTTATCTTTGTAGGTGGCTGGATGCATATAAAGACACTTGCACATAAATGGTCCTACAAGGTTGAATTTGAGATTGTTTACTTTGAAGATTGACAACTTAGAATCTCATTGAAGACTATTCGTTTCTCGGATTTCTGCTCATTTCATAAAAATTTTCTAGCTTAGTCTAAAGGAAAGAGTGTTATAGGCGTTGATCTTTGACCATCTGTTGTTGTTACCTTATTGTAGCATTGTACATAACTTTCTAAGTATTATTTGGCATTTTGCAATTTTTTCATTGTAGAATTCTTATTTCCATGCTTTCATTTAAAAATTGTTGTGATCATACATCTAAAGTAGTTGTGTTGATCTTTGGTTAGGTATTGGAAGTTGTCTCTCATGGTTCATCCTGACAAATGTTCGCATCCTCAGGCACATCAAGCATTTGTGATATTGAACAAATGTTTTAAACTACTACAGGACACAGAGAAGGTGGTCTTGTCTCAATTTACTGTTTTTTGTAATTTATTTTGTTAAAATATTTGTGTAATATCTAATTTAACTGCGAATATACTCATTCACTGGATTTGATAATTCATTGGGCGCTGGATGTATATGATACATATATATGGTCTTTGATATCCGAACTTTTTGTGCTTTTGACCATATTATGGATGACAAATTTAGTTCTGTTAAGTGCAAGAATTATAATCTTATAAGCTTATTTAGATATCAATTTCTTAATCCATTCAAAACTGGTTCTTGGTTTTGACGGGTTGTTATACACAAGCCTTTCGATTTGGAGAAAAAAATGAAGACTGATAAATTCATTTTCTTTGGCTTTTGTGCATCTAAAACCAGGTTTACCCTATGAAAATTGTGTCTAGTCATTCAGTCATTCGAATCCTCTTTCATTCTCCCATTTCCACTAACAGCTACCTTTATTGAAGCTTCTTTTGGAGCTTACCTTTTGATTAAGAGAAGAATGAATGATCAGGTTAGATCAGCCAACAGTTGCAACAGAAAGGTTAAAAAGTTGAACTAGTAGACAATAAAGGGTTGACCGCTCCATGGGTAATTTTCAGAACCTTAGAAAGTGATACAAAGAACGGCTCCTTCGAGAGCAACTAAGATACAAATGGTGGATAACAACATCTAAAATGAGTGAGACTGCTTAATTTTCCTGTGATGCTTTGTATAGAAAGACAGTCTTGGGAATAAAAGGAAACAAAAATTGTCTATGAAATAAAAGCTTGAGATGTTTAGTAACCTTTTCAAAAGTTACTCGAAGAGAAAGAAAGCATGGAGATTCGGATTGGGAAGGCTCCTCCTTGGCTTGATATTTCAATAATTTATCAGTGTCGTCCTTACAAGTGAAAGGAAACCACTTTTAAGGATGAAGGCATGCTGGTGTCCTCATCCAGATGGCTTTGTAATATTGTGTGTGTAAGAAATGATTAAAGAAGTTGTACGCAGAAAATTAAAGATTATCAATGTTGATTCAAATCAATTTGGTTTTTTTACAATCAACTTCCTGCAAAAGTCCATTACCTGAGGAATCCGATTACAAAAGTCTTATCTTCTCATCCATCAAATATCGAATTTGAAACATATGTAAAACAAGAAAAAAAGTCCACTCGTCGGATACTTAAAAACCTCTTCCCCCTGAAATCCATGTGGAAAACAGTAATCTCTGAGTTCTCCAATCCTAACAAATATGACGAGTACTTCTTCAGCATGGAGTTGGTACCAAAGGTGCTCGTGTGTACCTCTTTGCACATCTTGGAATTCTGTACTGTCTCTCTTATCTGTGTGACCCGTAACACTAGCCGATGTGCCCTAGACATTTCATTCACGGACTCCATTTGACCTTGGAAAGGCATCTCTACAACACTTCCATGCAATCATATTCTATAAAGATACGGTCAAATTGTTTCTCCCCCAGTCCACAGAAACTGAAGGTGTGTTCAATGTAAGTTTTGAACAAAACAACTTTATCACAGTATACAGACTCCTTTGGCACAATTTTCTCTTAGAATTCTGACTTTCATGGGAGTAGTCTACCTATGCCGGTATGTAACACGACATAATCCTAAAAATTTCCTACAAAGAACATAAAGTTTCCTACAAAGGACATTCGTTTGTTGACTGTCCAATTTTCTCTTAAAATGTCCAATTTATAGTCCTTTTTTACATCCTGGCCTGACTTAATGATTCCCCTCCAATTGTTCGTAATTTTCTTATATTATGAATATGCTAATCTTTGTCTTTGGGGATGTTCCATAGTATGGTAGATACCTTGCTCGTAGAGATTACTGAGATGAGAATGATGATATGAGCGACAATCCTGTTAGAATTTTTAAACTGTTCTGACCACCTCCCTTCATTTATTGCATTTATCTTTTATAGTTCTTGCTTGCTATCCTCTCCTATCTTCAGCAATGGTTTTTCTTTTGAGTCAAACTTCGCCATTTCAGGCCGATCTTGAGTTTTTCTTTTTTCCTTTCCTGCAAGCGAAGCCTAATCTACTTTTTCATGCGCTCTTCTTGTTCTGCTCAGTTCTTATAGAGAGAAGCATTCCGAAAATGGATAAAATATAACATTCAAGGCTGGAAAGACTGTCCAGAACCTTACTGATAATTCCCTATTTTCGGCTGACATTAGAGAATGATTCATGTATATCTGCACCACATAATGTACACTAAGATGATGATGGTATCGGTATTCAATTCGTTGGCTTTTAAGAATTTTCTTGGTCTATCATATGTAGGCATATAAGTTTTCTTCTCCTTTCCTTCAAATGCAAATTCATATAAAAGTTGATTGAAAGAGCTCCCTTGTTTCTTGCTATTTTCACTCTTGAATTTATTTTTTTCTGTTCAGTCTGCTCACCCAGTTTATAGTGACTGTTCAATTTTTAACTTGAAGATTTACGTACATTTTAATCTTCGAATTTTTTCAGAGGAAAGAGTTGGATGAGAAAATTAAGCTCAAGGAAGAACAGGAACAGTTTAAGGTAAACAGAAAGTGCTGTCATATTCTTCTTTTATGAACTGGGTTAGTTTATACGTTTAGATCTTTGCTTTTAAGACCTACGCATATCTTGGGACGTTTCTGGATGTAATAGAAGAGACTCCTGATCCTGTCTCTTCCTAGTCAATCCCCTGATCTTCTGGACTCCCTGGTAATGATGCCGACCTTGGTGATTTCTGCGGTAAATCTTAGAGTTTGTAACACTAGGCAAAGAAAGAACATGCTACAGGTCTTGACCGTCACTATTATAAAGTATCCATAGTGATGATAGAATGTTATCTCAACAACTTATTTCTGCGTAGTTTTATAGGAACAAAACTTCTCTGCCATTTTTTCCTCACAAAAACACTATGTTCTTTGTCCCTCAACCTAAGTAGGTTATTCTTTGACTTTAAAAACTCTAAGCTGCCTTTGAGGAGAATGTGTCATCCAAGGTGAACGATCTTGTAACTTTGAGGAGAAGATGGATGACTTATTGCATTTTTTCTGGAAGGAATCATTGGAGATGTTAGATAAGGAAACCAGGGGACACACTATGAATTTTGCTGAGGTCACCTTGTTTCCGAATCCATGAATACAGAACTGATCACGATGAAGGCCAAGGAGGTTAGTATTTTGTTGCTAGAAAATAGGTTTTACTGTGCGCATGCAGTGTTTTGAAAAATTGACATGGTTTGGTTGGACCAAGTTCGCTATTCTAGTGAAACGCGTGGGAGATTCATAGAGGCTGATCTTGTCTCCCACATTACATTCAGATTCATAGCCCATGTCAAATAGTTAAAAAATAGTTAAACGCGTGGGATCATGTTTTTCTGCTTTGAGCTATCAGAGAAGTCTAAGGTTGAAGATGGTGACATTCTGTGATCTTGCTTTCACCAAAAATTATGGCACATTTGTATCAGCTCGGTAACTCTAGTTTTGTGCTACCTCGGGACGTGCATGTCTTCATTTTTTGAAAATATGTACAGCAAGTCCCATTCCCCTAAGAAATTCCACTCTTTACTTGGACCACTTCGCTGGTTATGACCAATCCTTATTTAGCTAGTTGTAATTAATTTAGGACTGCGCAATGAAGTGATTGAAGTGGGTCATATATTATATAATCAGGTTTGTGCATGAACAATGATTGAGCCCATATAGTTTAGCTACTCCCAACCACTGTCGAATTCCAGGTAGGGTGATATTTAACCCCTTATATGAAGAACTTGATCTCCTCCACCTCGGGATTTTTTGGCCATACTCAATGACACTGAATTTGATCTTCCTACTCCTTTCTGCCACTTGTGTATCCATATCATAAATTTGTGATATCTCATCCATCCAGTTCACAAGAAACAGGGTTCCAGTTGGAATAGGACTTGAAGAGGTGTCCATTATGCTCGGATGAAAATTTATTGTTTTGATTATTATGGTTGCACATTCTGATAAACTTGTCGTTTATGATGTATGGCTTGATATCAACCTAATGTAACGTTTTTAATATATTTTTCACTCCTTTAGGTTGAGTTACGATCACTCCGTGAAGCTGCACAATGGAGAAAATTGCAAGGTCTGGTAGCTTTTTAGTGGATGTTTGTTAATGCCTCTTATTTAGTTTTGATTCAGTTAGCATGATTTCGAAAAAGAAATTATCCCTGTAACGAGGTTTGGCACCATAATATTCTGTAAATAAAGATGCCCAATGAGACATCTAACCTGTCGCATGAATTTTTCTTGTACCCAACAGCCTTATTTTTAGAATAAAAGCTTCCTGTGATGGACCAAACATGAAGGGAAAAGACAGGCGTGCTTTTTTGGAAGAAAATAATGGAAATGTTCAATTCTTGGCAGGGATATCAATGGAAGGTGATGATATCCTTCTGGCGGAGACAGAGGCAGAGGCAGAGCAGCCAAAAAAGAGGGACGAGTGGATGACAACGCTGCCTCCTGAAAGGAAAGTAAGGATCCTGTCCTCATCTGACTGATCTGCAACTCGCAATGTTTTCTGAGCCACTGGCCGATTCGGCTCGGGAACAACCGTCAAAGATCAGGAGAATTGTTGACCGAATCTGGCCACATCCAACCAATTATCTTGTTATGGGGGGTGCAGATTAGCCGACTACTCTGGCTAGTTTATTGATTTTAATCAGGGAAACTTAGCCTCGATTCCACCATTTCTGACTGATTTAGACAGACCTAAATCCGGTTCAGGATCAATTTCTCGCCCAGATTTCTTCATCTTTACACCAGGATGAATCTTTAACCATCAGTCTTTAATTCCCAGCCTGGCATCACGACGCAATCAACGACATTTAGTAGGACCAACAAAGAAGGGCGCGGCGACACCAGTGTTTGGACGGACAACCCCCTCGACAAGGCTCACAAGGCAAAACAGAGGTTCCACCATATCTTTCTCAATTCAACAAGTTCCATGGATTCTCTTCTGTTTGAGATATTCACCTAATTATGGCAAAAGACCCTTCCTCCCATCATAACATCAGGTGTTGTATATTATTCCCAGTTACTTGGAGGCCTACAACAAGGTGACGGCAACCAGTGCTGCGGACTCGGAGAGAATGAGATCGACTGCCGACGCAGACCTGGTTGACAAATACAACCAGGCCAAGCGGGCCAAGTCCCTGGTGCAGAAGCACCGGGAGGAGAGTGGCCGATCGAAAGGCAAGGCAAAGCGGCTGCCACTGGAGAAGGAAGAGTGGGCAGGGCAGCACCCATGGAAGCCCTGGGACCGTGAGAAGGACCTGTCAGCCGGCCGCCAGAAAGTCAACTTGGATTCCAAGAACATGTCCGAGGGCCTCTCCTCCCGGTTCTCCTCCAGCTCCTTCCAGAGGGACTTCCTGTGAGCCGGCCTCTGGCTGGCAGCTCTCCCATGGCAGCAGCAGCAAGTAAGCTACTTACTGCCCTTTTTGAACTTGATTTTCTTATGTAAGTGGTGTCCATTGTCCAAAAATGACTCCCTGTTGGCACTAAAGCCATCAAGCTTCCCCTTCTCCCTCTCCTGGGGACCCTGTGGGGAGAAAAAATGGGCTCCAACTATGATAAATTTTCTTATGAGCTGGCTTTTTGCTCTCTGAAGTTATCTGAAGGCAGGGAAATGTTATTTGAAAGGGGAAACCCAGATCCAGTGAGAGCGGAGAGCTTCTAGAGGGTGGTGACCCATTGTTGGTCACTTTGGAGTCTGTCAGCTGTTCGCCATGATTGTGGACCTGCAAGCAAGCGCCATGTTGATGGTACCCAAGATGAAGGGAAAGATTGTGATTTGATCTGTTTGAAGAAATGTTATTGAATCTTAAACCTTATACAGTGTATTCAGACGTCAATGCTTTGGAATTATAATCTTTTTTAAAGGTGAAGTCAATGACACCAAGAATTACCAGAATTGGAAATAAGCTACAACCATGTTGAATTTGTTGAGAGCTGTAAGTTAAAGCCATCACAAGAAAGCATGACGTGGGGAAAAAATAATGAAGAGATAAAGACAAGTTTCGTTGATGAAATGATGGTGATGACGATGTAGAAGATGAAATCTGGGATGAACACATGCATGAAACATATAAATCGATTTTAAATTAAAATAAGTAAATCAGGTGGTAGGGAGTTAATGCATGATAATGCCAAAGTATTTAGCAAGCAGAGTAAGGGCAGTCCTATAAAGCTCTGCTAAAAAAAACTAATTTGATAACGAAAAAAGTAAATTGCATCCTATCTTTTTAGTTTGATCGTCTTTGACAATGATGACAGAAAAAACAAAGAGTGCAAGGAAATGTTGGTCGAAACCCAAAAACTTTATTCTTGAAAAACCATCTTACATTAGGGTTGGTATTTATACCAACTTGGTAATACAAGAGGAAGAGAACAATCCATGAATATAGTAAGAAAAATAGCAAAAAGAAAGGAAAAATTACAAATAAAAAATAGAAAACAATCGAGTCATATTCTAAGAGTCTTCCTCAAGTTAGTGAATGTGTGTTATCTATTCTCAACTTGAACAAAAGGTGATAGAAGATGTTGTGAAGACCTTTGATAAATACATTTGTAATTTAATCATTTGTTTGCACATATGAAGTATAAATCAATTTACTTTCTGATTTTTATTTGATAACATGTCAATCAATTTCAATGTGTTTAATTATACCATGTTCAATTAAATTATGTGCAATATTAATAACAAATTTATTGTCATGATAAAGTCCCATCAAACCATCTCTCTTAATCTTCAAATCTTCCACGAAAATGTTCACCCATAATATCTCACATATACCTTGTGCCATAGTATGAAACTCTGCATCTACACGATCTTATCACACCACTTTGTTTCTTGTTTCTCCATGTAATTAGATTTTCACTAAACAATGTGTAATACTCAAAAGTTAATCTTCTATCTACAATTAACTATGTATAATCTACATTGATATAAACTTTAAGTGTCAATCCATTAGTTCTTTTGTATACAATTATTTTCACTGACGTCCATTTAAGGTAGTGTAATAGCTGATGAGCCACATGCAAATGTATCTATTTTGGATTATGCATCACATAGTTGATTTAGCTAACTGCATAAGCTATGTTCGAGCATGCATGCGATAATTAAATCAAGTTTTATATTAATCGTTGATACATCTCTTGATTAACAGTGACATTTTCTTCAATTGCACCAAGCTTGAAGTTGGGATCTATGAAAGAATTAGCTAGTTTCCTTGTTATTACTAGTTTCTTGTAATAAATACATCTTAAGAAATAAAAATAACATTTATGTTATTTTTATTTATGTTGCGGAATAAAAATAACATTCTTAAAGTGAACCACTTTAATTATTAAAAAATATTATAACCAAGGTTTTCATTTCAAATTCTTTGACTAGACATTAACTAACATAATAATTTATAGTCACAATTATATTATCATTATAGTTGTAACTCCCCTAGAGAAGAATACTTGATAAACAAGGTAAAATCACCTTAACTTTGTTTATATCCCACCTTGATCATGAATTTTATTAATCTACCAAACCAAGCTCATGGGGATCATTTTAGTTTATAAAAACCTTCTTTTATTTATGTACCATATTTATATCTAAAATATTTTCATGTTCCAATGAAACTTTAATAAAACTTTCCTCTTCTAGCTCTATAAATAACAATATGTTTTTCACATCAAATTATTATGATCCCAACCAAAGTTAGTCACAAATTATAGCACAATCCTAATTATATTCATTTTTTTATAGGACCAAACGTCTTGAGATAATATGGCCCATAAGTCTATGTATACCCTTTAGCAGCCAATTGGGTTTTGTACTTGTCTATTGATCCATCTACTTGATATTTTATATTGTGGACCCATTTGTAATCTATAATTCTTTCTCATTAGTAGTCTCACCAACTTCAAAGTATTTTTTTTCTAAAGCCTCCATCTCTTCATTCATAACTTGTTTCTATTTTTCATTGGTCAAAGCCTAAAAAATAGTATTAAGAATAGTGTTATAATTTAATTTATAAATAAAGACCATATGTAAAGGTGATAAATGAGTATAAGACAAAAAAAGTGTAATGAGATTTAAGGGTTTTTTTAGTACACATTCTCACAACGTTTCTAAGGGTTATAGGTAAGTTTTTATTATCACATGAAGTTGTGGTTTGTGGTGTATTATTTGTATCATCTTGAGGGAACTCTTAAACATGCATAAATTCTAGGACATTTGCATTTGTCCTTAAATACAGCTGCCAAATCTTGTATTTTCAAGTTCCTCATCAAAGATAGGTTCAGGGGTAGGTGAAACAGTGGGTGTTATAGTCGATAAAGAATATAGGGTAGGAAATAAGAAACTTATTTCTTGACCTTCTAAGACTTCACTCACTCTATTATCATAGCGTGTGATATAATATGTTTCTTTTTCATTGAAGGTAATATCTTTTGAAATGAAGTAATTTTTAGATGGAAGATGATGGCATCAGTATCTTTTTTGGGTTTGAAAATATCCCATAAAGATGTATTTTAGTACTCTAGAATTGTGCTTATCTCTATGTTGTTCATGGCTATGAAGGAAGGTTATATACACTTAAATATTTTTTGTAGAAGCTTTTTTTTTAATAGAATATGAGGATAAATTGATGATAACATATATATTGGACTTTTAAAGTTAAGATATTTAGATGGTAATTGATTTATAAGATGGGTTTCAATAGGGAGTCTATTACCTTAAAAAAAAATAGTGCTTTATTTTAAATAAGAAGTGCTCTAGTCACCTCTAATAAAGGATCAATCTTACATTCAATCGTCCCATTTTATTGATGTGTATACATACACGATGATTCATGTAGAATTTCTTCTTTCTAAAAATAGGATCTTAGTGTTTAGTTAAAATATTTTATAATATTATCAAGTCAAAACCTCTTGACATTTGTCCCAAATTACTTTTTAATAAAGGGGTAAAATTGTAAGAGTGCAATGCTTACTTCATAATTATTTTGAAGTAAATAACCTCAAGATATTCTAATAAAATCATCGATAAAGACAATAAACCACCTAACTCCACTGACATAATATCTTGTGTGGGAGTGTGTCCCCAAAAATCACTATGGATGCAAAAAAGGCACAATATTTTGTGTTACTTTTAAAAAATGAGAACCATCGATGTTTTACAAATTCACACACATCACACTTGAAGTAAGATACATTCAAGTTGTGAAATAATAATATGAATATTATGTTTATATTGAAAAGGTTGGGTGTCCTAATCTTCAATGATTAAGTAAAATTTTCTCCAAAATAGACATGCTAGGTTCATTGGGCAGATATTTATTCTCTTTCATTATATTTAATTATTTGGGTAGTTCAAGTTAGTAGAGTTCACTCCATTGTCCAATATGTCCAATTGTCCACTTAGATATCTTGTTAAAAAATAGACAAATATTAAGATCAAATGAGATATTACCCAAGTATTATGTAAGCTTGCTCATTGAAATTGGATCAGTAGTCAACATAGGAATGAAGTGCATTCCTTAGGATAATAAAAGGTGAGAAATAAATATTTAATATTCCAACAATCATGACCAAGAAGTCCACATTTATAATAATTTCCCTACTATTGAACAATGAGAAAAAATAAGTGTGGGGAGTGAATCATGTGTCTGGTGGCTCTTGAATCAACAATCTATAGAGATGATTTACTATTTGTTTAGGTGCTTAATTAAATAAAAGTTGAAAAAATACCAGAACATGCTAGAGGACATGAGGCTAATGATTATTAGACTTGTATATTTCTTCTATGGCAGGTTGTTGTCCTTGTTATGGTGTGCTTGTTTCTCCTTGTTATGTAATATAACATGAGATTGACCACCACCTCTCGACTGCACTATTTTCTATTTACTCCATATATAATGTAACATGAATTAGATCTCTCATATCATTAATTCATGTTTGATCAAATTGTTATCATAATATTCTCACTTTATATGTATATTTAATTACTAATTTATCTCATTGTCTCAATATCATCATCTTCATTTTTTACTCATAGAGTTGTACTACAGCCCTTATATGAGAGTGGATCCCCAAATATCACTATAGATGAAAAAAAAAAACTGCATAAATAGATCATGAGAGAAATCACACCTGATGTTCTAATACCATGTCTATCAGTGGAAGGATTTCACTTAACCTCTAGTCGCGTCCTCTCTCTTTAATAAGATAGTCTTCCATAGTGGTGGCACAAAGAAATTGGAGAGAGTAAGAAAACATTGACCAAAGCCCTAAAACTTCATTCCAAAAGACTCATACATTAGGGTTGGAATACCAACCCTAATGTAAGATTGAGCTGGTTCAGTTCATAACTTTAGAAAGACAAAAGTATTATACATAAAAAGCATTGTCTCTCAACAACTACATAGATTAGTATCTAGTGAACTAAAAATAGCTCTATGTGGTTTGAAACACTCTTGAATGCATGGTATGAAGGATTCAAGTATATATTTGAATGAAAACTTGAATCAGCCCTTTTCTATTAAACATCACAAAAATCAGATTTTTTATTGTACTTATCTGTAGCTGATCTTACATTAGATTCATCTAATGGTCACTCACGTGATGAAGTTTAGAAAGATATTCGAAATGATTTTGAAAGAAGTATAATCGGTGAATTAAACTTATTTTGAGAGCAGTATAAAGAGAAATAAAAATATGGAATATTTTTTGAACAGTCTAAAAAAAAATCTTGTGAACCTCAGAATATATTTGGAATTTAAACCTTAAGACAAAAAGTCTCACCTGTTGACTTTAGTTACAGCTTAAAATCAAATGGAAATAAAAAAATTGTTAAAAAAAAGAATCCTAGGCGTATTTGTTATTATAGGGTCAACCATGAATACTCGAGCTTGTTTACATAAAGTTAACCATAGATGCTATTTACTCTGGGTTCCATGCTATTTGCGTAAGATTCTCATAATATAAAATTTGAAGGATTTTTAAGGAAAGAGTTGACTCGTCAAGAACCCTTCCTCTATTCGTCCCCCATTTCTCTCCCCTCCCCGCTGCTTTACTTAAACCCCTTATCCTCCGCCCGTCGTGTTTCATTCTTCTTCTTTGTGTGTGCAAGCTGCGGCCTTTCGTGTCGGCGAGAGCACCCCCCATCGGATTTAATCGCAATGAGTCGGTCAGGTCAGCCACCGGATCTGAAGAAGTAAGCTCCTGCGCTGCCCTTTCTCTTTTCTTCGTAGCTCCGTTTTTCAGTTTCTTTCCCTGTCTTGTCGTTGTTTCTAAGCCACTTCTGTTCGTCTCGCGTTGTAAACAGGTATATGGACAAGCAACTCCAGAGTAAGTCTCATTTGCCTGGCTCCCTCGTGATTTTCAGTTTGCTCGAGTTCTACTGACAACTTTTGATTCCACCGTTTTATATGCTCTAGGCTATCTCATATAAATATCATTGCAGGGAAATTTTTCCATTTACTTTATTTTATTGACTTGACTCCCACGCGTGCATCGTCTTTCATTATGTGACGAGTTTTCTTTTTATAACTTGTTGGATTTCATTGAATCAGATATATCGTTTCCTTTGCTATCCCATTCTTCACTATTTAGGTACTTTTTTCTTGTTGAAACATGTTTCCGCCAAGAACACAGTTCAGATCTCAGATATTATTTGGACATGCGTATCTCTCCAATCACTCTCTCTGCATTCAATTATATGTTAGGTGTATGATCGTTTCCCATCAATTAAAAGTTTGCCTTTTTGTTGCATTCTATAAAATTCTGCCAAATATAAATAAAGAAAAAAATTCTCACTCATTCGTAGTTTCTTTAAATTTTTCATGTGGTGTGATATCACCTCGCAAAAGCATTCTACAGAACCGAATGTCGAGCAAAATATAATTTTAAAGGTGAAAATGATGATATAATGAGTACGTCTCTAAAGAACTGTTAACTGCAAGATAAGCGAATGTTGAAAGAGGATCGACATATTTGTGCTTCAGTGGTTGTCTATGGACCTTAACTTATAATGTGCTTTCAGTAGGATATTAAAAAATAATGAAGGAATGGCATTTATGCCTGAGGATGTGGTGATTATCCCATGTATATCCTGGAAGTGGGCAGCATAATCAGAGATTGGAGAGGTCCTACAAGAAATTTCTGAAATGGGTCTAAGATGATCGTTGTAGTTATTTCATGATTCGGCATGTTGGATATCAAAATCAAATGTATTCCTTGAGTTGATGAAACAGTTGAATCATCGATATCATGACTTGATAGAATGGTTGGCAAGTGGTGTTTTGAGTCTCATGTTTGAAAGATTGTTAATTAATTTTCAATGCACCAAAAAAAAACATTGTCTCAGAAAATGGCCTGTGTGCATGAATTAATGTGACTAGTCAACTGGCTATGATGGGGTTGACTGTCCTTGTATTTCCACGTGTGACTGTTATTGGGGCTTCAACATGAGTACAGGTTATAATTTCATTCTTTGATGAACTTTGGCTAACATTCTGTCACTTGAACTCGGTATTGTTATTTGAAGTCGGTAATTGATCCGTTTATTTCTCACATATACTAGGAATTTAGATCATAGCATTTGCAAGACTGAATCAAAACATTCACGAAATATCGTTTTTTTTTTCCTCATCAAATTGAGGACACATGACAAGGTTCTAGACAGTACCTTGGTACGATTTTGTCATTGCGTACTCCTATTACTTTAAATCTTTTCCCAAAAAAGTGATCTATTAAAAGGATGATGAAATGGCTTCACTTTGTGCTATTTTTGTCGATCTTACATGCTAGTTGACCATGCTTCTGGATGTGAAATTGAGTAATCCCATGAGCATAGCATTGCATGGTAAATAATAAAGTCACTTTGGTTAAAAGGGTCTGGGTTCAATTTGAAACGTCTGAACTTGCTGAGATCCCCTCATGTAAAGCTTTTATTTTTTGTATGTTATGGTCCACAGCCATGGGTTGAGTCATGCTTTGATCCTTGCGTTTTTCAAAGAATCAGGTGGAACGTGTGTCATTCATGGAGTCTTATTATGCAGATTTCTGTGTAATTATTTTAGAAATGATTTGTGTTAATCCAGCGTATCCTTATGCTTGATTGTACTATAATCCGTGTCACATTCACAGTCTTTTTCTAGTACTTCTCGTCATTAATAACAATTTCCCTCCAACAGAAATTGGGGAATGATGATGAACAACTATAAAAGCCCCTTAAGGAGAAAGAAAAAAACGTTAAAGGTTACATTTTTGGACTTGTATCTGAGGGTCATCGTGGGAAACCCTAATTTTAACGCATTCAAAGAAGTCTAGCGCCCCGTCTTATTCAAAGGAGCCTAGACTTGGGCCTACTTCAACGATCACAGGCTTGGCTCCATTCCAAAGGAGACCAAGCTCAATCCCATTACAAAAAACGTACCTGTGCTGATTCCCATAAGACCAGGCCCAGGCTATTACAAGTCTATGACCAGACCCATTACAAGGACCAGGCCTGTCATGAAAGGCCTAAATTTGGGGAAGTTAAGTCCATTGATTAAAATCCAAGAAGACATAATATGGGCCTTCAGCCTGACAATCAAAGATCTGGTTAGCACTTATATGATCCTAAGTCTTGTTGCGAAGATCTTTGGTAAACCTTGAGTCGTGTGACACCTGATGTCTATTGGTCAAATCTAGTAAGAACTGATGTGAGCCTTGTGTTACGTCTCATATGGACCTTGTATCTAATGGTGAAGTTCAATACAAATGGACTTTGGAGATCCTCCGTGGACCTTGTGTCTAGGTGTCTAACTGAATTCAGATGGGCCTCAAAACCCGTGAACCAATATATTGGGTGTGGTGATCTAAATCACTCCAATCCTAAAGGGGTTTAAACCATGTGGTCTAAATCAGCCCACTAAATGTATTTCATCCCATGGATTATTGATTGGTTATTTTTGTGTTGAGTCATGTGTTTCATTATGTAAACCATTTAATGGGATTCAATTAATAGATCATCATAGAGACCTTTGTCTCCTGCATTCATCTTGTAGACCAAATAACCTGACCCAGGATGTTAAATCGGTTTTCATTCCTATCAGTTACGATATGGACTTCATTTATAAACTCTCAAATGGGCTTAAGTATAAATCTTTAATTAGTATGCAGTAATAAGAATATTGACTAAATATGAAGGAATCAAATCTCAACAATAATATTGATGACATTTGGAAAAAAAAGACGATTAAAAAATACAAAGCATTTAAAACAGTAGGAAAGCCCATACACAATCTTTAGAAAGAATAAAATAAAAAATGCTGAATATATTCTAAGAAATATACATTTATGTTATAAATAAATCAATATAAAATAGGTACGGATTAAATAAAAAATTTATAATTAGTTTGATGAAATAAATATTAAATTGATAATAATAATAAACACATGAAAGTAGTCACCTAAACACCAAAGTACCACCATTTCGCTTGGCTTTTCTTTGAGGTATCATTTTACACATAGGTCGTCAAGGCCAGTTTTTTCGTTGGAGGAATCCAGTAAATTGTATGTTATGTAATTTATTTTGAAAACTATTTTCCAATTAATGTTGTTTGATATTCACGAATGATTTGCCAAGCAAACGAAGATCCAAAAAGATTTAGGAAATTGATTCTCGATTAGAAGTTTGAATGATATCAGTCTTAGGTGCCATAATTTAGTGCCTAACCAGTGAGATAGTAGTCCACCACCTTGCTCGTCTGAAGAGCTATAGATAAATCCAGGATCTTTCTTCTCTAGAATTTAGAGGCCTGTAAAATCCGGGCTGTAGTTATATGGATCTTGCCTTCTGAACAGATTTCGGCGTACCTAGAATCTGAAAATGAACAACTGTTGGCTTCTCTACTCCATCCAGATGGCAGTATATATGCTAACTCCAATTGTAGCATATATAATCATGCCATCATATTTTTCATTTGTGTCATCTCCTAGAATGTTCCTGTTTATGTTTCCGCAGACTTATCATAATATTTGATGCGACTTGCAGTCAAGCTGAACGCAAACCGAACTGTTGTGGGCACCCTACGTGGGTTTGACCAGTTCATGAATCTGGTGCTGGACAACACCTTGGAGATGAACGGAAATGAGAGGAACGACATAGGAATGGTGGTAAGTTTCGGATGCCCCATATCCCAAAACTCGCAACCACACCTGTTTCAATTCAGTTCTCTCCTACCATTTTCTTCGGTCTCATCTGCCCAATTCGCCTCCTCTCGTCATGTTTCCACCCATTTCAATCCGAGTGATGCATTTATTCCCTTCGCAGGTCATCAGAGGTAACAGCGTCGTCCTGATTGAAGCCCTCGAGCCTGTTAGTAGACCTCAGTAGCTGAATCTTCCATGTGTGATTGAAGAGATGATCGGGTGTCATCAGCCAACATTCAGAAGTGGAATGAATCTAAGTTGCTTTTACTTTTGAATTTCTCCAGTGTGAGAGACCCTTATACTTGATAGAGTTCCCGGTATGAAGCAATTTTTCTTGTGAAATCTCTCTCTCTCTTCTCGTTTCACTAATGCACATACATAGCACACCCACATCTTGATTTATTCGTGCTTACATTAATCACAGACAGAAATTATCACTTCCCAGAGGAAAATAGACCAAGCGCTCCCCCCCCCCCCATCTTCTCTCTCTCTCTCTACCCAAAATGTGTATACAACGTATATATCAAGGTTGGAAGCCACCCCCTGACATGTTACCCATCGTTTGAGAGGGGACTTTGCCTTGAGACAACATTTGGGACCTGCCAGGCGCTTGAACAAATGACCCCATCGCAGAGCCAACCATCTGCTGCTGTTGCTGTGGTTGCTGGTGCTGGAGCTGCTGCTGCAGCTGCTGCTGCTGGAGTTGCTGCTGGTGCTGCAGCTGTTGCTGCTGCTGGATTTGCTGGTGCTGCAGCTGCTGCTGCTGCTGCTGCTGCTGTTGCTGGAGCTGCTGCTGCTGTTGCTGGAGATGCTGCTGCTGCTGCTGCTGCTGGGACTGTTGTTGTTGCTGCTGGCTGGGTATCTGTGGCTTGAATACCACCATGTCCTAGGCACACACAGAAAAGGCATCTGCTCAGTTCCAAAGAAAGAAAGGAAAAAAAAAAACCAAGTTCCCAACCAGAAAAGGCTTTGAAGATGATCCTGAAAGAGCAGGTCATCTTGGAACTAGACTACAGCCCAGATCAACCCGGGAGCGAAAACAGGAAAGACCCAGAAAAAGAAAAGAAAAAAAAAGAAGCAAGACTGTTCTTGTCCAGGACTCACCCCAGGGAAGAGCATGCCAATTAAGCGACTGGCTTTATCAGTGATGGAGAGCAGCAGCGTCTGAGATGGAAGCTGGATCACAGCACACTGAGCCAAGGCAACAAACATCATACATGTAGAACATCAGCAACGGAATCAAGCAAGAAGCTCATTCAGAAGTATCATACAGATTCCCAAAGTAGTAAATCCTATCAAACAACTTTTGGGCATAATGCCCTCATCATGATTGTTGTACCTAATGTGCTATAGGTAAAATTTTCGTTCCAGCTTCTGTGGGCAATTATTGATATATCATCTAATTCGCTACACATTGGATGAATTATGCAATATCATTGAATGCCTCCAATAAAACTCAGTTAAAGCTCATAATGCAGATAATCAATCTTCAGCTCAAACCAGGAGTCCGTCAATAATAGACCCATCTACTTCTCATAGAAGTCCCGAATTTCTATGGCATTCATAATTGTCTCAATCAAATGCTTATACTGAGCAGCTCATAGCTTCTGTGGCGTGAAAAACAACATTAAATGGCTATGAAAACTTCTCTTTGCAGCAACGTGTGGGAGAGAACATATGGTCAAAAAGACAGGACCACTTTTCTATTTCAGGGGTGAAAATTATTTTTCCAGAACAAAGATGTCCTGAAGGGAGATGGGTTGAAGCACCTGCTTTCCTACTCCTGGGCACATGCTCCAATTACCTCAAGAACGCACCTAATGACTAGACATTTTTTATCATAAATCTCTACTTGAGTGCATCACTTTCAGGAAACACTAGTCATCATATCCCGAGTCACCACAATTCCTTGTACTCATTGGTTGCATTTAAATTCAAAAAAAAAAAAAAACCGTCTCCGTATACAGTAGGCAAGAACAAATGTTAAGCAGGAATAATGTCATGCATAACTCACCAGCTTCCTTTCTTGTAGCTGACCGAGAAATCCATGTTGATTCAGTGTCCGAAAGACCAGAAAGTCTGCCTTACCAATGTATTGCCTATTTACAGTACAGCAAGAGCAACATATCGGTGAGTAATGTCATTGAATGCAATAATTTTGATAATAGAGCAAAACAAAACAAAACAAAAGGTTGGAGCCAGACTTGTTGTTCATGTGATCCTGGGATATGAGGCGCACAATTTGCATGGTTGGTGGCCAATCTTCGGCAAGCCTGAAACAGAGCAGATGAGCCAGGACACAGTGACTACACGGCATATCATGGGGAAAGGTAAGAACTAGAGGATAATCACATAATGCTAAAATGTCATCGGCCCACGAGAAGAACAAGGCTATTCCTAGTCTACCTTTTACTTCACAACCAATAAAGTAACGAATGTGAAATAGCATCCATTCACAACCAGATATGGGATGATATTGTGCATAAAATAGACTTCATGACTATATCGTAGCATTAGAGTGCATAAATTTAAGCTCAACTAAAACACAACCAGGAGTGCATCCATCAGAAAAATTTCAAAGTACCCTCCAGAGGAGATTACAAAGATATATATAAGCCTTCTGTTTGTAACTAACAGAAAGGTGATGGAACTTCAAGAGATAAAAGTTTCTAATTCAAATATGATAAGTTACACCGATTTAGAAGCCTTCATAGATCACGAGCGCATGTCTAAGGCCATACAATCCAAAAGTGACCATAATCCTCGACTTAAAAAATAATCCATCTACTAAAGATTGTTTTGGGATAGGACATGCCTACACTCTGCTGTTAAAGGATATATCCAGATATTGTTGCCCTTTGTAGGATAGCTACGGTGAGCCAAAATTTTAAGAAGATTGCCGTGATGCAAATAGCGAGCATAAGCATGATCCGAAAACATGAAGCCAACCTCAAACCGGGCCCTTATTATTGAATGAAGTTTACACAAACATACAGAAAATAGCAAGTTCTACACAAAATTACAATGCAGTACTCTGAAGAACAAAACATTATTCTCTTTTTACAAAGTCTCTTCCATTATTGCTCCTAATTACCGAAATAAAACCATATAATGTCGTCCTAAATTAACTCCCATTCCAACCACACTATATACACAGATCTGAAACCAAATATTGCCTTCATGTGTAACAGAATATATAAATGCGAACCAATAAATATACTATCATGAAGAAGAATCAATAAAATAAATTAATTGAGTTTTGTTATTATGTCACAGCAATATTAAAACTAACTTCTGCATTTTAAACGTCAAAATATCAGCAAACGTATATGAACAATGTCTAAATATGGAGTTACTTTCACCATTAATCATGATTTTTGTATTTTGACTCAAATTTAAAAATAGGACAAATACTCAGGTTCCCCTGACAACCTACTGACGTAGAAGCCTCAGGCTGGAATGAATATCATGATCCAATAAACTTAAATCCTAGCTGGATTGCACGAGATGGCAAATAATGCTTTGAACTTTGACAGATACGTGCAGTGAAGAAAAAGTCTCCATATGCCCATTAATTCCTTTTCATCAAATCAAGGGAATTCCCATTGCAAAAGTGTTTATTTTATTTTAATTATGTGCAACTCCCCAACCTGCATATCAAGAATCTACGTACCAATCCTTATATTTGTTCAACAGCTAAGATTGTAAAAGAATATATAATTTGAATGATTACAAATGTAAATATGAGGCCTTTGGTACACAGTTTTGACCTTGGAATATGATCAAAGCTCACAAAGCAACTTGACAATCGGTATTGAAGCATAGACAAGGGTCTGACAAATACAGTTCAATAGAGGGAACTTCGTATTACTTCTTGGGAAAATTAATCCGAATAGAGACAGGATGTTGTGTTGGATTACAGCTTTGAAAAGATCAGAGAGATAAACAGCTATGGAAAATAAATCTTGGGACAAGAAAAGAAAAATCAGGCCTATTGAAACAACCCTTAAACCAAGAAAGAGAAACAGCAGCAACAGAGCATCATGCATCCTGGATATGAGGCGTGTGGCTTCATCAAGTCATCGCATCCATCTTGATAAGTAAATTCGATACGTCGATAGCATCGATTTTCATCAATGGACGATGAGTAGACATACAAATGAGAAATACATAAATAAATCCTTTTCAATCAATAAATAGGAAAAAAATGAATTCATACAATTATGATATATGAGGCTTATTTGCACAATATCTATGCAACATGATTTGCACTAGTCAACAACAGATCAAGAAAACAAAAGCAGCACAACCTCATGACAAATATAATCTGACAAAAGCACGCAAATACCACATTTACTAATTCACCAACAACTAATCATTAGAGCACTGTGGGGGAATCTTTTATATCATAAGAACGAGACTGAGGTCTCCAGACAACAAAAAACACGAATACTCAGACATTCAGACTCACCGTTCTGATGCAGAAATACTTCTATAGCCCTGCATAAAATAAAAAACCACATAAGATGACACCCAGAGGCATTGAAGAAATGTACAATAGGCAAGACTGAAACACACTTGCCGTAAATTAAGAAAGAACAAAGAACATTAGAAGGCTATCTCTTTGTAAATAAAGAAAAAACAAAAAATAGCAGGCTATCTCCAAATAAATTAGGAAAAACCAAATAACTTTGGCAGAGTACATTTTCCCTTAGCCTACTAAATAGCTGCCATTGATCTTCATAATGCCCAACTTTATTGATAACGAAATACATTTTCTTCTGACTGATCCACAATTTCTTTTCCCAATAAGACTCCAATATTCCATTACTGCATCTTCCAAGTCCTCTTTCGAAATGAGTCTTGTATTCATTCTGAACAGCACGTTGGACTACTAATGTCTTTTGGGGATTGTAACTTAGATTCATCTAAACAATGGAATATGATCAAAGCCCCCCCTGCGAATGCTAGATTGTGGGCTCATTATGATCCAACGGGATATGATCCAACGTTGGACTAAGTTGAATATGATCTAACCACGATTCCACGTTGACCTTGGAATATGATCAAAGCCCACAATCTAGCTACACATTATTTTATTGTTTATCATGTTCATAACCATGGGATACTCCAATTCCTTTGTCTGCCATCAGCCCACAAACTCATGTTTCACAATCTGGAATGGGTAAAGGAACAACATGAGGCAATCTAGCATTCGCAGGGGGGATATCCAATGATAAAGTTCTAATAAATATCTATCCAACCCCGTTCTGCAGAGCATAGAAGAAAGCAGATTAGAACGACTGAATTTTCTAATCAAGCCAATTGAGAGGGAAACGACGTCAGAGAATTCCTTGGGACAAAAGTATAAGCAATTTGGTGGAAAAGGAGTAATTTTGTATGCTTCTCTACTTAAACATTGCCTTCAAACTCATGCTGTAGCACATGCCACTTATGACAGGGAAAGAAGATGATGCAATATCCAAAGGCTGACTATATCATTAGTCACTCCCTTGGTCAGAGACTATGATGAACCCTTTGACTCTTTACAATTGTCAGAACCCCATTAAGTCCTCTTTCCCATTGTTATGTTTCCCGCCTACCAAAAATAAAATAAAATGCTTCTCTGCTGGGTCCAATACTGATCATGTTGCCGCAATCAACTGCCAAGAATAGTAGCACTTCTAAAAGTGCTTAATGAATCACTGCCGAACTTTTCACAACCATGTCTCTTTTCTTTGACTTCCATTGGATCATTTGGCGCTCTTCTTTCTATCTTCGTAAGTATGGAAGGATAATGGATTGTACAAATTCGCTGATCCCTGCTTGTCAGCTCTTGCTTTTCAGTGCATCAACATAGCCACACCTATTTCCATCCCAGAAACTCGTAATCGACTCAACTATTCGACTACTTGTGAAACAGGGGAGCCCAAAATATGAACATTATTAAAATCCCAAAAAAGATTTTTACAGAAGGATCATGAACAACTGTAGTACGCTCATCAATTCTATAAATTAATTGGAAACATAGATTGCAGCGCTGAGCTCCAGCATTACACTTTCTTTTTCTTTCTAGCACGCCATTCAACAACAACTAGAACCCTGGAATCTAACAGGTAAGGCCTGCCATCACAAATAAACGATGACAGGTCTATTAATGAAGCTAGTCTAAGTTCGTGACAGCTATGTAATCATGTCGTAAATTTGAGACAGTGAGTTTGTACACGTCCCAGTAAAGGCGCCAGGACTGGTTGCTCAGACCTGGTAAGGAGATTTAGACAGAAAGTGTGCTCGTTATAATATCTCATGGAATGAAATGCCATTTTCTCACGATAATTCTCTTTGATGCGATATTACATAATAGTATCAGTCTTTTATGTTCTTTTATGTTCTTCAATTGCTGTTAAGTCCTATATTTTTCCCAGGAGGAAGTACCCAGAGAGGCTGTTAAGGCATGACCATTTTACAAAAGAGCCATAATTTATTGTTATCTACCAATGATTTAGATGAGGGCCTCTCCCCTTAATATCAGAAGATGGCTGCTCCAGTAAATAACTTGTGTAGAACCGTATCCATTCAGTCCACTGATCCACATCTTCCACTGAATGAACCTTCATATCATTAACCAGCCTTTGATTTTAGCTGACTTCCTCTAACTTGAGACGTCCACTATCTACTAATCGTAAGCTATCAACCATATCCATAGAACCTGCATCTCACTGACTTCATAGACAATAAAGACACTCCTTTCACTGTCATAACCTCTCCAGATTCGCTAATGATGGATTCTGTCGATTCAAACCCTACACCTTTGGCTCTTCACCGTTTATCATTCCCATCAGCCTGTAAGCCTGTAGCGATGGCATCTTCTTCTACATCCGCATAAGGAGGATTTTCCTCGACAGCTGCATTGCTCTCATCAATCTCCTTCGTCAGTATCAAAGATCATTGTGAAAAGCTCCTTCACTAATCCGAAAGTTGTAAAATCTGTAAATATTTATAAAAAATCATACTTCTTAGATATTGCTTCAAATCTCGCATCTGGATTTAAGAAATAAAACATGTTTTCTACTGACCTGAGATATATTACTCATTATAAATCTTCCAACTGCTAACAGGGAACCTACTTTACCATAAGGTTTCATCTCAATCTTTCCCTACACTTGGAGGCTCATGAATCTAGATGAAGAATAGAGTAGCAACAATGGAGATAATCCACTGATTCCCTCTCCAAAGTAATGGAAATAAACTAACCTGTACATGAGCTAGAGTATCATATCTCAGTGGTGCAGCTCCCCTGATTGTCGATTCTGGTTCCAAATTTGCAATTTTCTCTACTCTGTCTAGACTAATATAATCCAATCTATTTAAAAAGAAAATGGAAATGATAATGCGATCCCTATAACATTATGTTAGAGTTAAAAACACATTGCATACAGTTCCATAATGAAAATCGTTACATGAAAATTTTATAAATTATAATGTTAATTACTTGCAGAAGTAATGCATCCGTATTGACAAAGAAATATCTAAACTAAAATAGAAAAGAGAAAATGTCATCCATTTCACATCTGCATTTAGAATGAAGGGAAAAAAATCATCCAGCTTATGCAAATCAAAATCAACAACCAATTGGTCTAAAACATAGGTAGCAATTAATTTTCTTCCCAAAGAAGAAACATAAAAAAAAACATCTTGCCAAAGTTGATCATCAAGGGAGAGCATACTTCAAGTTTACAGATTAACATTGGCTGACCCTGCCTCTGGCCGGATAAATCTCCCTGCATTTCAAACAAGCCAATCCAGATTAAGAAACTTAAGAATAAAGCAAACAAGGAAACTACTCGTATAATAGCAATAATAATAAAGCTCAATATGACCACAGGGAATTTACATATACAAGGTACTTTTATGTGGTTTACCAATAGGCAAAACGTCAAATAGAACATATGTAAGTGTGAAATGGAAGAGTGATCAATAGGAGTTGTAAGGATAAAAACAATAACCAGCTGTAACAGAAAAGTGCTAAATCTAACGAATGCTTGAGGACAGTTGTTGAACTAAGATATTAGATAAAGGACAGATTTAAAATGAAATATCTCTTCAATTAACATCTAAGTCTTCCTTTGGCAAAATCAGAGAGCAATCCAGATTACGAACTATCAGGCTAAAAATTCTAGAAAAAAATCTAATTATCTATTCTTGATTATAGGTGATAGGGGGTATTACCCTTTTCCACACAAAATAAACTTTCTACGAAGAATAAACAGCACAGCCATTACCAAACTACACATCTTCCATGCGAAAACATACAACATCTATAGACCTAGGATACATTTGGCTTCATGCCATACACATCAACTTCCTATTTACCGGGAAAGGCTTCTTGGCAGTAAAGATTACAAAACATAAATGCATTCATCATAATAAATTCACTCTAAATTTCTCTCTTCTAATTACACAACAGACAAGAAGCCGACTATGAGAAAACGTTAAAGAACATCGCTTCTCCAGCAAATTCCTTTCTTTAGAGAGTCTAAGAAAGCAACAAAGATAAAGAAGAAATTCTTCACTGCTCGTAGAAGCTTCTGGAATCTTGAGGAATATCTTCTAAACTTATTTTCTCAAATTTATGGAACCTCAATTAACAATTCCATTATTTAGTCGTAAATTTTATTTTGAATGGCATAAAAAATAGTTTATCAGGCGGCAGCCTCTTAAGTCATTGAAGACTTTGTGACATGTAATTTGACACCTCCTCTCCTATAGCCAATCATGTTAAATCCTATAAGCTCTGCAATGACAATCATCTCCTAAACATTCAGGCATAATTTTCAGACTTTTCTATACAATGCCATCACGTTACTCATCCAGCCAACATGTCTGACGAAGAGCTGGCATGCAACCTCACCGAGATGCTGTATGACTCGAAGTCGTTTACATACACCTCATTCTTTGGTGGCATGAAGCTAATCCAATCGGACAAGCGCCCCCCCGCCCCCCCACATATACAGTATATCCAGCTGAGTTTGTCTTTGATAGAGTGAGCATTCAGCCAAGTCTCTCTCAACCATGAGCGAGCAATGCTGAAACTCAACAGCTCACGAAAATGTGGGACGTACTCTACCCTCTATTTTTTCCATCCAGTGGGGTCTATTTATCCATAAAGAACATCCCTCCTAAAAGAACCGATGTAGTATCTAATTTATCCATACAGAGATCTAAAACCTTAGAGCAAAATATTGAGTCTGAAACTATCCCAAAAATTTATTGCGTACCATAAGGATCCAAAGTAATCATCACCGGAAGAATGGCACTTGCGTGACAGAAAAAACCAAGTCTGGCAAATGAGTAACTAGTTAATAAAAAGATAGTCTGCCACAAGCACTTCTCTCCATATTTCATCCACCAATTCAAAGATAAAACAAAAACCTGGAGACAGACTCTAACAGCAAATCATCATCAAGCAGAAATTTGATAAATTTATGACAACTCGAAATATTGATAATTTTTCGGATGAAAATCCCAAAAAGAGAGATCAAAAATACAGAACTCTCACAATTATAATCAATATCAGGCCCCACCCAAAAAAGATTATAGCTCATCCAACTTCTCCTTGAAGCGTCATTCGATTACAGTTAAGTGGTGATAAGGGAGGTATATACAAAAAACAAAAGCAGGGCACTTCTCATGAGCTGGTTTGCATCTATAACATACGGTGGACTCTTCAAAGAGTATGCAGACAAGAAAAACTTAAAAATAATGGCACCTCAGTCGTGTAAAATAAGTGTCTGTGAGAGGGGAAGCTTACCTCCCAAATTTTGACATATTTAGACTGCTGTTGTTGAGCACCAGACACGTTCTGGGGCAAGGGCATGTTCACAGACGAATTATTTGTTGCACCAAGGGAATGCAAACCAGGTTGTACTTGCTGCGGCATCATTCCAGGTGTGGGGATCATTGTCCCAGATCCAGAGGAGACATTAGGACCAAGACCGCTCATTACATTCTGGTTCATGGTGATTCCACTTTGACTCATTTGCGAACCTGAAGTTAGACTTCCTTGGCCCACCGCAGATATTGGTTGCGTCATACCAAGTGGGCCTTGAAGATTTGCTAATGACGAGGACATCCCAATATTTGAGTTGCCTGAAATACCAGAGGTAGCAGAGGTAAATGAGCCAAGGCCTGAGCTCTGTGAAACTTGTGCAGTAGCCATCAATGGGCCTGATCCCGCTACAGATGGAATTCCAGTCAGTGCAGATGAACCCATTCCATTGGATATCATATTGGACATATGCATAGCCATTGGTGTTGCACCTATATTCTGAAGACCTATAGAATTTCCTCCAGCTATAGTGGCCGAATTCAAGCGCACTTGAGAAAGTGTGTTCAAAATGTTCACATTGGCTGGGGCAGGACCTAGAGGCCGTGAAGACTGAGAATTCACAACAGGTTTGAACTCTTGAACACTGTCACCAGATGAATTTATCTCTTGAGATGCAGGAGAAGTAACCAAAGTTGGAATTCCTTGTGAGGTACTGAATGGAATAGAAGGCACATGAGAAAAAGCTGGTCCACTTGTAACAGATGGAACAGTGGTTGGTTCCTGAAAAGAAATAATGTCGGGAATTTGAACGCACTCTTCATAGAGTTCAATAAGAAAATTAGAACAAAGATCCTTACGATAGTTTGCTAAAGAAAATAAAAAGTTACGGTACTCAACCTTACCATTTTCACAGTTCCAGCGGGCGGATTGGCAGAAACTGGTTGTCTGTTTAGGCCCGGCACATTAGCTACACAAAACATCATTTTGCAAATATCAGAATACAGGTGAAAACGCAAGACAGGCAACTTATATACTTAAGAGAAATAGAATCGCCCCAGGAACAGCCAGGGAAATTTTCAATTAGCCGTGGGAGGAAAATATTAGCCATGTCAAATTATGAATGTGATAGGAATCCAACACCAAGCGAGGAACAAGTATATCAAGAAAGTAAAGAAATCGGATCCCATGTGGTATCCAGGAACATGTAGTAGCCGTTTGAGAGGGTTCGCTGCTCTCCCAAGCTCCCCCCTTTTCCCTTCCCACTCCTCTTTATATAACCCCCCACTTCTCCCCGCGGGGCCTATCTCAGGGAATGCACAGATCAAACCCTGAAATGCGCGATTTTTCCCTATTACCCCTCCTGGATATGTAACATGAATTGGGCGTCTAACAGAATACTATCACATAGGAACCCTTCCTGGATTCTCCTAGTTTACTGCAAATAGGAAACTGATGAGAATGACTCTATCTCTCATAAAAGTTCTCAGCACCACAATTCATGTACGACAGTGCTAGAATTGACCAAGCGCAAGACAACTACAACAGAATAAGGAACCCACAGACTCCTTGAAAGGCAACCCCAATAATAAGAACCAAAAAGCAATGTTCCAAAAAGAAAACAAATGACAAAAAAATAGAGTACATGCACAGAAACTGACTCATGTACCAGTTTAACAACAGGTGAAACACCTCACATATAGGTTCATTGAATGAGAAAAAAGAGGAAGATGAGAAAAACCAGTATTCTCACAATACTCACAGACCGCATTTGCCAGACAACCCATGATTATTTGGAATTCCGTTCTTTTTGTCACTTGATATCACACAGCACTTCAATCAAATATGAGAGATGGCTAATCATGTGCACAGTGCCTAACGAATGAGAGGGGCACATTGACATTGGTGAATGAAAGCAAACAGATCCACGTTTAGAAGATCATTGCTAGTAGTTGTGGCTGCCTAAACGATCAAAGTAAACAGACGTGATGGCAGCAGCTTTCTGATCGAAAATGGGCAATCATCTTTAACTAGAAGAGCAGTGGTTTCAAAAAAAGAGATATCGAGGATATCTGTTTCTATGACAAAGATAGAAGGAAAGCAAAGGCCTGTTCTGCTCTTGTCAATAGATAGGACGCAGTGGGTCATATTAGGGACGAAAGGCCATTTAATTGCAATGTTCCTCAAAAAGCGAGATAGAAAAGGATAAAAACATAACAAACAGGTTAAGGTGATAACCCGAAATTCTGTGAGGACAACTGGCTTATGCATCAATGTATATCTGGTAATAACCTAGATATAGATTCAGAAAAGGAAATATAGACATGCACGTCCATGACAAACTTGACGGTTAAGAGATCAAATTTTAGCGAGGTTAATGTCAATTTCATAATGTATCTAGAGTAATAGAGAGAGAGAGAGAGAGAAACATTAACCCATCGAAAGGGCTGGTGACATATGGAAGAGTATTTCATAGGTGCATCTCAAAAAAAATATTTAGAGAAGCCAGCTGCAATAACTCAAATCCAGACTAAAGAAAAGCATAAGATAGAATTAGTGAGAAACTTTTGTCCACCTGCAGGGATCGACGTCAAAGGTGACCCAGATATAGGAATGGAGGCCCCATCCAGCTTTGCAAGACCCTGATTAGTCTGTAAGTTGCTGATTCCGGGTCGGCTCAGAGCAGACCGTGCTTCCATAAAGTTTTCAGCTAGTAGAACAAGGAACTGAGGATTTTTTGCGTTATCAATACTTGGGTCAGATGAACGAGGACTCTGCTTCCCCTGTGATGTGAAATATGGTTCAATGTTCATAAAAGATAATCAAAAGAAAAACTTGATTACCAGAGTCAATAATATGCAAGAGAATAAACTTTGAATCAAGCAGCACTCTTAAATACAATAAAATTCATCCGATAAATTCATTTTCACCCGCTAAAATGTTATGCATTTAAAAATACCTACCGCATTGTATATTGATCTGAGCTTTGGAAGTTGTTTTGGAGAAATGACTGAGAATGAAATAGAGCACTGCATGCAGATGAAATAGATGACAAAGTCATTAAAATGATCAAGAAAATTGAAAACAGAATAAGAAAGAATATTCCTCGCTACCTCTGCAAAGGCCTTAGCAACAGTTTCTGCGTCGGCAAGACAGGCTTCCAGCTGGGTTACAGCGCTCTCATTCTGTTCAATACTCCTACTTAAAGGCCTATAAACGGGGGTTGGTAGAGGGTGGGGATTACTTGCAGCAAGAAGAATACAATGTTTTCGAGTGTCGAGATTTTGTTGACTTTGGTTTGCATTTGAAATTCCTGAAAACATCTGAGTATCGGAGCCAAAAACAAGAAATTAGGCTATAGAATGTACATAAATGAGAGAGAAAAATGTTTGAAATAGAAATACGACATCATAAATTAATCAGTCAATTAAGCTCGTATACCACACAGGATCTATGAGAAAACATGTGTACACTAATAGTCTTTAGGAACATAAAAATCTTATGATTACTGAAAAAAACTCTACTAAATATCCAGGGCATTGCATTAGGATCAAACCAAAGAATCTTATAAATATTTTCCTCCTTTCTCCATGTCTGACTAACACACTTTGCTGTGACTCAATAAGCTTCATCCACATCAGTGGTATAAACGAATTCAATCACGATGTGCCGAAGGATGCGAAAGAATACATTCTTGGCAGACCAACGAAGTGATTGAAATTAAACCATACCAACAGCAGCCTCCAGTAATGGAATCTGACGAGATATCAGATCAAGATGATCTCTGTCTACCTTCTATGATATGACATAAAGTCCCAGAGGACACAGATGTCATGTCATTGGTGTTGGTCTATTCAGTTGCTCAATCAAAGCAAGGAGCTATCATAAGTGATGGGCACACATACGTTGCAAGGAAATACTGGGTGATGTTTTCACAAATGCCAAAAAACTCATAACTGTGCACAAGTACGAGATGTTTGTCAAGAATAAGAACCAATGCTGCTTACCATCAATGCTTCTGCAAGTCCTTCGCTAATTGCAGCGTCATTGAAACCACCACCACAAAATGGTATAGATGTCATCCATTGCAAGAAGGAATCTACATCTTTAGTCCATCCACTTCGTTGCACAACACAAGCTGCATTGTAGAATGAAATTTTAACATAACTATACAACAACTTTCAGGATGAAACTTTATACAAACCTAATAAGCAATGATTCAGCAACCGTAGAGGTAAACATGCTTATAAATTCTGTAATAAGAGAATGAACACATTGCTGAAGTGTTTTCTATCATATGCGCCTTCAACTGATTTCAACACATTTCAAATTGGACATCTCCGCGGGCTGTACTAGCTCTCGAAAGCTATATCTCAATAAAAATCTTTGACAGAAATTTGCAACATATGGAGGGAGGTCGTACCACTGTAAGGTCCATGAGTATTGTATGTTACCAAGGCAAGCTCAACATTTGCACTTGACAGTTTCTGTCAAAAATAGATCACAGCAGTCAACAAGAATAAAGAACACTGGATAAGCTGTAAACAAAAAAATCTCAATGCATGCCCCATCATTCTTGCCCATCATAAAGATACAACTACATCCAAGCAAATTACTAAGCACACACCTGACCAGTTGATTCAGTTCCAGAAAAGCATCTGCAAGCAGAGAAGATCCATAAGAACGGCATGCACAGTGAAAATGCACAGTGTAAACACCAACAGGAATTCTAAACTATAATCTAACCAGGTAGATCAAATTTGACGAAGGTTATGTATGTAAAGGAACAAGCAAACGTTATCCATCATGATGCATGCCTACGATTGATAGTCTTTAATCAAGTCCTCATCTTTGGCAATTTAGCGGGCCAAAGAAAACTATGGTGTTGTTAGGGCATAGACCCAACTGGGAAACAATCGGATGATACCCTGATCAAGGCCTGTTCCATCCCGGAAGCACCTCATCGACAGCATCAGACAACCCATCCGCAGTGAGTCCCACCCCACAACGCACGGCGGCAAAAAGATTCCACTGCGGCCATCGAGGGGCAGGCATCTTCTTCATTGTTCGCGGGGGTGGATGCACATCCTCCGGATAGATGCCATTCGGAGGATACATGGTCGATCTATTGTATTGAAAAATCGGATCTTGAGAGGAAAAAATCTCCCAACTTGTCACCCCCGCATGCTGTTTCCGCATACGAGGGTAATATTTAATCGTATTTCACAATTCTTCTGGATATAGCAGCAATGGGTCGCAACAATAATAGTAATAAGAGATGTGGAGGACGACGAGGAGAAAAGACAAAGACAAGGGAAATAGGAAGGAAAAGAAAAGGAGGGAAGAGGAGTAGGAGGCTAGCCTGATGATCTTGTCGAGATAGTCCGTAACGATGCTCTGCCAAAAGTGCCCCATGGCAGCCGTCCCTTCCACCACGAGGATCAGCTGCTTCTCCGCCATGACCGTCCCCTCTATCCACTCTCTTCCAGGATTCCCCGCGTGGGTCGGGGGGACGGGCGCCTACAGGCGTCGGGTTTCTAGCAGGGGTTGGAAGAAGCCTTCGCGGGAGACTACTGGGGACGTTCACAGGGGTGGGTTCGATAGGCGGGATGCCACCAGAACGCCCACCGTTTCCAAAACCAGACTTATTACCATCTACTCCGAAGCCGGCCGAGTCAATGCGAGAACCCCTTCGGAGTTCCAACCCAAGAGCCGAAAGTTGTGACCTTTTTGCCGCCGTAGGACCTGGGCTGTTAAGGTGGGTCCCACATGTCGCCGTTCCTCCCCCCTCTACGTGGCAACGGCTGCCGCTCTCCCATCAGCATTCCCCTAGGTCCCTAAGCAGTCTTCCAAGACATTACTTTTTGCTTTCTATGGTTATCTTTCTTCAAATATTATCTTACAAGATCAAAAAACAATTTAGTGAATTCTGATTTATTCGACAATTCTGTTTTTTTTTTTCAAAAAGAGTTGACCGCTCCCTGCTGTCTACTAATCAATGGCCATCACAGTCCTCTCTTGATCTGATCTACTCCACATGGTTTACTCCCAAAGTCAGCTCAAGAAATTTGGCTTATTATCACCTTTCATTTTTATTATTTTTGGCGCATTAAGGTCAACTTTATAAAATATATTATAATCGTATCCTTTATTGCCTTTTTTTTTTCTTCTCCATTTGGCAAGTTCTTCTTTCCCTCTAATATCTTCTGACTCTAACGTAAAATATCAGTCAAAGTCAATTAAATTTTGGGAAAGCTTTGACGATGAGGGTCCCATTGACTAGAAGCTTGCACATCAGTTATTGAGAGATTGCCGGCCATGACGTTGTCAAGAGGTATGCAATGACGCAAGCACAACTAAATGGGTACATCTATAAATAGATAGGTATATTTCATCATAATAGCTTAACCACACTAAGATATTAGGATACATATGGCGGATGGCCCACTAGAAAAATGACTCCTAGTTATTGGGCAGACCTAAGATTTCTAAAAATTATAATCATCGATAGGAATCTGGCTTGTCATGATTCCTCAGACTTTCCAAAAATGTACATTATTCAAAAAAGCCCTGCATAAAAAAGTCAATGCATAATCTATCATCCCATTGTTCATTTTCTATGCGACAGGCCTGATGAATATTTTGGCAGCCCCTTGTTCCTTTCAGACCAACGAGCAGCTGGAATCACTGACAGAGGGAGCAACTGGGAGCCCTGCATAAAAAAGTCAATGCATAATCTACCATCCCATTGTTCATTTTCTATGCGACAAGCCTGATGAATATTTTGGCATCCCCTTGTTCCTTTCAGACCAACGAGCAGCTGGAATCACTGACAGAGGGAGCAACTGGGCCCCCAACAGTCATCAACTCAGAAGCTTCGTTGACTTCCCACTGTTGACGAAAGTTGCACTTTTGTCAAACCCATCACGCACAAGAATTCTCACCGCCTCGAGCCCAATCTGGTACATGAGACTGAGCTGAAATGCAGGCAATTTACAAGATTAGTTCAACACTGAGAGAGGATGAATGAACAACAGGAGAAAACATGTTCATAAGAAATACAGAGGATATAAAGAATCAGTTCTTAGTGGTACTATTTATAGGCAAATAAACGTTCATTCAATGGTTCATACATCAACATTGGCATGCAATAGATAATCAATCAATCCGTGAATCAGAGCAACCAGTCTCCAAAGGATCTACTCTGTGGGCAGGCTTACAGCCTGGCTGTGAAATCACTTTGCTGGGGCCAGGCCAGACTTGGAAGAGATCCAGTTTAGAAGGCCATCCTCTCCCTGTGGCCTTCATGGGGCGATGGGATTGGAACAGTTGATGAGACTGTCAAAAGGCATGCAGGGAACACAGGAATGGGAGATAAATTGCACCTCTTCGAGTTCTTTCTTACTAAAAGGCTTTAGAACAAAGTTCACTGGATCCATCTTCCCAGGTGGTCGGCCAATACCTACATACAATCCCGAATAACATCTTATGTTATAAAAGAACCATAGCATAACCTTGTTATGCTATAAAAGGATGGAAAAGAGCTACACGGATGTACCTATCCTCAGACGTGGAAAATCTTTAACTCCCTTGAAGCGCTGAATAACACTTCTCATCCTGTATTCAGAAGAAGGATATTATATCAAATTAAATGTCGTGCATATAAATTCTCACTCAATTCCTTCAAGAACCCCAGTAGCACAATTAGATAAGTCTACATGGATAACCAAGACTCGTTTATCTAATTTTCATCTGATCCTCTCACACAGAGAATCTCCATGCCTAGAATTGACAAACAAAGTCAATAACCCCAAACCCAAATCCTTGCTCACCAGAAGTAGAAACAGAAAAATAAAGGAAAAACTAGGAGAGAAGAGGGATAATAAAACTAAATTTCTAATTTAGGCTTTTATGTCTTTCTCCTAGTTTTCTCTGGTTTATTCTTTTGCTTATTTTACCTTGAATTTTTGTTTGCCCGATCTTCAATTTATTTTTCTTCCACCAGATTCACTTCACTGACTGGTCAGGGTCAGAACTATATCAAGACTTGATCCAAGCCTACTTTCTCTGCATAAATTGTATCCACTATGAAAACCAACCAAATGGGTTGCATCATTAGAGGGCAAGTAGGTCAATCAACTACACTGATGGATGAGCGACAGTGAATCTTGATCAGAGTCCATGTGGATGGTTATGATCGTCTCCTTCTTCGTGAGGGAGATTTTCCACCTAAGCATTCTGAGGGTGTTCTCACTTCACTGTGTTCCACTATGCTTTTGACTGGCACAATGAGCTCCTAATACATCGTTGCTCACACGACACTTCTGAATAGAGATGTGTTGTCTTCATTTCTTTTCATCCTTTTTAACCCTGTTATCTGGTCACCTTTCTCATCTATGCAATATTCAATTCAGTTCATTGGCGTGGAAAGAGAAATTATTACTTCTGTGACAAGACCTGATCCCAGAACCGGATATGTATGCATATATAATCACGCACACATAATATGTGAAATAAGTGACGAAGAATACAGTTGTTTGTGACCATATATCATAGAAAAAGAACTAAGCGAGGAAGAATATACCCATTGTGACCACCATGTCCCCCTTTAGGAAGCAACTTCAACGATGCAAAAGGTAAATCGAGGTCATCATAAATCTGAAGATACAAAATGAGAGTCACAATCCTGATAGAAAGGAGAACCAACCTAAGAAACACAGAGTCGACCGATGGGAACACTGTACCAGAAGGACTTGATTCAAGGGTACTTTAAAATACGCAACAAGTGATGCAACCTGAGAAGCGAGAATCAATTGTATAATACACAAAACTAAACTGATTGGTGCTAATAAAGTTCCTTTGATGCGACAGTACTTACAGACTCACCACTCCCATTCATAAAAGTTTGTGGTTTGGCAAACATAACTGGAACATTTCCAATTTGTCCTGAACAAATTAAAAAAGTTGGATTAGGGCACCAGAAGTCAATATTTTCATAACGTATGAGTCCATGAAAGAATTCAATTCAAAGAGTATGAGTCCATGTTGTGGCAGTGATGTTTATCGTTATGCATGATACTTTTCACAAATACAATGAGGTTCTCTCTCGCAACAAAGCATGAAGCATAGTTTCTATGAGATAGTATTGAAAATTTGTAACTGATACATGCGCTGGTCAAGATGATGCACATTCCAGAGTATAAAGGTTTACAACAACACCCAAACCTAGTGCCCCAGAGACCTGCACTATCCCTACCTTCCAGTGAATTACCAGAAACCAGACAAAGAAATCAAATTGAAGATTGAACTTATGGCACATTCACACTTTCTTATGGACATTTGCATGTAAAGACTACTGGACGTGTGTCCGCCTGTATACTGTTCCAGAACATAAAATCACCGCCACAACATAACTGTAAGAAAATATGATGTTATAGGCAATACCAATTGCAACATGGAAATGATGGCCGGTATGTGTAATCACGTTTAGACAAAGAAGGGGAACATGGTCTGTAGGGAACGGAGAAACATGCTCAAGCTCATGGGATTAAAACAACAGTAAATTCTGTGAAAACTCGAAAAGGCGATTTGGCCTCCCAAGTGCTCATTGCATGCTAAGTCTGAATCAGTTCTCATTGAATAAAATAACCACCGAATCAAAAAAATAAGCAATAGTTGGAATTCAGATCAGCTCCAATTTCACGGCAAATGTCTGCACTGATTTGAGAGCAACCTTATCATGAAAAAACGGCAGATTGGGAAAAAATGCAACAAAAAGTTCAAGTTCAACAGGAAAGTCATTGCAGTTCCTCGCGAGCTCTCATTCTTCTCACTGGCAGATAAGGTGGGAAGTTACAGCACTTCCATTCAAAGAGATTATGTGATGGGTTTCCTGCGGTGAGATCTTCATCACTGTCACTTTGCCCAATAAAGCTCTCCTCATCACTTTCGCTGACATGCATTACAAGTCCTTAAAGTAATGTTCTTTTTGGCTTTGGCTTCAAATCAGGCCAATCTTCTCCGTACACTGCTGTACAACCTCCAAACTGATCAATATCTGGTCACTAACCTCATCCCAATGCAACATCTAACCTCATATCAAGTTACATTCTCTCACCATGCCACTGCAGGCTACCTTTCATATTAATCCTACATGGTCTCTACATGGTCCCATTAGGCTAGCCATAATTCATGAAAGGTCCAATGGAGCTTTGGTGAGGCATTCAGTGACTTTCTATAAGTCCAATCACCACGCATAAAGATGCTGACGAAGAGAACTCTTCTTAGCTAACCACAAAGACAATAAATTGTCAATAAGGGTTCCCTGTTGCCCACCGATCTGCTGTGCAGAATATAATTAGATTCTTCATCACATGATAAAGTTTCTCTTCAGTTTGATGGCAATATGATTGTTACAGTGTATAATAGAAATTAATCTCCATTCACCAAGAAATTATAATCTTATAAACCATAGGTTTATTTATGCTGCTTCTCCTTCGCTACCAAATCTAGAACCTTAAAACAGTTGTACCTTTTTACATCATATGTCACGATGTATCCCTGATTACCTAGTTCGTCAACTTGGACCTTTAGTACACTAAAATGGTCTTTTTGCACCAATCTAAGTGATTTGGTATCTCTTGTTTGCTGGTAACGTATACCTTTGACAGCATATCCTATTTTCACTAGGGATAATTCAGCCCATCCTGCAATCCGGAAAGAACATTAAATATTCTACGTATTTCATTTATCATTGTAAAAATTATAGAATTTTTATAATATCTCTATTCGTAATTTTGGGCCTTTCACAAAACTACCCTTCTAAGCTAAACCTGATGAACTTCTTTTAATCTTGATTGTGTTTTCTACGGAAAAAATCTTAATTTAAAATCTTCCGTTTTGTCATCAATTATTGTCAGTTTTGACTGCTTATTCACCATTCTTATGTTTTGCCAACCAGTTGTCTACTTTTCCATCCAGTAGAGATGCTTCTCTTTAGCACAGGACTAAAAAGCAAGACTTGTCAACCAAAGTTGTAATATCCCTTTACAAAAGCCAATATGAATGATAGTTCTTAAGAGAAATGTCACTTCTTCAGTAATATTAAAAGTTTGAATATATTATTCAGAAACCAGCAAATATCGAATTCCCGACCATACCAAGAAGAACCAGACTTGCTGAACTGGTCATTTGAGGAACGAAACGTGTTTCAGAGATGCAGCAACACCATTATCCAAAATAAGGACAAACCTTTGCCAAATAAAGCTTTAGAACGAATATTGCTGATAGATATCCCTTCAGCATGCGCTATGTAGTCCACCATCTCAAAACCCACCTAAAATGCAGAGTAGGAAATGAAATTAATGAACATGAGGTGAGTTCTTGTTAGAGTAAAAGATTATGCATGGTAAATTGAAGGATCTTTTAATTGTGGATTCGGTAGAGCAAGAACTTTCTCAAAAAATGGCGTTGATTTCCCAAGAGAGATTTCGAATGACCGATAAAACAACACGTCATTGTACAGAGGCTGAAGTATTTCCACAGTCTCTGCTAGAATCGTAATTCGACAATATTTTATATCCTCTTTTTTTACAACTTCATCACACAGCTGTATATTTCAGAAGTCTTACCCAGTATTTGTTATTTGATGAAATCCCATTCTCTTTTCTGAATTCTCTCTCACAAATGCTCTATCATACTCCAAAGGAATAGCTTAATACCTTAGTACAACGATGTTGTTATATTATCTTTTTTTAATATTTAAATCAAACATACATTATTTAACCTGATTATTGACCCAAGACCTCACATTAGCTAGGTCATAGAGGGCCATTGCAACAATAGAGAACTTGGGCTATGCCCAAGGTTTACTAACAGTACTCATCCCCAGGAAGCAGTTGTGTTCAATGCAATGTTGGGCTAAGATAGTGAGGTGAAGATCGTAGGACGCCCACCATGTAAAAGGTGTACTCGTGACAGTAGACTTCCTTGATACCCTAAAAGAGGTTATTGTAGGCACCAGTCCAACACAGCCCACAGATTGCCGTTTACTGGCCATTGTGATTGTTGGGTTCTTATGGTCTCTGTAAGAATCTGTGCCTTTCAATTTCTCTCCAAGTTTTCACCGGGAAAAAATTTAAATCAGGATTTAGACTTGGAAAAAATAAAAATAGAAGACCAGTAGATGGAAATAGTTCACGAAAGAGAGGGCGAGGCAGAAAGATCTGATTATACATGAAAATAGTGCGCCTACTACATTTTTCCTAATACCTCGAAAAATCATTCAACACATTAAACATTACTATCTCACCAGTCAAAATGTCGGAAAAAATATTTAGCGTTTCCCTGAGCGTTTGATGTATGCAAATGACATAGCTTACACAGTGAAAAACTACCAAAGATGAATATTCTCTTTCATAAAAATATCACAGTTTTGGCACTCTTCAATACGTACCTGTTTCAAGAAATAGCCCCTACAGCTAAATGAGGCAGCCTTAATCAATAAAAGTACAAGGCTAAATGAAGTAATATATCATTCATTACCGATTCAAGTGTAAGTCTTTAGCGCATTGACTAGTGACACTTTAGTCAAGCTAAAGATCTGAAAGTCGATACCATTTTGGGTCAAACAAGGCTATAATCTTCTTTCTTGAACGTAGATGATAGAGAATTGTAATGAGAAAAGGAGGACAAAATGCTAGATACAAAAAATCCCTCGAAAACTAAGGAATCAAAAAAAATCTCCACAGCATATGGTCGGATACCGTCTTACAACCATGAAAAATATACAAAAACTTTTGCATATCTTCATTATCCACAAAACACAGTGTATCCTATACTACGTGTGCCTTTTTAAAATGAACCACTGAAGAAATTTGAGCTCGGACTTGGGCATTCTATCTCGACTTTCAAGATTGATTGCAATCTATGTATATGGACACAATAACTAGTGACGTGGGAAATAATAGCTTAGTGTGGGTGCATTACCAATGGTATGGACGAATCCGTTGCTTCATCCAAGTGCGCCCATTTGTGTGGCAAACGCAGGAAGCATCTCTGGGTTTGATGACGTCTCAGAGGTTAATTCAAAAGGGAGGATGAAGAATCAGAAGACTCGGCACACATGGTGCTTCAAAGTACAATGATGAGCACAGGTAACATGCCGGTTCTCTGTGCCACATCAAATACTGAACTATTTACTGGGGTCTTGTGAGCTGGAATCCTTTTGGTTATCGTCGGCGCTCCGACCTTTCTATCAGTGCCTTTTCTTATTTCCTAATAAAAGGAATACGAAGTTTCGTGATCAAAGTTCTGAACCCTGGCTTACCAGATACACTGCGAAGAGATTCACTAACGTAATGTACGAAAATTCCAGGAAAATCATAAAATAAATTCAACAGTCCACTCGCTCTGTTCATCTGAACGAGCATTAAAACCATATATGCTACGACTAAGAACCTCATCGTGAAACTTTCTTTGAAAGGCTATGCGTCCGAGCACCCAACGCGCCAATCGAAGGGGATGTTTTAACCACAATGCAATTCCAATCGAGCATCGAATCCTCATCGAATCAAAAACGCATTTCATTCATTTTACAGACCAGGATTGAGCGAATGGAGGGCCGTAGCATACATACGTTGTGCCGAGTTCCGTCGTACAATTTGCCGGGATTGCCAAGCCCGACAAGAAGCCAAGGCTTCGGACGGGCACCCTCCTGATCCACACCTGAGCTGGCAGAGGAAGAAACACAAACGGAAGAACACGAAAGCGACGATCTGGCCAGCGGCAAGAAGGCGCGCGGAGAGAAGGCGAGGCCTATCATCTTCCGCGCCGGCGCACTGCGCCGGAGTACTCCGACGGCGAAGGAGACGGACGAGGACGAGGACGAGGGGTAGAGGCCCGCCGCAGCGGCGTACATGGCAGCAGCCCCACCCCCCACCCCCCAGCCCCTCCCTTCCGTGCTCACTCACCACGTTATCACCTTCCCTCGCGAGAAAGCAGCAATCCCCCTACGGCCATGGAGGAGAAGAAGAAACCAGGATGGACCACCCCCGGTCCAATCGAACCGGCTCACAGATAAACGTTATATAAAAAAAGCAGTAAAAAAGGGAAATAGACCGGCCGGTCCAGTCGAACTGCCCCTAAAAACCCGGTCCGGTGGGCAGTCCACACATGTCGCCCCGGCACGTGACTCCTCATCCTCGGCGGTTGACAATCGTCCATTGACCTTGCTTTAATAATTAGTTTTAATAAATAAAAATTCCCTGGATTTACAGGCCTTTATTTCTTCAAAATAGCCACTTTGGACTTGTGGTGTTAAAAAAAAAAGGCAATAAAAAAGGGGAAATAAACCCGCTGGATCACGATAAGAGATCGTCCAGGAAGGGCACATTGAAGGGAAGGGAGACAACACCGGAAGCGAGCAGCACGAGCAGTACCCACACCGGCAGCACGTAGAGGCTCACCGTCATCAGGATCCGCTGCCCTGCCAGACCATCATAAGCATTTCAGCGGATGAACCACCAGAAACCACACCAATATATATATATATATAAAATGGGAAGGAATTTAGTTCCAAATTTTCGCAGCAGGTTGATCTGATTCTGAGGTTTCGGTTCGATAATGGCGAAGAAGATCGGAACGAGAATGAAGAGAGAGAGAGAGAGAGAGAGAGAGAGAGAGAGAGAGAGAGAGAGAGACCGAGGAGGCCGCGAGCTTCGGTGCGATCGACGAGCCACTCGCCGACCTCGCGGAGCTTCTTCTCCGGGGGGCTCTCCGCCTGCCCGATGGGCGTCGACGCCCAGAAGTCCAGCATTCCGGAGCTCCCCCTCCCCTCCTCCGCCCTAAAAGATAGAGAGAGAGAGAATAAGAAAGAACAGTCGTTCCTCTTCTCCAGAGATTTCTCCTAGAGCGGGAGTAAAGAACAGTCGATCAAGCATCGATCATTACCGGGCGGCGCCGCCGTCGTCTCCGTCGGCGATCCCGATGGCCCTCTGAACTTCGAGAACCGACGGCCCCCGCGGCCGCTGCGCTCCCAGCTTTCCCTTTTTTTTCTCCTTCTGCTGCTCCGTCGAGGGCGAGGAAGAAGGGCCACGTTCGCTGCTGATGCTGCCGCCGCCGTTCTGGTTGTTCCCGCCGGCGGCGAAGGCCACCGTCCTCCGTCCGGTGGTGGCGGCGCCGCCTGGGCCGCCGGACGAGGGGAAGGGCGAACCCAGAAGAAGCCCTACTTCCCGGGCCTGCACAAGCCGCACTGTCGTTCCCATCTCCGCCTCCCTCTGGTTCTCTCCCTCTCTCTCTCTCTCTCTCACATCCCCACCCTCTCTATCCGCTGCCGTCGAATCTCTCTCTACCCCCCCCCCCCCACTCTCTCTCTCTTTTCCCCTTTGTAAAAAATCGACTTTTTAGGGGTTGCCCTATTTTTTTAATTATACTTTGAAAGACTTACTAAAAATGTAAATGCCGATGTAAAGACATGTAAATGCATTTTCATTCAAATAAAAATAGTAAAAAAAATCCACTGATGCCTTAATTGGTCACAAGAAAAGGAAAAAAAAACACTAAACTGAACCCAAAATGCTCATCTACAATCAAAACGTCGAGCAGTAGAAAGCCATGTTTTCCTCAGAGGACGGATGCTCTGCATGGCTGTCACCTTCATCGGCGTTGACTTTTTCGTCATCATCTGGCACGTTCCTCGAGCAGAGAGAACTTTGAGCGATCGTAACAGTTGACCCACTTCAACAAAACCTGGTCCTTTCAGAAAGGATTATACCCATCAAGGTAAGTCAACCTCAATTCTCCACCCTCAGAAGCAAGGTTGACTTTAACAGATTTTCAAGTGCTATATACACCGATCCAATCTAAGACATCCAAGACATGTGTAGGGTCACATTTATCTAGTTTCATTTTGTTTTCTGTCGTTCTATCTATATGTGGGCCGTTGACCCATTTGCTTTCAACCCACCTTATTTGCTACTTTTAGCACGAAACTAACTTGAAAAAAATAAGGAAGTCAATGAGGGGTTTTTATTGATATTTTCCCTAGTTTGTGGAGAGCTAAAATAAATAACTAAAACCATAAATGATAATCGAACTATCACAACAAGGGGTTTTTTTATAAAAAATCCACCAACATGGTGAAGAAATAATTTCCAAAAGCGATAACTTTAAAAAATATATACATTTATGTGACAAAAACATGATTTTGGGGGCAGAAATAAACAGGAAAAAGAAAGAAAAGAAAAGGCCCAATATGGGAAAGAAACAAGGGTTCACTCACCTTGAAGAGGACAGATGTTTCTCAGCTATTTTTTCCTGCTCATTGGAATAAATAAACCACTGGTCTCGAGAAACAGTTGAACCCAAATCGGAAATATCTGAAAAAGCGATTTTTTTTTTTTTCAAGAACTTTAGACTTCCGCTTTGAGCAAATAGCAAACAGTTTGCAAACATTACTACAAACCTTGAAGCAAAATTCGTGCATTATTATAACCTTTTAGTCTCCAGTATGCTCGACCATCTCCTTCTAACCGGATAGGCTCAGTCCGAACAGCATCTGATCTCTTTTTACCTGGTATATTTGTTCAAAAAAGAGAAAATAATATTATAAAAAACTCGGAAGAAATAGGACACATGAGAGATGAGTAAGAGTAAAGATAAATAAGTTAGGTATCAATAATGGGAAAACCAAGGCAAGAAAATTGAACAATCACACTCAGGGTTTCATTTCATTTTTCACCTATGAACTTCTCATTTACTAAAAATGTCAATCAATTTCGTCAAGACAATAATCACGTTGTCATTTCAATTAAGAGAAGAAATAAGGTACAAAACAGAAAAATCGCGCTAGGTTTCCCTTACATATACGGGCTGGCTGATCATTTACTAAAAATTTCAATTCATTTTTGCCAAGAAAAAAAATAGGAGATGCAACAATATAATTGCTTACATTAAGACAAACAACACCCCAGATATGAAAGAGGGCTGATCAGCTCTTTGGCTGATCATCTTAGGCCATGCTTTCATTCAAAATAAGTATATTGGGAATTGCTTTATTACCGTTACTTCATGGCATGTGCCATTTCCCAAAACTTCTTTCCAAGAAAGTTGGGATGGCGCTCATGTAGTAATCGGACAAAACTAAAATCGTTGCTGAAATTGTGAGACTCCACAATATATATCTCAATCGCATATAACTAAAATGGTTCTATATAACGAGTAAGGATTGCACAGCCCACAATACATTCGTCTTTTTTACAATACTTTCATAAGATCAATAGCCGCAGATATTTCCAACATGATGTTTGAGCACCACCATCAAAACCATCAACATAACGATAGCTTCATTCATCATATCACACTAGTTTGGGGATTTAGGTGATACTAAATGGGAAACAGGGAAGCCCAATGCTCTACTGTGATGTCATCAGCATTATCCATAGGTCTGATGATGCAACCCTGATAACCATGGGATGTCCAGTGTGAATCATGTAGGCCAGGATAGTTTACTAAGATGACAAAAGCAAGTAAAATACCGTAAAGTAGGCGATCATGTTATTATGCCTTCAGTGCAGCATTGATTAAGAACTTCATAATCATGGCTCATACTTTCTTACTTGATAAACTCCTTAACACCAACGATATAATTTTAAGTGTTGATCACTTCAGGTGTCGAGTTCAAGGATGAGACAAATGAACTGAGATTCAATGGTAACTAAGCACTTGATCAATAAGATTTGGTGGACTATTTATTATAATCACTGTTTTTGAAATGGAAAGAGCAAGATTCCTAACAAGGCGTTGAAGGCAACAAACGAGACCACCAAGGTATTATCGTGACCAATACAAGCACTTTTAGTGCCTTCCACCTGACCACCCCCATGCCTAGCCTTCCTAAATGGCTTCCTCCCTAGGCAATACTCGAACAACACATTCGAGACTATGTAAAAATCACCTAATGAGATGTTTGACGAATGTTGATTTCAATGTACAACAATTCACTATGTTGGACCGATCACTAGCAAAAGGAAATGATATTAGACGTAATGGGAATGTAGCAATACTCTTACATAACGAACCCAATGAACCAAGCACCTCGGCATGGGCTTTCTCCAGCTCAGTCTTTATTTTTGAAATAAGATCCTCATGTTCTGACACGGTCAATGGAGCACCGTTTCTTAATTCGAGCATAGCTTCTGCCACTTCGTCCTTTAATTTCTTCTTCAGAATCTTCTTCTATGAAAACGACAGTAACAACAACACTGTTTACCTCTTGGGAAAAAAAAATTGAAAATGTGTATCCTCCAAATTTTCCGAAATCCCATTATTCAGGTACCTCCTCATTTGCAGCAAGAAGTTTTTCTCGCTCTTCTTTATTTTTTTCATCGAAATTTGTATTTTCTGTATTGATCAAACTTCTTACTTCTCTGAAAATAAACACGACAAAAAAGTCACAGAAGTGTCTAATTTTTCTTATACTTTCAAGAAGAAAAAAAACAATTATGAAGTGTTACTTACTTTGTGCCAAGGAGTTCATCGCATAGGAAATTCAGTAGTCTTAATTTTTTTGAAGAATCTAGGGTAGCATACCCAGCGGTGCACTTAGTAACGGAGTCCAAGTCCAGGTCGTCTAAATCAAACTGAGCCTCGGCAACACATTTCTGAAGGGCCTTTAGCCACGTTCCATCATTTTCTGTACATGAAAGAGACCTAAAAACATGAAGGAAAGAAGGTGAATCGTTTGTTACACACTTATAATCTCATACAACGAGTATTCGTGCTTGGATGGCGGCTCAGGATCAGCCTCATGAAAATCTTATATTCCCTGAGGAGGTTCTACCACGTGGAAACGCTCTTTAATGGAACTTTTGCTTTAGCTGGTCGTGACCAAGAAACCACTGGTTTTGCTTGGTGGGCCGGGAATGCCAAACTTATCAATTTGTCCGGTAAAACTACTTGGGGCTCACGTAGCCCACGCCGGATTGATTGTATTTTGGGCCTTTTGTTACACACTAATAATATCATACAACAAGAATGCATACCTATCCCCTCGCTCTTCTCGTATCCTAGAGAGCAATTTGATGTACAACTGGACTATCTTGGAATTTAATCCTCGACGGACACCACGCCCACTTGCCAGCTCTCGAAGAATAGACTCAGGCTGACCTTCCTTTATGTCAAGTAGCTGCATCGATAACAGGGTTCATCGATGAGTGGAGTGGCATAAAAAAAATAAATAGAAACAATTATTAAAGTAAGATTGCCATTCTTAGCTTACGGAAAATTCCATGAATCTCAAAGCAATCGACAAGTATCTATTTGCACTGTCAGGCTCCCTTTCAGATGTGTAATATGAGGAAATCCAAATAGCCGCACATGACAGGAATTCAAATAAACAGATACTTTCAGTGTTTACCTTCCCAAAAGCAGAACAGAATTCCAGAAACTGCAGTACCGGTCCAACGTCCTCAACCTGAAATTCAATCCCTGCGACTGTTATCAGAGCTGTGCCTTTAGGCATTACTAACACGGAATCAGGAGGGGCACATGTACTAGTGAAAACATGTTTCATCTCCTTGCAATCCCTCAGTAAACCATCAGTTTCAACCCGCAATTTAATGTCAGCGTCCCTTATCAATTCTGTACCCTGGGGCATTGCTACTGCTGAATGAGAAACATTCGTTCTCGTCAAAACACGTTTCTTCCCTTCGCAAGCTCTAGGTAATCCTTCAATCTCTACACCATTTCCATCTCCGTCCACGAATTCTTTCTCCTCGTTGCCATCCAAGACCACCCCTGTTTTCACATCCATATGTTTCTTTGAGACTTTCTTGGATATCTTCTCATCCAAATACCCTTTTCTCCAGTCGTGAATTCTTCCGTTCAGACCATGTGAACCTTCGTCGTTATCATCCTGTCGAATCTTTCTTCGAAGCTTAGATCCGTGTTTCCTATTGTACCCCATCCGTGCCATTTCCTCTTTCTTTACATCTTTCTTTCCTAATTTCTTGTAGATTTTTTCGGGAAAATCACCCTTTATGTCATCGACGTTACTTCCATGGAGTAGCTGCGCTTCTCCTCTGTCATCATCCCGCCCAGAATTCATTTCCAAGATACCTATTAGTTTCTCATTGTTCTCTAACCATACCGATCGTCTTTCACCGGTTACATTGTGCTTCTTTGGGTATTTTCCAAGTTTACCCGAACATTCATCCGGCATCCTCCGTTCCAGAAAATCTCTTTTCCTGTGTTTCCTACCTGATCTCAAATCACTTGCTGGTCCGCTGCCGTTTTCCCCTTTCACATTCCTTTTCACGGATTCCAATACCGCAGTCTTCTCTTCCATTAATTCTGAAGCACGACGGTCGAATTCCAGAGACCCCTTTGATCCACGAGAATTTCCCATGACACGCTTCCTTTCTGATGCCACCGTTTTCTGCCATACCAACAAAGACAACCCGTAGGCTAAGACAGGAGCACATGAGATGGGGGCGGAATCAGAGGATGTGTTCGACAGACCTCGACAGAAGATGGTGGATTATCCGGCGTAGCATTCTCATCCTTGTTTACCCTCTTCGACTCAGAGCTCGTGTGATGCAACCGCAGCATTTCCGAAACTGAAGAACATCCGATCGCCTTGGCAGCGTGGATAAGGATTCCAGTGGGCTGTTGTCCTCTCTTCTTCCTACACATCCAATCGACCGGATACGTTAAATTGCTTCGAATGAACAGAAGCCCATCTCGTCTCATGCTAAAATTTGCCATCAGGGTAAATATGAGTAATCACATGCAGAAGCTGCAATTACAGATGCCTCTGCACTTGGGGCAGATCCAGTCGCCACGAGCAGCCATCTCCTCCGCCTTCTCTCCGTACCTGGATTATACGAAAACGCAGGGTATATTATCCTCAGAAATATCTTCAGCAATCTTAGCTCGCAGGGTATAAGAAAACGCAGGAGAACGACATACGAAATGGTTAAGAGAAAAATCTACCTATTGAGGAGGCATTTGTGACAAAAATGGATCCGACACGGCTTCAGACTCCTCGAATTACTGCAGGCAGCCGCGAAATCCATGGTCTTCTGGCGACACTACAAAACCAAATGCACGAGGAATCAGATACGAGAAAAAGATCCCAGGCACGTCGATTACAAGGAACAACTGGGATCCAACCTGATGGCAGGTCTTCCCGTGCTCCGAATCGTAGATCCTGCCGCCCACGAGGCGGACACCGGGAGACTTGTTCTGCTTGGGAGCTGGAGCGTGAACCGAGCCAGCAGGGGCCTGGAAGGCCAACGCCTTCCCCTCCGAGGTGCACGAGGGCGGCTGCTTCCTCTTCGTCCCGGCTCTGGCAGCTGCAATCTGCTTCTTCGCCGGCGAGTCTGTGGGCACCGCCATGGCGATCCGAACCCCCAGCTCCCTCTCCTCCTCAAGCGGCGGTAACGGCGGCCGAGTGATGGCGACTGCGGTCAGATCAGGTGGCCATTCTTGTACCCGCCTAAGTTTTCGCAGGATGGAGGGAAGTGAAGGCGATCCCGCCAACTAATTTTGAAAATTTCCCTCCATATTTGAATTATAAATAATATATTTTCCCTCCTCAACGTGAAATATTATCCGACGTAAATAAGTGTTGACTTTTATTGCTTCATTATATGGGTTGACTTCAAACTGAGATTTCGTTCGACTGGGCTTGAAATCGTGTTGACTCTTGGCCAGCCACCTAGCTTAACGTTGAATTTAGAATATGGGTAGAACGACAGGAATTTATATGTAAACAAAGTCAATGCTTTGAATTTATTATTCTCACCTTATTCATTTCAATTCTTTTATGGTCAACAATTTGAATATATTCCTGACACCTTATTTTTGTACCAACTTGAAAGTCAACTCTTTGAATTTTCCTATCAACCCCTTTTTTATGTCAATTTTTTGAAGTTTAAAGAAAAGTCAACACATTTGAAGTCTTCATGGGTTGCTAATTCATCACTGCCGTTCGTTGAATGTATTTCTATCAGCTTTTTATAGCCGTTGTCCGTGAAGACTCGAAAGAACCGCACTATCAGGTGGGATTGAATCAAGGAAGGCATCGTCTTCCACCTCGCAGAGCCACCAGCTAGGCGGCCCCGCCGCCGGGTTCCACCGCCTCCAGCGCCGCCTCCAGCGCCGCGATCTCCTCCTTGAGCACCTCGATCTCTCTGTCCCTTTCCATCTTCCTCCGTCTCAAAAGCTCCTGCTCCTCGTCCACGTCGATAGGTTCCTCCGGAGAAGACCCCGCAGCGGCGGAGCATCCCCCGATCTGAACCCCACCGCCGTCTCCCGGTGGCGCCGCCGCCGCCTCCACTTCCCCATCTCCTACTCCTCCTCCATGAAGCAGCATCTCCGACACAGAGGAGTATCCGCTGGATCTGGCGATGGGGAAAAGGATGCCGGTCGGCGGCCGCCCCTTCTTCCTCCTGGACGGCGGCCAGCGAGGACGAGGTGGAAGGGAATTAGAAGTCCAGAAGGGCGAGATGGCGGGAGAAATTAGGGTTTGGAATCCTCACATGCAGAAGCTGCAATTGCAGATGCCCCGGCACTTGGGGCAGCTCCAGTCGGCCATGACCGCCACCGCCGCTGCGTTCTCCCCGTACCTGTTCCTCAAGCATCTTTGGCAGAAATGGTGGGGGCAGGGCTTCCCGCGGCGGGTGGCCTTGCAGGAGGCCGAGAAGGCCATGGTCTTCTGCCGGCACTGCGATGATCCTCCGGAAGGAAGAGATCAGAGAAAAATGGCGATGGAGGGGGAAGCAGCGGAGCAAAACTTCACTCACCTGGTGGCAATTCTTCCGGTTACCGGAGTCCGGCGCCTCGCCGCCGCCGGTGATGGCCAGGAGCGATTTCGTCGGCCTGGTTTCGGTGGCGTCATCGTCGGAATAGGCAGATTTCTTCTGTGGCTTCTTCTTCTTCTTCTTCTTTACCATCACCTTCATCTTCATCTTCATCTTCTTCCTCCTCCCGTCGCGGCGGGGCTCCGACGGCCCAGCCACGATGGTCCACCGGCGGCCCTCTGGTTAGGGATTTCGCCGGAGACTGGGCCCGACATACTCAACATCTTATGAAAATTTTCGAGTTATTTAGGTTTAGGTCCCTCTAAATCTCTCAAATTAGAATAAGTCCCTCTTCCTCTTTGGTTGATGCTCTCTCGATCTCTATGGAGAGATAAGTCAACTTAAAAGGGGCGACTTATCTTGTTTTCAAAGTAAGTCAACTCATCTGGACTAAATGGTACCATTAGGAGTTGACTCAACTAATCCACAGACGACTAACACAGTTGACTATTAATTTATACATTTTTATAATCCTTATTTTTATTTACAATAATAATTTCCTGTTGACTAATCTCATCAGAAATATTCCACTTTCACGTCTTTCATCACTAATCCTCAAGAAACTCCAACTCATATATAAATTTCAACACTATTAACAAAAATATATAATATTTATTATTATTTTATTATATAGTGAGTCAAAGTCAAAACCAAGATTCGAGGGCTAACTAGTTAGCAAAATGACATGAAATAATAATTTCCTTTCTAAGAAACTTTACTTGACCAAGAATGATAAGCTGAAAACCCCAAATTTGTAGTCATTTGACTTTCTAGGTGTACTCCACTAACTAGAGACTATGCCTCCAGGTTTTTAGTAGCCATGCATTAAAAAGTACCATTTTTCACTAATAGTTTCCACTAAAAAATAAAATTCATAGATTAGGTAATAATTCACTAACTTTTCAGAAAAAGTAGATTGGATTCCTTGGGGAGCCTAATCTTGGGCTGAATAAGCAATGTGCAAGTCAACGATTGGGGTTTGAGGAGTACTAAAAAAAGATTCATATATTAAACATGAATTCATTAACTTTTGGCAAAAATGCATTAGATACCTTGGTGAGCTTAATCCTAGGCTGAGTAGATAAAGTCAACAAGTAGGGTATGAGAAGTACTAAAGGAAATTAAGATTCACATATTAGGCAAGAATTCATTGACTTTTGGCAAAAATGCGTTAGAATCATTGGGGAGCCTAATCCTAGGCTGAATAAGTAGTGTACAAGTCAACGTCCAGTTTATCATAAATACTAAAGAAAAAAAGATTCATAGAATAGGCAAGAATTCATTGACTTTTGGCAAAAATGCGTTAGATTCCTTGGGGAGCCTAATATTGGGGCGGATAAGTAGTGTACAAGTCAACGTCTGGTTTATTAGAAATACTAAAAAAAAGATTCATAGAATAGGCAAGAATTCATTGACTTTTGGCAAAAATGCATTAGATTCCTTGGGGAGCCTAATATTGGGGCGGATAAGTAGTGTACAAGTCAATGTCCGGTTTATCAGAAATACAAAAAAAAAAGAATTCATAGAATAGGCAAGAATTCATTGACTTTTGGCAAAGCTGCGTTAGATTCCTTGGGGAGACTAATCCTTGTGGACATTTTTCAAGCACTATAAAAATGTCTCCCCCCTCTCCCACAGCTTCCTCTCAGCCCTATTTATACGTCGCGCCGCAATAAATGACCTCCCTTTTTGCAGAGTTCAGAAGGGGAGGGAGGAGAGATTTAAACCCTACCCTATTCTGAGAGGAAGACCACGGCGAAGAGATGAAGTACAATCCGCGGGTATCGAGCTCCCGGAGGAAGAGCCGGAAGGCGCACTTCACGGCGCCGTCGTCGGTGCGGCGGGTGCTGATGAGCGCGCCGCTGTCGTCGGACCTGCGAAGCAAGTACAACGTGAGATCCGTGCCCGTGCGCAAGGACGACGAGGTGCAGGTTGTGCGAGGCACCTACAAGGGCCGGGAGGGCAAGGTCGTGCAGGTTTATCGCCGTCGGTGGGTTATCCACGTAGAGCGCATCACTCGCGAGAAGGTCAACGGCTCCACGGTGAACGTCGGGATCAATCCCTCCAAGGTCGTCGTCACCAAACTCAAGCTCGACAAGGACAGGAAGGCCTTGCTTGATCGCAAGGCTAGAGGCCGCGCGAGTGCCACCGACAAGGCCAAGGGCAAATTCTCCGCTGAGGAGGTCGTCACCTTGTCCGCTGGGGGCGCGGCCTCTTCTATTGGCGAGCTGGATTGATCAATCTCCGGGTTTCCGCTCAGAATTAGGAATACATTGTCTGGTTTCCGTTTTAAACGTTTTATATGTTAAACAGGAGGCTTCACTGTGATTTCTCTATTTCGTTTACAAGTTCTCTAGCAATGATTTTGCCTTCAGGTAATCGATGGGAATGGGACTCTCTTTCTTCCAATGCCAATGCGATCCAGTGATGACTGTCTTGTGCTTTGTCTTTTTCATCTTCTATGTCTCTTTTCTTGCTTCTGTGAGAAGACTTTTTACACGCCTTATTGTAAGTCAAGGACAATGGCAGTCAATTGATTCTCTCAGTGTTCTACCGTATATCCCTCAGATGCTTACACCGAAACCTGTCTCCTGACTCTGGCCATTCTTTTCATGCCTATGATTATATATTTTTTTCCCCCTTTTTTTCGATCCCTTCGAGTCCTGTGAGCATTCTCAGAACATTATGGCTGTGATACCAAGACAACAGGTCGTGATTAATGAGACTACTTGATGAGGAAGACACGGAGCATTATGGCTGAGTATGATTATTGGCGTTGTGATTGTATAACCTGTGCCGCTGACGATTTGGAGCTACCTATGACTATTTAACAATGTGGATGGAAACCCTTCATTGTTCCTGTCTCGTAACTGTGGATGATTGTCAACTTTAGTTGCAGGAAATTTTCTCCGGATGAAGCAATGGCTTTGGTGTTTTTGGATGGATGCATAAAATTTCTGAATCCTTCACATCTCTTGACTTTTTGGTTTTGACTTTAAAGGCTTAACAGCCTCAATTGGAAGTCAATGCGTGCCAAATACTAGTGTAATATATCATTTCTCACTTGGAACCTAGGACATCTTGGGATTTCTTCTAGGCTGCTTCCCCTTGGTCCTTCCACGAAGTGGAGAAACAGATGTTTTTGTTTTGTGACATATTTTTTATTAATAAGGTCTCATGAGAGGACACTTTGTGTTGAATTCCATTATAAAATGACTTGTTTTTTACGCCTGGCTGATTAATGTGTGTGCTATGTTACGTACATTGCCATGAATTCTTCATGATCTGTATCTGTTTTTATTAAAAAAAATAATTTATGCTGGGTAATTCTAATCATGGATTTCATTGCACAGTGCTGTGGGGTTTTTGGGTATGTATTTGCATACACCCTGGCGAATAAAATGTGTGCTCTTTTACTTGTATTGCCATGACCTGTACATGATTTGCGCTTGTTATTTCACACTGGAAGGTCAGGTGATTCGAATCATAGATTCCATTCTACAATCTAGTATGGTTCTTGGGGTTACGTTTTCTGTGCATCTTGCTTGCTAAAGTGTATCATGGTTGCTCAATTTTCCATGATGTCTGCAGGGCTTGGTCTTGTTTTTTTTTTTTTTTTTTTATAATTTACTTTCCTCTGAAAAGTCTGGGAATTGTAGTCTAATGGATCTGCTGCTCCTGGGATGTCTCAAGGATCTGTTCACTGAAGCACTTATCATTTCCACTTCTAATCTGTGCTCCTCAACAGTGACGATTATTTCTTGGTTCATAATAATCTCTTCCTCGAAATTACTGCAATTGTCATTCAACGGGAATATCCACCATGTTAGTTGTTTTCATTACACCACTAGAAGGCTTTGTAGCCGATCATTTCCAGGGAGGTTATTGTGGGTTCTTCATATTCCCCAATTTTTTCTTCGATGTGGGGTTACAATGTGGATGTGCTGGCCAATCTTGCATGTAACCTGATTTTAACCAGTAGTGCAATGATATAATCTGCGAAAAAAAATGCCCGTGTAAAGAAAAACATGAGGAATTGATGCCCGTTTGTACCTCTCGAGCTCAAAGGAATCCAAACACTCTCCAAGTTCTCTAGCAGATCCCTTCCATCGGTTCCTCCATCTTAAGATTTCAAGAACAGGCATCAAAAACCCTATGCAACCTTCGTTTGGAAATGCTTCAAGCAGATGGAAGTAACAGCTGAAACTTTAATTTCTTTCAAACAAGCAAAACGTGTTGGTCAAACTTGAGATCTTTCACAAGTAGAGATCCAATGCAATATTATGGTACAATGCAGCTTGTCAATGCAAACATTTTGACAAATTGTCAAGATAGATTACATTTATTGAATGTTTCACAAATTATTTCCGTCGTCATAAAGTAACACATATTTTAGAGAGGAGAGGAAAGCTCAAACTGCAAGGAGTGAATGTGGACGATTAATTAGATTGAGGCAAAACTCGTGACTAGAGTTGAGGAAGTTTTTCAACACGGAGGTGCTTAAAAATCATTTTCTCGACGGCTTGAGTTCATGTTTCGATATTATCATGTTCTCTGATGAGTTTCTTGACGACTGAAAATTTTCAAACGCATTTGTTCACATTTTTCTTATGAATCAGGTTCAAGAGGAGATTAATATATCAACAGAGAAACAGTCAAATAGTTGTGGGAAAAACAGTAGTTGCATCACCGTTAGTGGCAGCTCATTATACCTTCCCAACTCTTTTGTAACGTGAAATAAGAAGCGCCTGCAGTTGATTGAGTGTGGCAATAAAAGGCTGTTCACGAATCATATATTCTAGAAACTCATTGTTTCTAATATTTAACGTGATTAGCTCTATATGAACCAAGATGAATGAATTATGAAATAAAAAGCAATGAAAATATAATGCAGCATTCCTCAGAAGACCCAGTTTAATCATATTTGATGAAAGACGACATGAAAATTAATGAAATAAAAAGTTAGATTGAGTTAAGCATACAATTGAGATGAGCAAATATGTGACGCAATAAGGCATGCAAATAACGAAATATATTATTATACTATAATTTATCAAGCGACATGAACAGCCAACATGGAGATGTAGCCCACCCACATCCCCTACCAATGACGATAATGAAGATAATATCATCTTCAACATGGTATCATGAAGTAAAGCAAGTCCTCATGTGGGTAATCATGAAAGGTCAACATAGAGACAGTACCCCCACACTTTGCCGCCAATTCACCCCAGCAGCCTAACGGCAGGCGTTTGGGGGGGAAGGAATGAAAATATGCAGTCAGAAACAAGATACATCAATGGTATTGATTACTGATAAATGACTCTAGCAACATAAAAGTTCAGCATAGTGTAGACTGAGGTGGTTCTGACCCAGAGTAATAGATTGTTGAGCATTTGAAGCTCATAAGAGTAGCTCATGTAATCGATCAAAACAGAGAAAATAGTATTCACAAGCTTAAATCCTTGAACTAGAAAAATGGAAAAAAAGAATCAAATTTGGACTGAAGTGATGCTTCATACTTCTTGAAACCCTCATTTCAAGGCAACAGGTGGAGTGGAAAGAGAACCACTCAAACTCACCGGAGTTAAAATTCTCAGCACCATCAACTAAAGAGATGCTATCATACATCCAATAGAAGAGGACAGAAAAGGTACAAACGGACTAACCGAAATCCCGCAGAGGCAATGTCCTGCAAGCTAGGCCTCATTCACTGACAACAATGTGACTCGATCTGTTCTTGGGTCGGTTCCTTCCAAAGGCTACAGCAGGTGTCTGTGGCTACAAATTTTGACTCGGGTCAGGTATATGTTCAGATGGCGGTTCGTCACTACGATTATCATCAGGCGAAGGCTGTTGTGGAGGTGGTTGCCCCCCGTTCTCGCTGGTATCAGGATGGAAATTGATGGGGAATTTGGTGACCCGGGGTTTGTCGGCCAAGATATTCCTCTGAACTCTGTCGATCAGAACCCTTGGGGGAGGTTCTTCCCTTAGCTGCTCATCATCATAGTCATTGTTCACATAATAACCAACCCTGATAAATTCCTGCCCGAGATAAGAGCAAGTGAGAAGCAGCACTGTTACACCAATGATGTCTTCATCCGGAATCTTTGAAGGGTCAGGTGGATCTGCCTGAAAGGGATAAAAATGGCAGAAATTATAAGGGCTTTTTAGCCGATTAATTCTAACACTTATTCAGGATTCCTGGAGTTACCTGTAAGACAAAGCGGTAGTTACCGACATTGACAGGACCCACAAGCACACTCTCCAGTAACTGGTCATAAGTCTCATCCTCAGCAGACCCTACGTAGGTGAGCTTCCACTCCAGATCTGCAACAAATACAACACTGAGAGTTCATCAAAAGGGAACAGATTGAGAAGGGCAATCTTAAAGGATTATCACGGTGAATCAGAAAACAGGCCTTCTACTGATACACCATCCAGGACCTGACATCTATGATCCGAGTAAATTATTTCTAAGAAATAAATAAAAGCATCGCTGTATGATCTAATGGTGAAAGCAAAACAACTCCAATCATACATGCAAATGACATCCCTAGAAGCCTCATCAAATCGAAGTGATGGTCATTTGACACCTAGCAGTCCCAGGGAGACATAAGACTGTTGTTGGGAACCAACAGATCCACCTTTATCTCTCTCTCTCCATCAATAAGCTGCAAATGTCACAGGCCTCAGAGTGGAGGAGTGTCAAATAGAGAAAAACAAAAGACATTGCAGAAAGAAAGAGAGAGGATGTGTAGACGGGGGGGACCACAGACTATAACCCAAGGGCTCCTTCCTGCCCCTTAGTCAACTGCCAGACAATCTGTTGGCCAAATGCCAGGCAGATCTGTTTTTGAGATATATCAAGCAAAAGGAAGAGAGCCACCCAGAGAAGAGGAAGTGATAGAAGGCAGAGGGAATAGGAGCAAGAGAAAAATAACAGGCCTGCACACGTTTGAAGATCTAGCAAGCGATTTGCCAAAAAGGAAAAAGTATATAATATTTATATACGTATTGAAATGTTTTTCTTCCCTTAGTAAGAATAATAAGCCCAAGCACAATCCTTATGCATGTGTGCATTTTCCGATGATGAATAGAGATTCATGTTTTCCTTTTCCCCACCATCATTTTAGTCTCTCCGCTCAGATGTCTTGATTGGAAAGAAGAATCGTAGGGATTTGGTAGAGGAGTCATCAATGAGAAAACTACACAAGAAGAAAATGTGGCTGCAGTGTACTCTTGTAGACAGCAATTTCAGATGGAAGAGTTAGAAGTAAATGATCTCAAGGGATCCATGCCCTGCTCCTTTCTCACTTGTTCTTACCTATAAGCGACTGGTTTTCATTTCATTTAGAGTCCTATAAAATCTTCTTAAAGCATGTCGTAGATACAATTGACGCAATGCATGTCTGCTGAAAAATTGATTTTCTATTTTTTTGAGTAGACAGTTTTTCAAAGCAAAAGATGTTCTGATGAAACGCTTCCACCACCTTTCCAAAGGACATTTTTCGCCTATGCAACTGGATCAGAAAAAGGGCCAAAGAAATAGAAGTCTTTAACCAAACCCACTTATCTCCTCTTAGAGATACAAAAGTAAGCTAGATTCAAGTGCTAGAAGAAAATCCTTCTGCTCGTGAATTTGTTTTTGGTGAGCTATGCACCTTACAGAATGATATCACAGACAGGAAGGTCAATGAAGCCTTGGGTACCCTTATAAAGGTTTTCTAGTAAAACTTCTGAGGTCTCAATTCCCCTGACAACTTTCAAGTTAAGACAAAGCATAGCATGCTGCCTCGAGCTGTTGTGCCTTTGGAAATAGTGAATGCGCTCAAGGAAAAATGGACTGCAAGAAAGAAGAAGCGAGGTCCATAAAATCAAAGAACTAACATGAAACATGTTCACATAACCTGTTTTATACTTGCACGCGTGCACACACACACACACAAAAGTTGATTACGGATCTCAGAAATAAAAGGACACATTGGTCACCAACTCAATATCAGCTCCATGTTGAAAGCACTGGTAATAACAATTTTTCAAAGACTTTAAACTTATGCCACAAGACAACAAGATTTTTAACGTAACCAAGCCAAGCAAAGTATTGGATCACTGCCTCAGCGCCTAGGCAAAAAGGCAAAGCAGTAGACGTAAGATAACCTTACTAAGACCTCCAACATTGTAGAGAAAGCGGGAGACCCATTTGCCCAAAAGTAATTGTCGCGGAATAATCAAGCATGCAGTGAATGAATGGTAACAGACACAGAAAATGCCCACTGATAGACACAATGGGGAACAGATTTATCATCAACAAATATTTGATCTGTAATCAGTTCATTTGAATTTTTTGATATTGAGGGCACTCTTTGACAAATTATCATTCTTAAAGTTCTAACCGTGACATAGCAATTCAATAAAGGCGCTAAGTGGGTGTTTCTCATTATATCTGTAAATACGAAAGTCCCATGGTCTTGCCATAGGCAGCTTACTGGCGAAAAGAAAGAGTGAACATTTAATTTGTTGATTACAAGTATTTTCGGATTTTATTTATACATTGTACTCGTACCTACAATAATCCTTTTACAACAAATAATACAGGACAATAAAATCATTCTGGAGGTAACTAACTCTTAAGACTTCACTAGATAAATTCTGCCAAAGGAAAAATAAAAGTTTGAAGTTATAAAAACTCTTAAAGTGACAAGTTTCCACGGGTCTTTGTTCCCTGAACAACATAAATGAGAAGTGCTCCAATTAGGAATTCATTTATATTAAAAAGATAAAATTCATTTCCGCATATTTATTATAAAATTCGAGCCTCATAAGGAAACTGTATGCACATTAGAATCATAATTCAAAGAGACCTTTCAAGATTTAAATGTGGCCATACTGGAAAAAAAAAATATTATTTTGAACTGGTATTTAATTTGAAGTATAAGTTTCACATAAAAATCGAAATTACTTTATTTAAGATAAATTTCACAGATGAACATCGCAAATAGTCTTCAGCAGAAAATGGGTATGTGTGTGCCTTAAGACCAAAACACAACATCATGTCAGGGTCATATTCAAACAAAGTAGAATATGACAACAAGCTGAAAGTACAGACACATGGTTACCAAAAATTCAAAGAAAGCTAGAACCCCATCAGTTGCGAAGTAAAAAAAAAACCACTGAATAAAGCACAAAGGAAAGCTTCAAAGCACTCAATAATGAAAACGACAATCTTTACTATGAAGCAAATATCCTGAAAGCCTTGACTTTTTGTCGTTTCCTTCCTTTATTCTATCCTAGTTTACTACCTTGTCAATCTTGCCCTCCTCTCCCAGCTCTTTACTTCACCTCTAATTTAAATACACACACCCAGCCTAGTGTAGATGAGAATGATAATTGCATGACTAGCAGAACCATTTCAGTCAGCAAAATTACAGTACTCTCTTCTCATTAAAATATTCATAAACCAATCTTAATTATCAATGCTTACTCGAAATGAATCCATCTACAAGTCAATAACTACTTGGGTCAGAAAAAATGTTTCATTTTATAGTTATTCATTTGAAAATATTGTCTTGAATGATACTTATTTAAGACAACAAACGTGAATCATGCACCCTACAATTACATCAATTCACGTGACTGACCTCAGTTGATTGAATGAACAATGGTATTTGCATGGACTAATGCCACATGCAAGAAATTGATATTAGCAACCAAACAAATCAGCAAGCCAATAAAGCAAGTTGACTTAGGATTGAACTCAATATACTACAAAAAAGCTCCTAAAAGTCATTTAAATAAAAGTTTGGACAATCTCACAGCTGCGATTTTTTTAAAGCTGTTCCATGATCCACGTCATGACAAAGCAGAATGGGAAAATAAATGATTACAAACACAATTAGTGGATCAACCTACTGGAAAAGATTGATATTAAGGCCGTCCTAATTCACAATACACAGATTAATTCATCTTTATTCTATGAAAAGAACAAAGACAAGTCAGTGTCAACGAAGAGGCATGGGATTTTGCGAATTAAATCGTGTCATGTTCTTCACGAGAAGAATAACTGTCGCACCCCAGAAGTCTTCCAATACCTGATCTTGGCACTCAATGAAGTTTTGACCTTATGCTCATTCAAGTGAAACCTATTAAGAATTACTTGGGACATGAAAAAGGACGTATAGCTGACTGAGAAGACAGTCACGAGACCGTCGGAAAGCGATCGGTAGAGTACATAGTCTGGCAAAATAAAGAGATCGAACGATCAACAGCAGAAACCTAGATAACACCGACGACTGTCGAAGGAGAAACATAAGAACCTTCAGAATTTTGCGACAAAAGAAGCGATCCTGAGATAAACACACCCGACATGAAGCTTCCAGCCAACTTGAAGCAGAAATGTAAACCCTAGGACACAGTTACGATGAACACCAAGAAAATTAAAGACAGGATTAAAATGTCTAACGCGAGCTCTACTAAAATAAACGACAAAGCGGCGCGATTCCCAGGACTATCTAGAGGGAGGACAGAAGGGCAGCCAGGAAGCGCACCGTCCTTCAGGGGAGTCAGGCACTCGTAGGAGATCTCAAACTGGAACGGATTGAGGAAAGCCGCCGGGTTGTCGAGGACGGTGACGTTGGTGATGTTAACGGCGCTCATGATAGGAACCGAGGATCCTTCCTGCAAGAAAAAACCTAGATCCTCCCCGACCCACGTCACAGGATTACCTCTCTAAGCCCTAATCAGACGAGGAATCAACAAAACCGAAGAGGAAAGACGACCTCTGTACAACTGCCCAGTTTATAATTATAAACGAAATGGGCAACGGCCGGGGGCTGCGGCGGCGGCGGCGGCGGCGGCGGCGATGGCGGTGACGGTAACCAGGTGAAGGGGGGAAGATGCTTGGGGTTTTTCAGTCCCTGTTTTTACCGGCGATAGCCGGTGGCGGGTACAAAATGCGGGCGGGAACCGGCCATCCAGCGATTTGGCGGGAGAGAGTTCAAACCCGTCCGCTCGCTCCCCAGCCAGCTCCCCGGTTACACTCCGGCTCGTTCCACTGGGAAAGATAGGTAGGGTCAAGTGGGCCATTTTCATCACACACTTGGGCCCTACCTCAAATACTTGGATCATGGTGCATTTATTTATACAACTACATGGCGTTGACCAATGTTTTCGGCCAAGAACAACCTTTTGTATACAAACATGATAGACAAGATGGAGTGCTCCAAGCAAGGAATTTCTTCTCAAGTGTTTGAGGCAAGGAGGGAACTTTCAGTGAGTATAACCCTCTAGGCTTCATGGCATTTTTGGTCAACGCCTATGAAAAAGGGAAGATGAGCCACTGTGGACTCGATCATCATAAATAATTTTCATGTGTATGGTTTGATTTGGCAGTGTATTGATATTACTATTATTGTACGATATTGGTAGGAGAGTCAAGAACTACGATAAAATTTTGATGTAAACAAAAGAAGTGAGACTATAAATGCACAAAGAATCTTTTGGGCACTAATAGTAATACACATTCATAACTATTTTATATTATATTGCATTGATTACAGTATTTATAAACTAAACAAAATATACTTTCATTTATACAAACTATGTACATATTACTAATTAGCTCAACCACTATCCAATGATTGCAAAAAAGCCCACTAAAACTTCAATCAAGGATCTACTTAGAACACTAGCTATTTTAACACAACATTAAAAAAAAAGCATAAAATATTTAACATTGAGTAAATAGATTTACATTCTATGTAGTTTTATAAAAAATATCTCAACAAGGTAAACAGATTTCATGTATACTCTTCATTATCTTGACTAGTTTACATGTTCTTTGAATTGTACGAGAATAATTGATTCCAAGAAAAATTAATAAATATCTGCCACAATGTTTAATGTTATTTCCTCTAACTTTTCTTCTTCCATAATTCACTTATATCAATCAAAAGTATTATTATTTACTCTAAAACCAGCTAATCATAATTTTATATCATTATTGACCCACGAAATCTAGTAGGTACTTTTTAATTAACAATTTACAAATATTCTACTTTTTCTACCTTCACAATTAACTTTATTAATCATCAACTAAAATCAAGGACATTCTTTACCATAGATGGCAAGTATCACATCCATATATTATGTCTTTCCTTAGCAACCCTTCATCATGACTTTGTGAGTGCTACACAAGTCATTGGTGTCTTTTTAGTATTGACCTTATACTTTAAAAGTGCTCTTCATTCACACATTTTAATAAATGTTAACTCAATGAAGGTGACTCGCATCATTCAGTACAAAAAAATTAATTATCATATATTAAAATATATGATAATTTGATTGTAACTATCCAATCACCTTCTTTCAGCCAAATTGGTACACAATAAATAAGTTGAAGCAAGAAGACATAGCTAATTGTACACAAAATATATGTGCACAAATTTTATAATAGTTGTACTTATCTCATTGATGATCGTCAATGATTGCAACTACTAGATTCTTGCATACATGACCACTAGACTTTAGGTAATATCAATCATCTTTGTTTTATGAAATTAACAATTTTATTGCTTCCAAATAATTATTCGTCCACCCAATGTTTTAGCTCTTGCCTATCAAATAGCATATCACAATACTATTCTCTAATAGCCTTTTGGCTCCAAGTAGTAAACAACTTGCACAATGCAACGACACCACAATAGTGATTTCGAGAAATTCAATATCATGCATTAACTAACACCTACTGAATCTAGCTGAAAATCTTTGCTAAACCTAAATATTTTGTTGAGAATATTTATTGATCCTTCATTAATAACTTGAGTAGTGATGTGACTTAGTCATTGTATAAAATTAGAAAGTACTCATTTTTATATTTTTGGAAATATTTTAGTATAAATAAATAAATTATAATTTGATAAAATATTCAAAGAATAGTAAAAAAATGTATAGGTTGATCATAAGAATGTAAGATAATATTAGGTAAAATTTAAGAATTTATGTAAAGAATTTGATTTTTTATTATTTTTAGACTAAATAATGAAGAGAAATAGAAAAACATAATTAATCTTGGTGCACATGTCATGATGATGTTAGCACCACGACAAATATAATTTGAAGCGAAATAGAGTTTCATCTAATGATTCTTATGTAAATGATTGAAAATGATTTAATTGATCAAATTAATATTTGTAAAAATCAAATGAATGGTAATCAACTAATTTTTTTTTTAAACTTGAAATCATATAAAATCTCACTAATTTAAATAAAAATTAAGTTTAAAAGAGTGAAGATAGAGTTCTAGTGTTGCAGCAGCGATTATTGGAATTCTAAGCATTCAAGTGAATTTTCATGTGATGTTCAAAGCCTCAAAGGCCCTCTTTGGATATTTACAATATGGACAATCTCTAGCTCATTTTTTAAAGTTTAGAAATTAATAAAATAGGTCAATCAATCATCTCCAGCAGATGTCACTCAATAGAGATAAGTTGTATAAAAGTGAGGTGTGTCTTTACAAGCTTCTTCTTCACGTTCACATAGTGAGATGAGGCTCGTATCGCATCTAGTTTTACTTTGAGGAGTTGGTAACTCATCTCTCAAGGGATCGTCCTCTTTTAAATGATAGCTCATCCGTTGATCAATCATATATGATTTTTTCAAAAAATCTATAATTTTGGCATTTAGAATCTTTAGTTAATTGCTAATGATGATTCACAGATAGCTTGGAAAAAGTTTTCATTGATGATCAAACTATTCCATCAACTAGATTGACTAGCTTTCAGTAAAAAAAATCACGATTTAATCAACTAAAAATATAAAATTTGACTTTTGTGGGGTTTGAACCCTCATTAGTTTCTCAATTGTATGAGAAAGAGGGAGAATGTGAATTATCTACATGCCATTACCTAGTGACGTCATGGAGTCATTTATTTCTTATAAGGGGTATTTTTGATATAAAAAGATTAAAAACTTGCCAACGAGTGATGGTGTGGGTTTAGCCTCCCATCAATTGTTTTCTAATGTTTAAGATAAATATATCAATACTTATTTTCATCTATAATATACTTTATCTCATGTATACATGTGTGTATGATCACTCTTTGCCTACACCACGACTGGCCACTAGTGACATAGAAGGGGAGTGACACATGCTCAAATTAATCTTTAACCACTCCAACCCCTAGCTTGTGGTTTTACCCGACTATGCCTCCGACTTGCATGTAGACTCAGTTGACCAACGGTCCCCCTTTTTTATATATTTTATTTTATTTTATTCTCTTCATTTTATCTCAAAAATATGATTATAAAAATTATATAAAATTATAAAAACACATAATTAGTTAAAAATTTACATTAATCAAATAAAAACCTTTTTTTTCTCAATTTAACATAAATATGTTGATTTATCATGACTTAAGAATTAAAATATATTAATAATTAATTATTAATTTATGATAATAAAGACTTATTAAGTAACTTCAAAACTTTAGCAATTCACAAGGGCTTGATTACGTTCAACAATAGTTAATCATATATTCATGCACTCAAGTTCATTAATTAATTTATAAAAAATATATCAATAAATATAGCTCTCTTCCCTCCTTTTTAACACTGAAAATATTGCATATTTATTGACTTCAACCCACATGAGCAACATTATCATCTAATAGCTACAAATAGCTTCTAATGCAACCATTAAATACTACACCACATATCTAAAAAAAGGTTAATAAATTATTTATTCATCTTGTCAATTTAATATCAATTTTCATAATTCTAATTTATTTGCATGCTTTGGGGCATCATGTTCATCTTTGAAATAGCTTTCAAAGCACGTACCTATAATAAAAGTTAGTTCTAAAGTTGTTAGAAAAGTCATGTCAATTATGTTGACTTGTGAAACCCATGTTAATAAAGTATTGGTCGTCAGTAACATAGTATGTTACAAATAGTATAATAGTGGATTGCACAATACATCACCCTATATACATGTTGATACTAATGTATATCATGAATACAATATATGAGTGTAAATAACGCACTATATAATTGTAGATATCACAATATAATTTGTGAATATAATATGTGAACACATAGCACAATGTATAATTGTATATCAACGTAATAAGTTGGTGTAAATAATACAATATATGTATGGGAATAGCATGCCATATTGCCAATACAAAAGCAACAATATGTGGATTTAAACAGCATAGTGTATGACATAAAAGTGAACATCTTTATAAAAGCATGTGCATAAGCAATATGTACTGTAAACACGGAGAAATAGAAATATGTGTGAATAATATCATGTAATATGTGAATAGCATGTATGTGAATAACATAGCATATATTGTGAATGCAAAGAACACAATATATGAATAAATTGCGAGTTATACAAATAAAAATAACAAAACATATGAATGTAATTAGCACAATATGCCATAAGTACAAATACTAATATATTTACATTATAATAACTTAACATATAAGTAGCATCATGTATAATAACGCATGATGATAATATAATATATAAATCATTTAACAATCATACCATTAGACTAAATAATTATATTATGTATAATAACATTATGATATATGATCAGCCAAAAGTAGAGCGTAACAATTGATTGGAAGTCCTTGTAAACTTCTTTATC